CCACCGTGAGCTTATCGGCCAGCAGGGTAGCCAGGTCAACAGGCTTCAAGATCGGTATCATGTCCGGGTTCAGTTCCCCCGCGCGGCACCCATTGCTGCGGACGACCAGTCTGTCGAAGGATCTAGCGAAGCGGGCGGATCCCGTCCCAGCCGACCTCAGCAGGGTGCTGATGAAGTTATTGTGAAGGGCCCTAGCAAGGGTGCTGATGCCACCCGTGATGAACTTCTTAGCTTGCTGCAATGGGTCATTGATCACTCTCACTCTGGCTCGGTGTCTGTTGCCCAAAGCCAGATCCCATCCTTGATCGGTCAGCGCGGTCGCGAAATGGATAAGCTCCGCGCTGACACTGGTGCCCGAATTGATGTTCCTGGGGCCGATGATGCGCCAGATGCCTCGGGTCGGGTACAGATCAAGATTAAGGGAACCAAAAAGCAAGTCGAAGAAGCCAAGAAGATCCTGGAGCAACGGTCTAACGAATTTGATGCCACTGTCACTAAGACCATCGATGTTGACAAGAAGTACCACAAGTCCCTGATTGGTGGGGGTGGTAAGTTTGCTTCTTTACTTACATCTTCTTTCAATTGCTAACATATGGTCAGGTGCGAATATTCGTAAGATTGTGGCTGATGCTGGTGGGCCTACTGACGGTGGTGCATCCCGTATTGTCAGGTTCCCGCGCCCCGAAAGCACTGAGATTACTATTAAGCTTGAAGGAAACGGCCAAGTCGTTGACAAGATTATTGCTGCCATCGAGGAGTTTGTGAAAGAGCGCGAAGATCAGGTGACTGCGAACATTGAAGTTCCTTCTACTCAACATCGACTGCTCATTGGACGAGGTGGAGAAATCCGACGTGGTATTGAGTCGAAGTTCAACATCACACTCGATATCCCTAAGCAAGGCTCTGGACGTTCTGATATCAAACTCAAGGGTCCTAGCAATGCTGTTGCAGAAGCTAAGGAGCACATCCTCTCTATGCTTAAGGACCAACAAGGAGAGACCGTCGAGGTCCCTCGGCATTTGCATCATGCTATTTCCGATAATGGCTCTTTCTTCCGTCGCCTTCGTAACGACTACCAGGTGACCGTGGATCATGCTGGCCAGCAAGTACCACCTAAGCCCTCCTCAGAAGACACTCGCGGTGCAGTCAACGGTGGTTCATCTCTCCCATTGATCACCGATGAGCCAGACCAAGCCGCTGATGCTCATTCATGGAAGGTCATTGAAAACGTACCTGTCGCCAATGACCCAACCCAGCCTCCTACCATCCCATGGGTGCTGGCAGGAAACCGTGACAATGTGGCAAAGGCGAAGGCGGCTCTTGAAAAGGCCATTGCCAATGCATCACAACAGTCTGCGACTGGCTACCTGATCCTGCCCGACCCGAAGACCTACCGCTTCGTTGTTGGACAAGGAGGTAGCCAGATCAATGCCATCCGTAAGCAGACTGGTTGCCGAATCAATGTGCCCAAGGACCAGGCCAAGGGCGAGGCGATCGAGGTGAAGGGAAGCAAGGACAGCTTGGAGCAAGCCAAGGACATGATCCTGGAGGCTGTCCGGGCCGGACTGGAGGGTAACTCCCGGTAATGTCTGGAGGCTAAATATTTCACGTTGGTGATGAAATGAGGTTCCGGCGAACAGGAAGCCGAAAATTCTATTCTTATTGTGTCTTACGTCCGTGAAAAAATTGTGTTATATACTTTTATTACTTGCATCGGAGGCACTCGCCCGACTTGGATATTCTGTACTTAAACATTCCATTCTTCTCACGAGCATATACCTATTTCTGTGCATAACGAGTAATATGCTACTTTTTATTCTATTGTAATACATGCAACTCAACTATAGCTCTCAATGGCCAACAGAATGGCCCGCTTTGTGCACGAGTAAGGAGAAAAGCTGGACTAGTAATATACAGCGCGATCTATTATTTAAATTGAACGATAAGGCAAAGAAGCAAACGGATCCTCTTCTACTACAATCGCAGAGGCACGAAAAGGTTATAATCGTAACAGTTCCAAAAGTCTTCGGTCTTCCTTGAATTTCGCAAATCCCAAGATAACAAACAATAAAAGCAGTATCTGCAGTGGATATCACCCAAGTAACCCACCCGATGCCGAACGGAAAGCACACCGAGATGGTCGTACGTTTAGTAAAAACGCAAGGTCGTGTTGAAAAGTTCGTTCTTAATTATTTTTATTTTTTTTGTTTTTCTTGTTCCCCGTTATCTACCTTTCTCTACTGGGACTCAGCAGCGGCGTTCAGGTACTGGTAAGCACCGTAGGCGATGGCACCACCGATGAGAACGACGGCGTAGAGGCCAACACCGAGGCCGGCAGAGCCGGAGCTGGAAGAGGTGTTGGTAGTAGCCTGGGCGTGAGAGCGGGGAGCAGGGTCGCCGGGCTGCGAAGCAAGGTCAAAAGTGGTTAGCAATAGCGCACTTTTTTTGGTCTTTGTTGAAGTGAAGGCCTAGAACATACCACGCGCTTGAGGTTACCGACGAGGAGACCGTCCAGGATCTCGCGAGCCTCGTCACTGTGACCAACGTCCTCGAAAGCCTCGGTGGCATCCTGACCACCAACATCGAGCAGGACTTCCTCACCACCGCTATATGCATTGTCAGTTTGTGAAACGATATGAGATTCGCACTGGTTGAGGGTTCAAATGATGGGGAGTGTTGGGAACGTACGGATGCTCATCGACGAAAGAGGTGCAGTCGTAGACCTTATCGTGGATAACCATGTAAAGATCCTTCTTGGTGTTGTGGCCGGACACCTCCTGGAAGGTGAGTTCTTTGTTGTCAGACATTTTGTTTGGGGGGGTATGAAGACTGTAAGGATGGAACAATATTAGCTATAGTACTTCTAGGCTTATAAGCGTAAGATAAATAGGCGGATGGGGAGTATGACTGGCAGGACGATCACAAGATATCATCCAGGGGCGGTAGCGTTCACCGGCGAGATGCCGAGACACTACCCCGAGTGAATTACTGCGCAGGGAATTGATAGCGGCATGAATAGCGAAGAGGAGAATCTCCTCATCATATGCCCCTTGTATGGATTCCATGTGTCCAGCCCGGAGGATCGGAATGCGAAAAAGGGCAGAGCATAACTTACCAAAAATCTAAACTAAAACACAGACAGAAGTGCTGGGTGGGAAATCGCGAGAAAGGTCGGGAATTGATAGGATGGGAAGACCGGTGAGAGGAATGGTGGAGGAGGAGAAAAGTCAAGGCTGACGCTGAGGGAGAAGAAGAGAAGAAGAGTGGAAGATGATGAGAGAAAGTTGGGGGAGACTGCGGTCAACGTGATTCGACAGCGACTCCGCCTAAGGCCCTCAGGAACCTCAGCCGTTTGTTGGTTTGCTCTGTTTTTTTAACTTGCCGTGAATCTCTCCCGTCAGGGTCTCTATGTGCTTTATCCTCGGGGAAGATCTACTGGAAGTACTATCTGGCTAGCCATTCGGTAGACTGGATTATTAATGACCGCGATATCTCTAGTTCCTGGGTTTGAGGCCATTCCCTCTATCTTCCCCTGTATGCCGTGCCCATCGCCCTTGCCGGTACCTATCTCGACGCCGACAAGTGGCCTGATAGGGACCATGGTTCAGCGCGCCAATGAACGGTCGCTTATTAGGTGTCTTAGTCAGAGGAACTTTAGGTTTCCGACCGCCCAAAGTGTAACTAACCAGACCGAGTCAAGCGCCGTAGTTGAATCCTTCATGTGCGGAGGATCTGATGAAGTTCCTGAGGGCTGGACGCGGAACTTACTTAATCGATCGAAGAACTTCAAGTTGGAGTGAGGGGATCTGCTGATGGATTAAATTGCCTATTCGGGTCTACAACCCCCAATCAGGAAATTATCCTGCCCACGTTCTCGTCCCCATTTCATCTACAAACTACGCATGAGAAATTAGTAGTACTAGTTATTCTTATCGTTTTCCGTAACATAATTCAGGATCAACAGGATCAGCTAGCTTTCTCGCGATCTGGGTCCCGCCACATATCAACATTCATGACATCGGCCATATTCGAAACCTGTTCATTGTACTTGTGTCTGGTCTTTTCACATGCGGTCTATTACAGGTTACGAAGGACCTGATTTATCACATGGCAAGCAAAAGCCCTAGGTAGAAAACCTAGGCAACCTAGGTACATGCCACATTCGAGTGAATTTCTCATCGAGCGGAACCGTAGATCGTAGAAGCCGTTGTGAAGGGCCCCAATTCCGCGTTCTTGATCACTTTATCAGACCCGCTACCCGGTATCTGCGCCGTCCCTAGAAGGATAACCGTAATAACCTCGGGGGACACCCGTCTCCACGCGTGTCGGGTACCGCTCTCGGGTTCGTTTGCCCGAGATGGATTGTCTTCCCCGCTCTCCGCTGCGGAGATGATTCTAGAATTAGGTAGATGTGACCTTCCGTTGGTTGTCGGTTTTTGATGTTGGTTAATCGGGCTTATGTAGACAGTCTCTGAGCTGTACTCCGTATAGTATAGTGATCCGCCATTTGAGGATCATTGCACATAGTTACATGAATTAGACTCTAAGTCACAACAATGGGTTTCGTTATTTATCGTGCATTGCCATAAAATATTGCCCAAAATCAAGTGGCACATAGTTCTCTGCCTCTAATCACACACCGTGACACAGGGCTCAAAAATAGCCATGACACCATGCCTTCCATACACGGCTCTTTCGAGTTGGTCTAATGTATCTATCTAACCTAATATAACAACTGCCCTCGTCATTCCCATGTTCAATGACTTCGTTAAACAACCAATGGAGACCTATATACAGACGCATCCAAAATTAACCAAGCTCAAAACAAAAACTCGCTGAATGGCTCATAATGGCTTAACACGCTCAACATGCTTGCCGTCAAACGTAAAGGGAAAATGCTCGTTATATGCTCATATCACGTGTCCACCATAACGGCAACTGGGATATAGAACTGATGCTTTCAGCTTGAAACCGACCAAGAAAAGAAGAAGTCTCATCGCTCATTTCGCGGGAACGCGCTCATAGAATACAATATATGCTTGTTCGTTCTGCAGTCGGTCTTTGTTTCGCAGATCGCGGGGATTGAAATCAACAGTTCGCTCATCATCGAATCTCCGCCAACACTGGCGCGCTCCGTCTCGCACCAAAGAGATGTAATGCCCGCTGCTCATAGATGATCCAATATGGCGTAGCACGCCATAGGCATCGTACGTAAACGGGGGTACAGTCGCCAGGGTAGTATCATGTGGCATAGTAGCCTTCGAATCACCATTCGACTCCGGAATTGGCGGTGAATAAACAAAGTCATCCATCCGCAGACCATGTAAAGGAAATTCAATCGGAGTGTGAATCTTCCGGGCGCTTTGTGTTTTCGACGCCGAGAATCTCTTGAAATGAATCACTAAGATTTGCGGGGCCCGAGTGATGATGATCTGCTTCGTTGCAACCCTTTCGCATTTGCAGTAAGGACACTTCCACACCTCGTCGCCACTCAACATTTCTTCTTTACAATAGCTGCGCAGACATTGATAGATATCACCAGTACCGGACGGCGGAATTTCAACGCTAATGCTGTAGAAAGCCTCATATGTCGTGGATGTCCGCTTGCAGGTTGTACAACGCAGCCGGCTAGCATGTTGACCTGCAAAAAGCGAAGAAATGAAGGACTCTTCTCGATGACAATACCGATCCCATTCAATCTTTGAAACTTTGACAACAGGCATCCTCTCCCGCTGCATCTCCTCTTCAAATGTTAGCGGCCTCAAAGGGCTTCTCTGCCAATTAATGTTCAAATCCTCGTGTAGACAATCAACAGCAAAGTCAAAGAACTCTTTGGCATCCTGCTGTCGATCGATGGCCCATTCCTGATTTAGCCTTCCACAAAAGTTACGGAACGAAGTAGGAACAATCACTTCCACGTCACCCTTCCACAATGACCTTATGAGATTGGCAAAAAGTCCCGGCATGACTCCCTGCGAGCCTTTCCAGTTCTTCTGCACATAGTATCGGAATCGGTTATCAACAAAAAATCGACTCAACATCATCGTCGCATTCAAGCATTGTATCGTCGAGTTCATATAGCAGGTTACACCAAAATTGGCAAGACCGGTCCTGGGCAACTTGGCGCGATATATTGAACTTGGAGTGTAAAGAGCAGTCTTGGTAGCAGAATTCTGCCGCGCCAATGTAGGTTGAATTTGACGGCCATCAGTAACACCGCTATAACTTGGGCGTGGAACTGCAGGTGGAGGTCGCGAGGGAGCGACGGGGACGGGAGCAGCATAATTAGGCGTAGGCGGTACTGGTGGCCGGGCATGTGGTGTCACCATTGACTCCTGGATAGCATGGGGCTCCGGGAAGCGCCGTAGAAAGTCTTCATAGGTATGCACGAATGGAGTAGGAGGCTCATCCATTTCTTGTCCCTCGGGTTCCTCTGTCATTGGCTCCTCTTCGATATATGTCGTAGTGTCAATTTCTTCCTTCTTTGACTTTTCCATCCATGCGGTGAGCTCGTCTGGATTCAAGGGCTTATATTCGCGTAACCGTCTCTTCCTCACTTCCAAGCTAGAGTTAGCGCTCGCCATCGTAGGTACTCTCCCAAGAGGCCGCCCGGGTATATTGACCGGACGCTTTGTTTGGAGCGAACTCAGGACAGTAGCCGTGGAGGATGTGGCAAGGGATTGTTGCCCAAGGATATCGATCCAGGCGTCGAGACCACCCAGCAAAAGAGCGGGAGGACGACCATCTTTCAAAGGTTTATAGGCATTGAACTCATATAGAGTATCATGGAGAGCCCTAAGATGTGGCGCTGTTGTTCCAACAGGGGATCCGGCGAGGTAGCTGACTGAATCGCTGGATTGGTCGTAGTACACTATCATGTCAAATTCGTTCCGTTTCTCGAATAGGGACTGTTCATGCTCGGGGGACACCACCAAACGCTCCTCAAGCTCCTCCGCTGACACGTTTTCTTTCAGTGCCACTGGTTCAATGCAGATGATAGATTTCGCGTATACATGTCCACTATCATATTGATCCCGCGGGCGCACGTCGATCAATAACACGTTATATCTTCGGAGATAGTCGAGTAGGTTCTGGGCGCTGATTGCAGTGCTGTGTGGCAAATCGGCAGTGTTACTTCTGTCTTCCTTCACCTGGTGGATTCCATTCGGCGTCCGCGATCTATAAGGATTGTCGTCGAAGCCGTTACGACTTGGGCTACCCCGGGAAGAATTAGCGAGATGGGAGTATCGCGGGTTGACTGGACGGGAGCTTTCGCTTGAGGTCCTAGGTGGGTTTGAAGGCGGTTGAGATGGGACTGTCCAGATTGGACTATAGGCCGGATCTGGTGCACGAGGAAGCGATGTATTGAGGGGGACTTTAGGAGGCAGGACCGGGCCATCATGTGATGACCCCATACTACGGGGTCCTAGAGGTCGCCGCGAGGGTGAAGCAAGGTTTGGATTATACAGCGACCCTTGAGGCATGTAAGACAACGGTCGTCTAGGAATATCGCCATTATTACCCTGCGCAGGGATAGGGGTATTTTGACCGTTCATCGTCGGGAATGAGTCATTCGTAGCGGGCGGTGATGCTCTTAGTTTGGCGAAGCGCTGGGCCAGCATATCTTCTGCAGGCGCCGAGTATCTATTCGGTCTCTCTTGTAGACCCAACGACCGTTGAAATTCCGACGGACTAGGCATCCGTGCTGACTTATCACCTTGTTCGGTTTGACGACCTCTTGGGCTCGGGCTTCGAAGCGTACCAGCAGGCAATAGCTCTGAAGTAGGTCTGTGGTAATTGTGCTCGGTTCCAGTCGTAGGCTGTACATTGCTCCTAAGATTGTCTTCCACAATTTGTTGCTTGATATCGTCCATAGTCCCTTGCTTTGTCCGCACAGCCTATGATCTTGTGGTCAATCAAAATTGTATGAAACAATGTAAACCAAAGATTGCTGTAACCGATAAAATAAACACGACTGGAAACCATACCATCATTAAATTTGCGAACTGCTTGTACCAGTCCGAGCGCTGGCTGGCAGTAATTCGATAATCTGGGTGGTGAGGTATGAGGTTGATAGTAATCTCAGAAGCACGAAGGTACTGCACGTAAGCTTTGTCCGGTTGATCGCTATCAGCAAATCTCCTGGCATTTTCTATTGCGGCTTGGGCTCTATTGAGAAGGACGTTGAGCTGTAGAGAGTTAGCAATCTTACTCGGGTATTTCAAAGAACCCGGGGGGCACACTGATGAATTCTCATTCACATCCAAGGCCGCTGCCTGTTCTTGAAGGTCCTTAATATTAGGAAACCGTGGAGATTGATAACCGGCTGGAGTGGCATGGTTGCTGCTCGAAAGCGACTCAGGTCTGCTAATTTGCCCCCCAGGGTGACTGATATTTTCCCACGGCGCAAAGCCCGGTGGAGAGGGCAAAGCGGCTGCATCTGAGGACATTATACAACGATTGGTAAAAGCATTTCAATCGAGACTGTACATAACCAAGAGCGCTTCAAAAAGCTCGGCGGGGAAGTGTCGAGGAAATGGGTCGGTCTTCGGAGGCGGTAACTGGCTCTGAGACGTTTGGGCGATTATCGGGAACAGCAACGGACGTCAGGCACAAAACGAGGGAAAGGAGCGGCGTTAAAGATCGGATGAGATACCAAAGAAAATTGAACGGCTGAGGATTAGGGATAAAGGACGGAGTTCCTCAGAAGGCAGACAGATTGCGGGATGTTTCTGGGGTAAAAACTGTAAGTTACACCTGACAAACATCGAAAGGATAAGAAGGATAAGGCGGCACAATAACGGTATCGATACTCACCGCCCGCGTCTATGACGCCACATGCGTATGCTTGAGTTGAGTCAGCGCAGGCCTTACCGAACGAAGCTTAGCCGTCACTTACTCCGTTAGGCAAGTTAGTACCTCAGTCGATAGGTATCGATCGATCTGCCTGGATCTTGTATCAACTCCTCCCTCTCTTCCCCTCCCAGACCTAGTATTTCTTCATAACACCGACTAGAAGGCCGAGATAACCCAGATTCATCCTGTCGCCTTCACAACACAAGGCTTACGGTCACGATTCCCTCCCTTCCGTCATTCAACGCCGCTACCCAACGTCATAGCTGCTCGTCGCTTGACCATCCTTTGACACCAATCGCGCCCCTCTGAAATTACTACCGTCGCCATGGCGGGCTGGTTCTCCTCATCCTCTCCTATTGACGATCAGGTGGAGAAGGCAACCTCATCTTCTTTGTATGTTTAATAGCGGTGTTTCCATCATCCATAGGATTCATTGTCAAATGGCAAAGCCGACCGAATCCCGATTCTAACCACTACACTAGGGAGGATATTGCCCTCAACTTAGAAGTTTCAGACCTCATCCGATCAAAGAGTGTTCAACCTAAAGATGCGATGAGGTCTCTGAAACGACGACTGGAAAATAAAAACCCCAATGTGCAGTTAGCGACATTGAAGGTTAGTTTCCCGCCACTAACTCAGAAGCGCTCATTCGCTTTCCCCGTGTACTGATGTGTTTTATTTCATAGTTGACAGATACATGCGTCAAGAATGGTGGAACACATTTCCTCGCCGAAATCGCTTCTCGCGAGTTCATGGATAACCTCGTCTCCCTTCTGAAAGCGGACGGTTCTCCGCTTAACACAGAGGTGAAAGAGAAAATGTTGGAACTGATCCAAGACTGGGCGATGGCAGCCCAGGGCCGTATGGACCTGAGTTATGTCGGGGAAACATATCGCAAGTTACAAGATGAGGGTTTCCGATTTCCGCCAAAGACTCAAATCAGCGGGAGTATGCTTGAGAGTAGTGCGGTAAGTGTGACCTGATCTTCAGCTACAGCGACCTTGACTTTACTAACATTAGATGCTGCATGAAGCCCCCGGAATGGATCGACTCAGACGTCTGTATGCGCTGCCGTACGCCGTTCAGTTTTATGAATCGCAAACACCACTGCCGGAATTGCGGAAACGTCTTCGACGCTCAATGTTCTAGCAAAAGCCTTCCTCTACCTCACCTGGGAATATTACAGCCTGTACGAGTTGATGATGGGTGTTACGCAAAATTAACCTCGAAACCATTCACACCCTCTGGATTGTCGGACCGATCCGCATTTAAGAATAACTCTATCACAAAGTCTAGCGTAATGGAACCGCGTACGGCGCGGGCGGAGGGCGGTTTTGATGATGACCTACGTCGGGCGTTGCAGATGAGTTTAGAGGAGGCGCAAGGTAGAGGATCTACTGGCTACATTCCACAGCCGAAGGTTACCCAAGAGCCGCCTCAGCCATCTAGTCAATCCAGGATCGAGGAGGAAGAGGAGGATGCAGATCTAAAGGCCGCTATTGAGGCATCCCTGCGCGACATGGAACAGCACAAGCAAAAACACGCTGCCGCTCTGAAAAACACCCCTACTACTGAACCTTCCACATCTCGAGATACACCTGGCGTGACAGCGTTACCCAAGAATCCTTATGAGTTGAGCCCTGTGGAGGTGGAGAATATTCACCTCTTTTCTACTCTTGTTGACCGATTACAACACCAGCCACCGGGTACAATTCTACGCGAGCCGCAGATTCAGGAATTGTACGAGAGCATTGGCACCCTTCGACCCAAATTGGCCCGAAGCTATGGTGAGACTATGAGCAAGCATGGTATGTTCTTCTTCAGATTTTGAGGATAGTGGTATTGACCATGGACGTATAGATACTCTTCTTGATCTACACGCTAAACTATCGACGGTTGTCCGGTATTACGATCGCATGCTGGAAGAGCGTCTCTCGAGTGCATATTCGCAGCATTCACTAGGATATGGGACCGTTCCCAGCGGCCCACGGTATCCTAACGTGTACCCCCCGATGCCGCAACATGCTCCCGAAGGGAAGAGTGGGGTTGAAAACTTCTACTATGGGAATACAGGCGCGGAAAAGCCACCAATTTCTGGGACCCCATATATCCAGCAACAACCAGAAGGAGAGGGGCTCGACAGGGCTGGAATGCGTAGCGGCGCCATGAGTCCCGGCATGTACTCACAGCCTCCTCAGGCCATGCCGCAAAATCTACCTTGGAATGGAAAGGCACAGGCTGCGTCTCCCCAGATCTCGGCCGCCAATACGCCTTACCCTCAAAGCCCCTCTGCGTATCCTGCCCCAGGCGCACCGACACATTTCTATACAGCCCCCAACCTGCCAGAACAAGATGGCAATCCTTATCAACCTCCTCAACAGAGTGAGGTGGACACCTCATATATGCCGTCACCTGTGACACGACGCGATTCATTGTACCAACCAGCTGCACATTTCAATGTTCCAGCACCGAGCGTACCAGAGCAGCCACCGTCAGCTGAGCAAATGGCGTACTTACAGCTGTCAGAGTCCCACCCTATGCAACCCGGAAGCCACCCTACACTTCACCGCCAGCCCACGGACCCTGCAGCCCAGTCTTATTACTACCAACAACAACCTTCCCCAGCGCACCCAGCCGCTGCATACTCCCAGGGGCAACCGGCGTACCATGGGGCGTATCCTGTCAACGATGCCTCTCCGGTAGGCGGAACTGCCCCTCCTACACAATATCAACAACCACCGCCATCCCGACCCGCTGTTGAAGAGAGCTTGATTGAGTTGTAAGACATGGCGAGCTTTTGGCCCTTTGTGTGACGAGAAATGGATTTTTATATTTAATTTGCTATAAATGAACTTCCCTGTTGTGATCATTATGATACCAGTTGTTTTGGTTGTTCGCAGACCGCAAAATTGTATCCCAGCCCTTGATGAATTCTTCCGACTTCCACTTGATCATGAATTTGTATAGGCCATTCAAGAAAGGCAATAGCACGCAGATCAATGGTCTGCATGTACACTAGTCAAAAAGAGCATTAGTCCGCTTGCAGTCGATGAGAATGCGGGGAAAGCTTGGTTCTCCAACCTGATTTATGGAAAATTCCTATATTTGAAGGTACATACACCATTTCCATACTACTTTTTTCTGGCAATACAACCCCCACCTCGCACCCCACATCGCTTTTCCGGGATTGGTATCGGATATCCAAGTAGCCTTCCATGTCTCAAACGGAGATGACTTGGTTGTTCGTCCGATATTCCATGCCTTCGAGAACAGGAGTACAAAATGCGGTTGACTCGCGCTGAAGTAGAGAAACACAATAGCAAGGAATCCTGCTGGGTTACAATCCATGGCTCCGTTTACGATGTGACTGGTTGGCCTCCAAATTTGATTTCAATAAAGACTATCTCTGGTTCTAATACTCTGTAGACTTTGTGGACTCTCACCCGGGAGGTCCCAATGTCATTCTCCGCTGTGCTGGGAAGGATGCAACAGAGGAATTCGACTCAGTGCATGAGCAAGAGATCCTAACACAGTCTTTGGCTGCTTCGGCTCTTCGCGGGCATATTGAGCCAGGTACGCTGGTGAAATCGAATGACATCCATGAAATTAAATCATCGAACAAAGATGCAGGTCTGCCTCCTCCACTGAGTAGCTTGCTTAATCTTCATGATTTCGAAATCGTCGCCCAGAAGCACCTACCTCCTAATGCTTGGGCTTATTACGACTCCGGAGCCGAGGACGAGATCAGCAAGCGACAAAATTCCAAGGCATTCCAGAAAGTCTCTCTTCGACCGCGCATCCTTCGCAGAATTACGACTGTAGATACAACGACTAATATCCTGGGCAAGCAAGTTTCATTGCCAGTTTACATGAGCGCTGTTGGCATTGCAAAGCTCGCCCACCCCGATGGAGAACGCGCCCTAGCAGGCGCAGCTGGGAAAGAAGGATTGGCACAAGTGCTTGCCAATGGGGCCAACAATGTTATTGAGAGTGTCATGGATGCACGAACCAGCTCAGAGCAGCCTATCTTCCAGCAGCTGTATGTTAATCGTGACATTAAAAAGTCTGAAGGTGTGGTTCGGCGTGCGGAACGCGCTGGTGTCAGTGCCATCTGGATCACGGTCGACTCTCCAGTTGTAGGGAAGAGGGAGATGGATGAGCGATTCAATCTTCAGGTTGAGGTACGAATAGTGTTGTCTAAGATGACCGTATTCGACTAACAATTATTCTACCAGGCGAGGGACGACCCGTCCAGAAAAGGGCAAGGCGTTGCCAAAACAATGGCCAGCTTCATCTCCCCATTTATCGACTGGGATATCCTGTCGTGGTTACGGGGCCTCACCAAACTACCTATAGTCATCAAGGGGATTCAATGCGTTGAGGATGCGGTACAAGCATATCACTGTGGAGTGCAAGGGATTGTTTTATCTAACCATGGAGGACGATCACAAGATACGTATGTCCAAATTCAACAATGCACACACATTGTTGAAGACAACTGCTAATGGTAACAGCGCCCAGGCACCCCTCCTCACACTTCTTGAGATTCGACGATATGCCCCGTTCCTCATTGGCAGCAAAATGCAAATCTTCATTGACGGCGGCATTCGACGAGGCACCGATGTGTTGAAGGCAGTGGCTTTAGGAGCGACCGCTGTAGGTTTAGGTCGGCCTACGTTGTATAGCCTTGCAGCAGGATACGGTGAGCAGGGGGCTCGACGAGCCATTGAGATTCTACGACAGGAGATAGAGTCTAATATGATGTTTTTGGGAGTCAGGAATCTAAAGGAGCTAGGACCGCATCTTTTGAATACTGCTAGATTGGAGAGAGACGTGGTTGGATCAGTGAAGTTGTAATACACCGGACTATAGCAACACACCATACTACCCCAGTTGTCAAGGGCTCGTAAAATACCAACTCACAATATCAGTTCTATTTGAGGAGATTCTTTACCTTATGACAACACTAGTAATCCGCATCCTTAACCTTAGTAAATCACCCCCACGCAGCCACGCCCTGTCCTCGGTCTTCCCCCGAACCCCGCATGGGGCTTTCTTTAGTGTATGTGTATGTGTATGTCTATCACCATCTCAAAGTTTTATCACTACGTACCATCTCCTAAAACGCTTTTACTGAACTCCATTAAAGATGAGCAACCAAATTGATATTCTTCTCTACGGCCTAGGAGCGTAAGTCTCCAATGCCTTCTACTTATGCTGCTTCACTGACCGTTCATGATAGCATTGGCTCCTTCTATGCCTTCATCTTAACCCGCAATGACCGAGTCCGTCTAACGGTAGTAGCGCGGTCAAACTACGACGCGGTCAAGGAAGACGTACGTATATCGATCTGTCAGATGTTAGACTAATCGGGCGCAAACCGTTACTGACATTCTCCCGTCCGTAGGGTATCTTCCTCGACAGCGGAAACCATGGGCAGCACAGATTCCACCCTCACCACAGTAATACAACCCTTGTCTACATGCATATGCATAAAGGACTAACAGATCTAGTCATAAAATCCCTCGACGAAATATCCGGTCCATTTGACTACGTCATCTGCGCGCATAAAGCCATCGACCAAGAGGCAGTGGTAACCCGATTACAGCCAGCTGTGAACGAAAGGACAACTATTGTCATCATCCAGAACGGCGTTGGTAATGAGGAACCATTTCGGAACACATTTCCCATGTCCTCTATTATCACATGTGTGGTATGATTCTCTCCAGCGATACGCTCTGTATGTGGTACTTACGAATCAAAGACATGGGTAGGAGCTACGCAAACATCACCGGGAACGGTTAAACATACCAAGTCAGAAGACATGCAGATTGGTCTATTCCCCAATGCATCGGTAGATGAAACACTTGAGCGGACTCGATTGAACACGTTTTCTTCGCTGTTAGAGGAAGGTGGAACTAAGTTCCAGGTCCTGGAGGATATGCAGCGCCAGCGCTGGGAGAAGGTCGTCTGGAATGCGGCTTGGAATCCTCTGACTACTTTAACCTTGCTCGATACACAATCTTGGCTCCATTCCAGCAAGGATGCAACGCCCTTAACACGCCGTTTGATGCGGGAGGTTATCGACGTTGGTCGCAGGTGTGGTGTGCCGTTGGAGTATGGGCTTGTTGATGAGTTGATGGACAGGATTAACTCTTTGCCGGGTGTTGGGAGTAGCATGCAGACGGATTATAAGAATGGTAGGCCCATGGAGGTGGATGTTATCTTGGGGTTTCCGGCTAGGAAGGCGAAGGAGTTTGGTATGGAGACACCGGTTTTGGATACGATTCATGCGCTGGTGCGGGCTGTGGATGGTCGTGTGAGGGCTTCTTTGTAGATCACTATATTACATATAAGTTTCTATATGCTCGCTTGATTGAGAGGCTTTGGAATTTTTACGTATAGCAGTATCTGACAGAGCATATCGAGCAATGTACAGTTCGGCACTTGATTACTCTGGGGGGTCATAAGTACCTGTACTGTCAGGCAAGCTTCATAAGTCTATTAACTCGGACCAAGACTTTGACCCATGCTAAGGCAGTACTTGGGCATCGCACATCGAGTCAGCTTGGCTACGTTGCAACCCAACAAATCAGAGAAGCATGATAAAGCATACGCTGCCGGTTCGCCAAACCAAACCCCCACGCACTACGCACGGAATATACCAGGCCAGGGTCTAGGAAAAGACAACCCAGCATGTTAACTTAAAGGCTTCCCCGCGGTTACAATGCGGAGAACAGCCCACTTCCCCAGATTCCAGCACCCCCACGCACTTGGCTCAAGGATGGGGACTAAACGTCACTTCCGGCAGATCAGCGTCTACTAGCACTATAGAGCTTGTTAGCAGCAGGTGGGGAAGATTAAAGTCCAATGTCCCTCAAACAGACTTGATCTCCGTAGAGGAGACAGAACCAGACACCATAGAGCATAGCAATGACTGCAGAACAACCAACCCCAGCTCCTACTCAACCAGCTAACCATGGAAGCAAACCCTCGATGATGCACGTCGAGGCAATCCCTGAGCAGCCTGGTAAGATCCAGAATGGTGACACTGCCTTGGCGCTCTTTGAGAACTTCGACGAGCTGCACGAAGATGTCGACCCAGGGGAACTAAAACGGCTTGTTCGCAAGATTGATTTTATGATTCTGCCCTTTTTGGCTGTTTGCTATGCGTTTTACTATGTGAGTCCTTCGTTCATCCGTTTGTGTAGGTCTCTAACGGCGCTAGATTGACAAAACTACTCTTTCATATGCGGCCATCTTTGGCATTAATGAAGATCTGAGTCTATCGGGAGAGCAATACTCGTGGTTATCCAGTGTATTCTATTTCGGGTTTCTGGTAAGATACACTACTATCCTGACTATCCAGTGTTAGACGCCCATAAGAGCTTAGCTGCGAGGGACCCTTCACACCGGCACATCCTGACTGTATCCAAGATACGCAGGCTAAATTCATATCATCCCAGGTCTGGGCCCTTCCAACCAACTTCCTGATGCAGAAGTTCCCCATAGGCAAGTATCTGGGTGCCAACATCTTCCTCTGGGGGTTCTTTCTCATGCTCCAAGGTACGTTCGTCCTCTCACACGATAATTACATACTTCCTACTAATATCCATAGCGGCTGCAAAGAACTTCGTCCAACTCGCCGTGCTCCGCGTAATCTCCGGCGCAGCAGAAGCATGCAGGTACATACCCTTCCACCCAGGTTTACCCAGAAACAGAAGTCTAACAGCCCAGCGACCCTGCCTTCATGCTCATCACAAGCATGTGGTACACGCGCCGTCAACAACCCATCCGAATCGGACTCTGGTATACCGCCAACGGCTTCGGCATCGCCTCGGAGGTCTCCTCGGGTACGGCATTGGACACATCAAAGGCACCCTTTCCTCCTGGAAATATGAGTTCTTGATCATCGGAGCCCTTTGCTCAATCTGGGGTATAGTAATAGTCGTCTTCCTACCCGATTCTCCGGTGACAACGCGGTACCTGTCGCCCCGCGAGAGACGCCTCGCTGTAGAACGACTGCGAGAGAACCAGACGGGTGTCGAGAATAAAACGCTTAAGCCTGCGCAGATATATGAGGCTTTCCTGGACTGGAAGGTCTGGGTGTTTCTCCTCCTGGGGCTATCGGGGAATATCCCCAACGGGGGAATTTCGAACTTCGGGACACTGATTCTGAAGGGATTCGGGTTTTCTACCTGTATGTTAGGCAATTTCTTTGATAACCTCTTTCAACTGGTTGGGGTACTGATACTGATGCTGATGATCTGGGGAAAACGCAGTGGTAACAACCCTCATGCAAATCCCCTACGGAGCCTTCATAGCCCTCATGATCCTCTTCAGTATCTGGCTGAACGACCGCCTCCCCCAGAACAACCGCTGCTACGTGACCATCCTATTCCTTCTCCCCAACCTCGCTGGCTCTTTTGGGCTCTGCTACCTCCCCGGATCAAACAAAGTCGGCCGTCTCATCTGCTACTATCTAATGGGATCCTACAACGCCTCTTTTGTGCTCATTCTCTCCATCCTCACGGCCAATATCGCCGGCCACACGAAGAAAGTCGTCACGAGCGCGATGATCTTCATCGGTGTTTGCGCCGGCAATATCGCCGGCCCATTCTTCTATAAAGAGGCGCAGGCGCCGCAGTATCCGCTGGGCATTTGGTCGATGATTGTGTCTCATTTTGTGGAGATCGTGCTGGTGGTTTTATTGCGGGCGGCGCTGGCCTGGGAGAATCGGAGACGGGATCGCTTGCAGGGAATTGGGCCCGGTGGGGAAGGTGAGGAGGCGAGGCAATGGGAGATGGATCGAACGGCGTTTAGTGATCTGACGGATAAGGAGAACTTGAACTTTAGATATGTTTACTAGATTCGGGCCCTTTTGCTTGTTTGGTGTGTTTTGGTGTATTGGTTCTTTCTTAGGGCTGAGTGAGAATGGGGTTCGGACTTGTTTCCGATGCTTTGGCGCCGGGGGGGGAGGTTTTCCGAGTACCTACAACCTTGTAACATGGCTGTTATTGAATCGACCAATCTGGGTTCGCTGTTGGCAATGGTGTGTATTGAGGAGAGCACTGCACTTCCCCCGTATTTCTCCACGAATAGAGCTCCCTATCTAGAACGTGGGATGGCAGGGCTTCAGAGCTCATCACACCCCCGGACTTTGTAACGACCCCCACGCGGGGAAGTATGCAGTATGTGCACTGTCTGTTCGATTGTATATATAGCTCAACGGTAATGACGAGATAGTAGTCATAATCATCTATCTGTCTCGCTAGGAAACCAGAAATGGCCAGAATCAAGTCAATTGAGTACTTCCGCGTTAAGCCTCGATGGCTTTTCGTCAAGGTCACCGACGAACAGGGCCGATTCGGCTGGGGTGAAGGTACTCTAGAAGGCCATACACAAGCTGTGGAGGGAGCTTTGGATGAGCTCATCGCGAGGCTAGTGGGTTATGAGGCTGAGTATGTCCCATCCTACCTTCGGTGCTTTGGGTTCGTTCTCGGTAGAAAGTACTAATCAATGACAGTGATATTGAGCATATCTGGCAGACGGCTTGGCGACTGGGTTTCTACCGCGGTGGACCTGTGTTCATGTCGGCACTTTCCGGAATTGATATTGCGCTTTGGGATTTGAAGGGCCGTGTGCTTGGGGTACCGGTTTACCAACTGCTTGGAGGAAAGGTGAGACAGAAGGTACAAGTCTATGCGTGGATCGGAGGTGACCGGCCCAGTGATGTGGAAGTCGCAGCGTATGTATTATGTTCCTCCCTACGCAGATACCGGTATATACTTAGCTTGTGATAGGAAAGCGCGCATCGCCCAAGGACTCAAGTGCGTCAAGATGAACGCTACGGAAGATGTCAATTGGCTAGATTCACCCTCAGCTGTGGACTCTTGCGTTGAGCGATTGAAGCAGGTCAAGGCATTGGGTCTCGACGCAGGATTAGATTTCCACGGCCGACTACACAAGCCTATGGCTAAGCAACTAGCGAAAGCATTGGAGCCATATCGTCCATTGTTCATTGAGGAACCACTGCTTTGCGAACACCCTGAAGCGCTCAAGCAGCTCTCCGATCTGACAACGATCCCTATCGCGTTTGGAGAACGATTGTATACGCGGTGGGATGCGAAGAGGTTTCTGGAAGACGCGTCTGTGGATGTCTTGCAGCCGGATATTGCGCATGCCGGTGGTATTTCAGAGACGAAGCGAATCGCTACCATGGCCGAGACTTACGATGTGGCGATTGCGCCACATTGTCCGTTGGGGCCCATCGCGCTGGCGGCGTCTATTCAGGTTGCTTTGTCTACGCCCAATTTCGTTATCCAGGAGATGTCGTTAGGGATGCATTATAACGTGGAAGCGGGGGATATTGACTTAAACAGCTATCTAGTGGATAAGTCGGTCTTTGATATCAATGAGGGATATGTGAAAGCACCGTCCGGTGTTGGGCTAGGGATTGAGATCGATGAGGCCATGGTCAGGACAATCAGTGCTGAGACAGACCCATGGCTTCCAAAGGAGTTTTACGGTCCAGATGGCGGCATTCGAGAGTGGTGATCTGGTTGTATGTAGTTTGGTAGTGTTGAGCTGATAACCTAATGTCTTTTACGCGGAACATCTATAGGGCTGATTGTTCACCATATTACTAGTAGACAAGCTCCACGCGGAAGATGCGGGGGCGTGGGGGTTCACATAACATATATTCGAGGGGAAATCTGGCGTTGAGAAATAAGCAGCTATAAATAGTCGGTTTGCTACGCGCAACTTCGCTGCGATGTTAATAGTCGGCCACTAGCGTCCTGCATCATTCACCATAATGGATCTCTTTTCGCTCACGGGTAGGACCGCCCTTGTTACGGGGGGAACTCGAGGCATTGGACAGCAGATGGCGATTGCTATGGCTGAAGCCGGTGCAGATATCATTCTGGTTCAGGTAAATTGATATCTCCTATCAGCCAAGCAACAACAGCTCCAGAGATCTGACTCTTCCGGTATGCAGAGAGACGCCAGCAATCAAGACACGCGGCAAAGGATCGAAGGTTTAGGGCGCAATGCAACGATATACACAGCCGATCTATCTTCTCGGGAGTCTGTCTCTTCATTAGTATCAGCCGTCTTGAATGATGGGCATGATATCGACATCCTTCTCAACTGCGCGGGGATTCAACGGCGACATCCGAGTCATATCTTCCCGGATGGTGACTGGGACGAGGTATGCTACTTCCCCGTGGTTGAAGAGTGATATGCATATCAACTCTAACGGTGGCAGGTCCTCCAAGTCAATCTTTCCACTATTTTCACCCTCTGCCGGGATATCGGCGCCTATATGCTCACCCGGACCCCGGATTCCTCCGGCCACCGCGGAAATATCATCAACATCGCCTCTCTTGTTTCATTCCAAGGCGGATTGACCGTACCGGCTTACGCAGCCGCAAAAGGTGGCGTGGCGCAATTGACAAAAGCACTATCAAATGAATGGGCCGCCAAAGGAATCAACGTTAACGCGATCGCCCCCGGTTATGTAGCCACGGACATGAACACGGCGTTGTTGCAAGACCCTGAGCGGTCGGCAAGTATCCTGGCGAGAATCCCCGCGGGACGATGGGCAACCCCGGAGGATTTCAAGGGAGTGACGATATTCTTGGCGAGTCGAGCAAGTGGATATGTTTCTGGTGAGATTTTGACGGTCGATGGCGGGTGGATGGGGAGGTGATCAGGGTGTGTATTGTACATTAGGTGTGACAATAAATACATAGTGGAATGTTAATTGGCGAGCAATTCCAGATTAAAAATGTAATGGCTCAACTTGGTGGAGTTATTGGTTGATTGGAGGTGTTTCGCTCGAGCTAATCACCAGCCATTGTATAATTATCATCTATATAGGCCGTCGATACCATGGTAATGCTGTCTCTTAGTGCTGATTAGTCTGGTATACTTCGCAGGCCGAACTTTAGTCAATGAATCATGGGGTACGGGGCTGGTCCGGCTCTTGGCCAGAAGAACACCGTGATGACTGGTCAGTAGAGTGTACCTATCAGTTACTAACGAGTAGTCCTGTTAACTATGTACATGCTACAAAGGTGCCTGCCCAGGATTTACACTCTCTTATTCTTTTCAGGGATTCGATATTGCGTGCTGCACCGATCTGTATGATGACGTATGAGGATCGGCAAGTGCTGGAGGGGAAATTCATGGAATATGCACAGAAGATATCGTGCTGTTTTCATACCAGCAGACTGGTCCAATCGGTCCCCCATGAGGGTGGAGGAGATTCTGAGGAAGAAAAAAGATCCAATGAAGGCAATGCGAGTCGAAGGAGAAGGGATGATGACTGGATTCAAAGGGAAAATCTACGATCCACCCCAATGCGGTCTAGACTCCCGGATCCGTAACGCGTAATGGTAATACCCAAATTCATTCATTCCTTCTCTCTTTCTTTTCCCTTCATGAAGAACCTCTCCTTTTCTTGACTCATTTTCCTTCTGGTTCTGAACCGGATTTCTCTTTCTTTCCCTCTCATCATTCATCTAGAATTTTTCCGGGTGAGAAAGCGCTTTGAGACTTTCAATTTAAACCCCTCGCCGCCACGCGTCTCTGCTCTCGTCAGCTTAATTTCGTCCATCCCTTTGCCTGATATTTTTTACTACTGCACAGATTGATCCAAACCCTCGGGTGTAACGAACTTCTCACCTCCACCAATTGCCTGGCGCGCTCCCCGCGCTGTCGGGGGATACACAGTACTTGATACCTAGGCTCAGGACGCAAGCAAGCGCTCTTTTATTATACTTTCTTTTTCCTTACTTGTCCACCCGACGAGTTTCTCCGCAAGGCCAACGTGATTGCAACGATCTACCCTCGGCAGCAGCTGCTCGTCGCCCCATTCGTGGTGTGCACACTCACACACCCTTACCGCCGCCATGCCGACCTCTAACACCTCTTCCCCCGTCAAGCGCCCCGGTCTGGGTCGTCGCGCAGTCTCCTCACACGCCGTCGTCACGCGATCGACATCCACCCAAAGCGAACTGGCCAACTCCAACTCCGCCCACCAACAATCCTCCAAACTCTCTCACCGGCAACACCGTGCCCATATCGTCGGCGGTGGTCATCGCAACCACCATCGTAATCCGTCTTTTGGCAAAAATCTGAATAAACAGCTCCAAAGACATCTCTCTCACACTCAAATTGAGCCGGAAAGACCCGCTCGTCATCATCAGCGCAAGAAGTCCGCTCCTACGACTCCCGCTGCTGTCACACCTGCCGCAAGTCCGCGCGGGACAAACCACGTCCGTTGGGATGGAGCCTTGGACGATAGTCACCAAACCACTACTTCGATGAAAAAAAACAACTCAAGCCCTGCGCTTCGCCGAAACAGCAGCAGCGTCATAGGGAAAGTAGGGAAAAAGGCCCTGGTCACCGATCGCCCACATACCAGTTCTGGCAAGAAGAAAACTGTGGGCTTCGAATTGGCTGATTCCGACGACAACGACGACGGGGACTGGGAGGATACTACTCAGTCGCCGGAGAGCACTAGGCGCAGTTCCGTCGCTCAATCTAAGGACAGTGTGGAGAATACGACGGTATTGGTGGATCCCTTGACATTTGTTAAGCGTTCTTATCCACAGTTTCCTCGGTCGACCAGCCTTCCCGAGTCGAGCCTGAATAATTTTGGTCACAACAACCCTTTGCCGGACGACGACAGTGACGACGAGCCCAGCGAAAACAGTGATACAACACAACAACCGCCAACGACCGAAGAGCGGGAAGAAAATAGTCGCGCCACTGACCACGGTGATATTGCATCTCGCCTGCTGACTCCCGCACACTCTGCTAAAGCACCGCCCGCCATGTCCTCCATATCAGCCACAGCGAAGCCAGCCACAGTCGATTCATTGTCACGCAATGCTTCTCTAACCAATATAGCTTCCGGCCACGATGGGTTACGCCGACCACCACTCTCCTCATCTCAAAATACAATGGCCAATACCCCAGGCAATTTGACGCAAGCTACATCATCTTCGATCGAGGGCGGCGTGTCGAGGTTCATTAAGACTGGCTTCCGTGCAACTTCTCGTACAGATTCGGATCCCAACACTCCGTCCTCTTTCTTACCCCATTATCACCCCCAAACACCTCCCTCTCCTGGTCGTGGAGCAAGTTCGAAGAGAGCACGAGCATCCCCTCCCGCCCGGCCGCCTGGCGCAGAACCGCACTCTCGCACCCAGCAGAAGCTGTGGCTGCAGCGCACTGCCGCTCTGAACACCTCCCCTCCTGATGGCCATGGCGTGACAGCGATCGCACCTCCGTCGGCAATGGACCCGGCCTTCATGGCCGCAGCGCACACCCGACCAGGAGCCGGATTTGATGCAGGAAGAGGACTTGTCAATGGGGCGTCGCGGGCCGGTCCTGCGCACGACAATGAAGCAAAGCATGTCCGCAAGGCATATGAGAAAACCGCTTTGGAGCTTACAGTGGTTCGACGGTTCCAGTCACCGACCGGGGATAGTTTCCGTCGTTTGGCATCCCTTGTCAATGATACTAAATTGGGTTCCAGCCACCAGCGACATTCGTCCCTCGGCAAACCAATCAAGTCAGCGCCCGCCTTGACATTGCTCCAAAACGGCAAACAGCAGTCACCCAGCCAGAACAGTGCAATTCCAGAGCCGAAACAATTAATTAGTCGGAAGCGCTCGGATCTGAAACCCTCCGCCTCCCAAACATATCTTCAAGAGCCCGCCGATCTCGCAAACGAAACTGCAGATTCCTCACAACGGCCCAAATCCCAACATCCTTCTCACCGCATTCTCTCTACATCCGATGAAGCTGCCCATACGACTCCCGCCGGGGAAGAGTACCCCGAAGAGCCATCATTTATGGCCAGCGAGGCCGAGATGATGATTCGTCGTATGTGGGAAAGCCGTGAGGTAGCCACCGTCGGCTGATATACAACCACTACGACTACAGCTTTAGTTATGCCCTCATGTCTTCACTATTGACTCAAGTCTTTCAACATTGCTTGTCCTCTATTTTCCCACTGTTCTCATCCTAATGGCTTGGGCATATATGGCGTTCACGGTGCATTATGTATAGCGTACCAACTCATTTCGGGGTCCAATCTTATGCGTGCACATTATCTTGATGGGCGTCTTGCGTTCAGATCGCTTCTGTTGCTTTCTTACTTCCTCTGTCACTTATTATTCCCCGAGCATAGATATCTTCGTTTAATATTTGTAATGTATTCACTTTCCAGCGTGCCCACGAATGGTTTACATAGGCAGGCTAATTCATGATTCTCAAGGTTTCTTCCAGATTCAGTATCTTTCCATCTAAGATAGCATAAATGTATTCCCAATTCCATGTCTGTATATGTCATAAATAATGAATACACAACATACATATTACAATAGATCCATAGTGCAGAGCCCGCCGTCTATAGTGACAAAGAATCTAAAGAAAAGAAAATCATGATAAACAAGACGAGTTGTACACAGGACAACATTGAAACAGAAGAACAAAGAAAAAATAAGAATAAGGATAAGGATAAAATGACATCAAATATTCTCATCCCGATCTTTACCTCGCCCACGGCCACCACCACCTCTCCCACTCCGACGGGCATTATTCCCACCAGCAGCGGCATCAACATGAACAGTCCGCTGCTGACGGGGCGTCGAAGCTGAGTTCTTCTTCTGCCCAGGTTTGTCGGGCCCATTGCTCCGAGATAATTGTTGAGAAGGAGCTGGTGTAGAGGTATTCCCGCTGCCTTTTCCTCCTCCACCGCCACGTCTCTTGCGCTGTTGACCCTGACCCTGACCTCCCTTGCCACGGCCGCCGCGGCCAGATGGGCCGTCTCTCTCGTTCTCTTTTTGGTCCACGGGGGGCAGGCCTTGGATGCGTCTGCTTTCTTTATCCCACCATTCTTGGAATTCTTGTTCGGCTTGGATATCTTGCAGGTTGTGTTTGGCTGTTGCTGCTTCGCGAATTTCGTCTTTTTCTGTTTGTTGTTGCATGAGGATTGTGGCTAGGGAGAGGGAGTTGGGGGACGGGGAGGTGAAGCTGGTTTGGTATGGTTCTGGACGGGGGATGTGGCGGACTGACTGGATCGCGGGTCGAGGTTGAGGGGTTGCTGGTGGGTTGGGGGGTGGCGCTGTTGATGGACCTGAGATGGAAGGTTTGGAGGGAGTCTGGGCGCTTGTGGTAGAGGTTTTACGGTTCTGGATTTGTACAGGTGGTGTTCCCGGTTTTGATGGCGGTGGTGTCCCGGCGACGGTTTGACGGAGGGTCATGGAGGGCGCCTTGGGGGTTGATTTGACCGAGCCGGGGGTTGGGCTGTCTTGTCCGTCGGTAGCTTCTAATGGTATCGGTTTGGTGGGTGTAGCCATCTTCCATGGGTTTTGGGGTGGTTCTTTGGCTTTTTTCTGAGCGGCAAGCAGATCTTGCATTTGTTGTTGCTGGATCTTCTTGCGCTCCTTTTGAGATAGCTTTGGAGTGAGGTTGTTGCTGTTGTTGCTGTTGCTTTCCCGAGGAGCGGAAGACATGCCTAGGCTGAGATTCGACACGCGATTTTCTGATGCTTCGTCCATGATGTCTTTTAGATTTTTCTTGGAGCCTGAAACCACTGATGCACTCCATGGTTTTTGAGAGACGTCTTGTGGAGTAAGAGAACCGTTCTTCTTCCCGTTCAGCGCACTAGCTCGTAGTTCAGTGGGAGACGCTGCAAGTATAGCATCTTCTGGGGAGGCCATTTGATCATCCAGGTAACTTCGGCCTTCCAATGATCCTCCCTCTGTCAGACTAGAGCCCAGAGCCGGCGAGTCGGGGTATGAGCGAATGTCATTGGCATCATTTGGTTTGACCCCACGGACTGCCGTCTTTCCTTTAATAGATTCTCCCGGTATAAGCAGATTCTCGTCATCCATCTGGAACATCAGGTCTCCGATTGAATGCTTGGGCCTCAACGATGGGCTACGTGACGTAGCAGCCGAAGCCCCCTTAGTAGGAGTCTGTTGCGCTTTCTGTCCCGAGGGCGCTGAAGGCGTGAGTGTCGCTCGAAGCCTTCCTTCACTCGCCTCGATTTGGCTGATATGTGACCGAAGCCTCATGGAATCAATCTTCCTCCGCCGGTCTCTTTCTACCAAGGATACAAGCTCGGGGTACTTTTCAAAAACATATTCTTCGGAGTTGCGCCCTCGTGACACTGGGAAGCTCGAAAGCTGATTCTCGTGACAAACAGAATCAAGCGCACCCAGCAAAAATTCATCAAGATCCTCCAAAAATCTAGGAAAGTGTCAGAAGCCAGTAATACTTCGGCTAGGTCCCAATTCCTACCTATTTGAGAGTAGATCTTCCAAATTCAAGCAAATATACTCTAACGCAGCATCTTTGAACTCTGTCACACAACAAGGCGCAGTAGCGTTGAGTAGATGACACACATTACGTGTAGTTACTAGCTTTCGTTAGTAACTCGACCAGTACACAGATTAGAAGAGGCTGCAACTCAACATACCGAACCTGCCAAGCATCTTCTGACAGATTTGACCCAACCGGTCAATCATCAGCTCATTCGCCACAAAAGCAACATCAAGCACTAGGTCAATGAATTCTTCCAGGTCATTCGTTCGAACTTGGTCGAAAAGTTGTTCCTCCGTATCTGCATACATATACCTAAGCACAAACTCAAAGACATGCCGATCAATATGCTTTAGATCCACGTATATATCGTCGGTTGGATCTATACGGCGGGAGGAAAGCCATCTGCCACCTGAACGGCCACGGAACAAAGCGTCAAAAAATGGACATCTTTGGCAAATAACTTGGCTGTGAACCCTCATAGTGCCATTTTTCAACTCAACGATCACATCACCACTGTCAAAGAACGTGATATCATTGATCGCACGTTCCATATCTGACTTCAGTGCCTTTGTAGGCTCAATCATTAACCTGGCAGATCTCTCTAGACTGTGAAGGCCCAGGCACGTGGCAACACGCATCACTTCAGAACGGACCTGACGATATCTAGATGCACTTTCCGGCGTATGTTTGACTAGCTGCCACACTTCAAAAATATTGTCTGTGTAGGAGTAGAAAGCGAGGTTCAGAAGAGTCAAGAAGTCAACCCCTTGGAGTTGAAGCTGTGCATATCCTTCTCCATCGTAATTGATCGTAAGCACGTCAGGAATGGAGAATGATTGTGCGTGCCGTAGATCATGGAATGCCTTTCTCAGAACCGGGCTGCGCCCTGTCAGGATGAATTCGTGCACAGGTATACGTATGTCAGAGGTTGTGGTGGTGACCCATACTGTTCCGGGGAAACGTCCGGTCTGCAGCGGCCGGAAATAGGACTCGACATCTGGCTCTGACATGATGGCCTTCTTGATATTGATGATAGGCTCTGAGTCCAACACACCGTCTTGATGAATAGCAACAGAGCCTACTACAGAGTGGAAAGGTGAGAGTGGTAACATATCCTTCCACAGTGTGCTTTGGTCGATGTTAATTTGCTCCCTGGTCACGTCACAGTTCCGTTGCACGGCTGCGAAAGCTCCAAATGCATTGCTACATACGCTCACAACTCGAGAAAGCCCAGGGACGCGGACAAATTTGTGGTCTTTTGAACTATCCTTCGCTTTCCCCCGCTTTTCTTTCCTCCAGGCCGATCCAGAAGCTGTGCAAATGATGATCGAGCCATCTTGTCCAACATCAACGTCTCTCACAGCCATGTGCGCCTTCTTCACAGACCACACTCGAGCCGGTGTAGATAAGGAATTCCGTATTTTAGTTGGGTTTGTGGTAGAAGTCGAACTCGGTGGATTCTCTGTCCTGTTGACTTGTACTGTGAAGACTTCACCAGAACTGGACAACGCACATATGGTATTTCCACCGGACGTTACTTTAATGATACGATTGACGGAAGTATCGTACCGGGTGGACATGAAGCTGTTCCTAATGAAACTCGAGCTGATATCCAAAGGGAAAGACAGTCTCGAGTAGCCATACTGTGAAAATACCCAAACATCATGGTTCTGGAGAAGAATGGCGGTGGCTTGGTCAATAGCGGACACGCTCTGGATTGGAGCACTAAAAAGAGACGCTCCGACACGCCGAGGGGTCGTCTGAGTTTCAAGAGATCGGGCATCTGAGTCGACAAGTCCAAGCTGACCTTCATTCTTGCCAAAAGTATAAAGACCAAAGTTGCTGAAAACGACTGAATGTATCGCAGATGCTGCAGCTCCAAGGATGGTCTCCTTTTTGAACGGGTTGAATATCTGTCGTGGGGTCTTCTGCATGGGCACATCGTCTCGATTGTTGGTTCTTGGAAGACCATAACCTAATTGACCAAACTTGTTGCTTCCCCAGCTGAATATCTCGCCGTCCTCTGTAATTGCGAGAGTGTGATCCTGGCCAAGGGCAACAGAAATAACCTTCTTGTTGGCCAACCCTCCGGTCTCAATGCAGACAAAGCCGAACCGTGTTGACTCATCACCGGTACCTAAGCGCCCTCCGGGGCCGAAGCCGCACAAGAACAGGTTCGACTCTGGATCGTTTGTGAGAATGGCTGTGTGCAGCTTGGACATGGCAATGTTCTGAATTTTGATATGTTTGTTCTTGACCAATGCTGGCAAATCCGTAACTCCACGCACTTGTTGGAGATCTGAACTCCCTTCATCCAAATGCTGCTCTTGGAATTCGGAAAAGAACCGCTGCAAAAGGTGATCTGGACGTTGGAAAGTTATTCGCTCGGGATACTGGCGGTCGTCATGATCCCCTACACCAAGATTCAGGTTCTTATTGCTCCCAAATGTAAATACTTCGTCACCTAGTACATTTGTTCTCGGCTTTAGCGCTCGCTTTGCAAAATGACCGTCTTCGTCGAAGTCGTCAGGCTGTGAGGACGCAATGGAAGCAATATCCGCATTGTCAAGATCGCCGAGCTTTAGATCAGTCACTACCGGAGAGACAATACTCTTGATCTCACGAGATGCAATTGTAGCTCCATATACATCAAAGGGGCTGTATCCTTCTCTATCTTTGATTTTTATCAAGGTACCACTCGCGTTGGTTGTATTTCCCGATTTACTAAAGTCTGTTGCATCGCGCACATCGCGAGTCAGTAACGCTTGGGCAATGGCGGCATTGCCCGCATACAAAGCCCGATGCAGCGCTGTCCACCCACTCTCCCAATCTTGTGCATATATGTCAATGAAAGGCACCTCGAGTAAAGCCACCGCAAAGTCGGTCGCAGTAGGTTTCGTCGACGAAGCCACAAGGTGGAGTAGCGTTCTGCCAAATTGATCACGAGCGTTCAACTCCTCCCGAGACAATGGTCTTCCACTCCGAGGTGTATTGCTTCGATCCGGGACCGGACTACCTGGCGACGTTCCGCTCAATTTCTTGCTTTTGAATGAGAGACCAGTAGAGGTTATGGTACCCCCAGGGCTTCCGATCTTGAAATTAGACGATCCGCCAGGTCCTGAAGCCCGCTGGCTACCGGAGGTATAGCTGGCAGTTGCCAGAACCCGCCGGAAGCTATCAACGTCATCGCGCAAAAAGAACTCCCAAAGCTTGCTACTCATGTGCCCCAAGTTATAGTATGTCAGAATCTCTTATCAGCCGAGGACCAGAGCGTCGTGTTCACCACAGAGGGTTCACGGCGCACCGGAAGAGCTCCGCGGGGCGAGAAGAGTATTCTGACAGGAAGAGAAGGAGTCGACAGTCGTCAACGCGTAGTCGTAGTCTCGGATTGTAGTCGGAGAATGGTATGCACCAACGTGATAGCCGTATCGAAGGCAGAGGAGATGATACGAAGGAGTACTGGAGCGTGTCGTAAAATGAACGATATGCGGTGGCGATGACAGCTATGTCTTATATTATCTCCGAGCCTCGGACGTGAGGGTAAAGGAACTTTCAGCGTGGTCGGTTTGATTCGCCAATGGGACGCGACAGCAAAATCGATACAGAGGAGTAAATTCGAGCAGTGATAGAAGCGATTTCCGTCGATATGTTCTCAGAGGGTTTTCGCTCTTCTTTGAGTCTTTGATAGTGCTGTCACGGGATTTGAAGGATGACTGACCCATGGATTGGAGGGATGATCGGACAGTGTCCAATCAGGCGGTGCGCACCCCTCCATGCGCGGAGACGAGAGGCTGAGGAACGACGCGCTTCCAACTACTACTAGTAGTATGAAACCCCTCACCCGACTACATCCATGCCTTTCGGGTCCAAACGGTCTTCATGATGCGAACCATGGAATTAAGCTTCGGGTGTCAAATGTAACCCTAAACCCATGCTGGAATCTATACAGTCTTCCTAATGTCCCGATAATGGGGTCTACCCTAAAACATCCTGGGTATCCATCACAGGATAGGTAAACAGCCCAGTGCACCTCTATATACTCATACACAGGATAACTACTTGTAGGGCGACCAAAATCGATCGCTAGATCTATGTTCACCATCAACAGTAGAATGGCCGGACAATCAGTGATGTCTATGTGAATCGAGGGATTAGGCAAGAAAAAATCTGTCTAAAAATGAACCAGCCAATGATCGCACATATTGAGTAGTTCTATATTCTTATATCCGATCCCACTCATAAAGTTACCACGCTATGAACGCAACATTCATTCTGTTAATGGCATCAAACAGACACATATGTACCTTTGCTCTGAAATGTTGCGCCACTTGTTTGGATATGAGCCACGAGCCCCAGTCACACTACTCTTAATATGGTGTATGTACATGTGGATGAAAGATCATGACTATATAAGACTCAGCACAATTCCAGGTTCCTAAGTGGGCACCATAGCTCTGCAGATGAGGTTGTCTCATCACTGCACCAATTTACCTCAGACTCAGAAGACTCGGAGCTGCGTCATTCGCACACTTACTTCCTCTAAGTAACATGTGGGTGGCAACCATATCGGTTGTGAGGGCAAAGAGATAGAACGGGAAAAGAAAAGAAGAGATTAGACATAGGCGAAGACCCTACTCATATTTGGTCTAGACTGTACGACAGTGCGGATGGAATGCTCCCCATTGTGCATGGCGATGCCTTGGCAGTGGACTATGTGAAGGGTCTCGATCAGGCCTTCCGTCTATATTAATGATTGGCCAAAAGGGTTTTTTTAGCAGGTATGATGGGCCTATAATCGGAGTAACATGTTTCTTTTCCAGATGCAATGTATATCGATCTATACGGATGGTTAATATAATGCCCGAGGATCTGTCAGTTAGGAGAGTTAGTTAGTTTTCCATGGTGGGTATTATCGAATGATGAACTGGACTAGGAATTCCTATTTGGCTTAAAAAAATAAAAGGAGAAAGAAAGGAATTCGTGTATAAGATAGAATATGGATGGCAAAATGACAAAAGAAAAAGAAGATTAAATAAACGGAAATCCTGGACGAGGATAGATCCGACAAGGGATAACCCCAAAGAGCGTGCACGCACCCGATAAAGGTACGATAGTTCATTTGGTACTGAACGGTGTCCACACCATGATGTATAATAGCACTGTTTATAGGCATACATCTGTATCCGTATCACTAGCTGGCGCCAAACAACAATGTCCAAGTCTTTCTGCATTGTCGGAAGGAATCGGCTGGCCAACTTTTGTTCCAACACGATCAGGAATAATACCTGTGGAGCAGGGAAAGAGAAGAGCCTAGACTGGAGTACTCCGTATTAGAGGCGCCATCAAGACAAGAGGTCCCCTGCAAGGTCGCCTATAGTATGCTTCGCTGCAGGCCTTGCAGTTCCGGTGCATGGAGCTTGTCGCACATTGTAAGCCAAACTAATTTCTACCACTAAGCTTTCAGGATGAGCAACGAAGTAACACAACATCGAGTCTGTGCCTCGGTCGGCTATAGGCTGAGCGATTCCTCTGTAAATTTCCTTCCCCACCGCCCATGAAGCTGTTGCAGGTGAGGCGACCATTCCCAGCAGCCTATGCTCTGTTTTCGTCGACCGTTCCATTATTGGTACAGGATACGGACACGATGGAGAGTGGAAAGGTCAATTATGAATTAAATCCTCCTAGTTGAACACTTTATACCTTCTCCTGTACTGTGAACAATAAAAGTCAAAAAGTCAAAAAGAAAGGAAGGAAGAAGGAAAGAAGAGAAAAAGCAAAAGTAAAGTGACCGGAAACAAAGAGATGAGGACGGAAAAAGAAATAAACAAATAAATTAAAAAGCCAAAGATAAGAAACTAGAAAATCGAATAAGTCAAAATTAAAATAATAATAATAATAATAATAAAAGGAAACAAGAAAGGGGGTAAGGAAAGAACACGAAATCCGCACAGAAAGCAACGCTACTATCAATGAGGGTCCATTATCACGGGGGAGGTTGTTGATTAAGTTGATTGATCGACCTGCGCAAGCGGCAATTTCTGGAGCTCTCATCATACTTTCCATTGACTGCCGCCTCAATATTGAGTCATGTATCGTAATTCAAGGTTGAGTTGACGAACCTACACTAACGACCGTGGTCTTCGTATTTGTTACTCATAAGATATCATACTATCGATCAAGGCTTAATTCAAGAGAGAGACACGTACGTCTGTTTAGAAGTTAGTTAGGTAGCAATTATATACTGAGTCATATTGATAACTTGTATCCTGCTGCCAGTTGTCAGGACATGTTAGGTCGATAGAAGACAGAAGGATGATTTCATGAGAATCAGTATCCACCTGACTGTTTTCATACGGTCCAGTTGGGGCAATCATACCGACTGGACACCGCCTAGCAACGCTGTTGCTGCAACCGCGACTATCGCTTGACCGCCTTCTAACGCCCTGGTTTATCCTACCGGCGACTTACATTGTCATTGGCCGCGATTGATGCTTAACCACTCTTTCAACTGTACGACCCCCGTAAGTAAGTTGTTCTAAAAGCAGTTTCGAGAGAAACTGGGAATTAAAAATATCCCTTACTGGCAACTAGTCACTCGACGACAGAATAACTGTTGAATTGTCTTTGGTCAAGAATGCCGTGGCACTTGTCGGCCTGACCGTGGGCTTTACTTTGCACTTGACCTGGAGGTGGATTGCTCATGAACCACCCGAGTCACCGGGTGTGCGTCACAGACATCTTTGCTCCCGTGCCGCCGCCGCCGTTGTTGCTGTGCCTCACCTATCTCTTAGCGCATTACACGCCTTTTACCTTGTCTCTCCGTTTCATCTCTCCTTCCTTATCCCTCCCCCAAAAAACCATTCTTGTAATTCCCTCTTCCCTCTTCTCCTACCATTTTCCTTCCTAAACCTTTCGAATCCAGCGTATTGGTGACTATGAATCCTTAAATTACCTTATTCTCCCACGACGTGAGGACGCCGTGCAACCCCCCGGATCTGCCTTGTCGTCAGTGCGGAGAAGCTCACAAGGTTGTCTAGACTCTAGACCGCATGCTCTTCCAGTGTGCCAGCATCCTGTTGCCTGAGCACAAAGTGCGATGAAATCAGCCTCCACTAATTTGATTTGGATCGTGCCTAAGCTGTCCGGAATTTATTCCCCTAGCGTCTTTCCTAAACCTGAACCTCTGGCTGTGTAGTTAGTATGGCCGTCCGCATCGCATCAGACGCGCCCCCATTACCTTCTTGATCGAGACAATCGCCCTGTCATAGCTCTGGATTCGACTTCGGCTTTAGAAGGACTACTTTGAGAATCCTGTTCTCACTTGCGTTGTGTCGCAGAAGGATCATGCATCAACATCCTCGGTCGCCGGCGCCAACAGCGCCAACCTCTTCCGCCAGGCCGAACTCATCTCGTTCGAGAGAGCTGGATTATCGTCCTAATTCCCCTGCAGCCGATGTTAGGGTACATAACAGCAGAGGCTTGGGGATTGAAGCCGAACCTGGTTCGCCAGAGCAAACTGCCCAACCTGCAAAGGAGGCGATAGCGAAGCTGAACCAGATAATATCGGTATGGGATCAACGCCTGGCTTGTGACCTTGTGGCTCGGTGATGGATCTCCGCTAATTTGTTCCTGTTATGTTTCAGAATTACCACACGAAAGCTGCTCTGATTATACTGCATTCGCGCATTGAGCTCCCACCTTCATTCAACAAGGGCTCTGACACTCCCAGAGTAAACCGTTGGGTACGTCTTATCCCTGTCGCTTGAGAACATACCCTATCCCAGATATAACCAAGACCTGTCTTTCATCTGCGATGTCTCCAATACTTGGGCTGACCTAATACCTTTACGACTTAGTTTAACGTTGAGATCGAAGATACAGATGTGCTGCGAGAACAGCTGCGCACCTGGAGAACCTGTGATGCCACCGAGAATCGCCCGCCGCCTTTAATTATTGAAACATATCTCGATACAAAGGGACTCACAAATAATCAGACCCTCGTGGCTTTGGATGAGAATGGGAAACGATGGGATGTGTTAGAAGCCCTTGCTGCATCTCAACAAGCCCATCCGGTCAGACCACCCTCGGCCAGCTCTGATGATGTCATCTTGGAGCGGTGGAGAGTTGAGTTGGGGGATACGTCGAACGCGTTACCGGCTGATCTTGGATCTATTCTGCCTACTGTATACAAGAAAAGCATTGTTCTTTTCCGATCATTATTCACCTATTCTAAGTTCTTGCCCGCTTGGAAGTTCGCAAAGCGCAATGGAAGGCTTCGAGCAAACCCGGCTCTACGGATCAAGTACAGGATCATAGTCGGGTCTCCTAACCAGGCGAGTTCGAAGCCAGACCACTTGACCATGCCTTTATACGAGAGTAGTAGCAAAGTGGTTGAAACCTACAGCTTTGGTGTCACCGATTCGCCAGCCGGTCCATTCTCTGCTCAAGTGACATATCGAACAAGCTGCGATTTCCGCGTGGATGACTCCGAAGCTCTGCTAAGTTCTCGATTCATGGGAGCCGATGATGAAATCTTCCGTCCATCGCTACCTACGCGAGTGGTGGATAGTAAAGTGCCTCCCCCTGAGATAGGGTCACTCCCACAAGAGAGGAGAACAGTCGAAGATCCAGATCCTGGCCGGGCATACGGTAGTCTTTCGACCTTCCATCAGGTTGGACCTACGACCAGCGCGAGTCCCATATCAGCTCTCCGGGCTAAAGGAGAGTCAGGCACTTCATCTCCGTCCTCGCCTGGCTCGTCCTCTCGGAAAGCCTTGGCAGTTGCGAAAGCTAGTCCCATGGGACGCGCTGCTGTGCTTGCTAGTGAAGGTAGCCCAGGTGTCGTAAGGCGCCCATCTATATCTTTCCAGCCATTCAAAGCTCCACCCTTATCGGCATCACCGTCCCTTGTCGACCCTCCACTCTCGTCCCCTCGCTCAGTATCCGGGCCTCGTCCCCATCCATCTATGGCGACTTCTGCTCGTAGGTCTTTCCCTGCAGTGCAGGACACTGGCATTGCGTCTCCTAGTTCTGCATCTCCACGAACGGCGTCAATCTCGAGGTATAGCAGTGCTTTCAGCCACCGTCGAGGCAGGCCTTCTGGAGGGATCAATAAATTGGAAGACGATACTTCCAGTGGTAAAGCAAGTGCCACTTCGTCCGCTCAACCTGGATCCGGCCTGCTTGCTGAACCTTCTGGAACGAGTGCCGACTCTATTCACGCAGACGACGAAAATATTTCAGAATTCCTGAAAATGCTAGACCTACGGAAAGATCTTCTCAATACGTCAGGCTCAGCTGCTCTGGATGCTACTGCGCGTAGGACTACAGTCACTTCGGCCGCTTTAACACGTTTCCAACGTATGCGTGATTCTAATGCTGCCCTTTCTGACTCGATGTCATCATCTCTGCTCTTGCAGCGCTCATCGAATTCCTCTAGCAAACAGCTCTCTGGAGTCCCACCAATGGTTGCGGGAACGTCCATCTCAACTGCCTCATCGCCGGGAAAGCCGATATCTCCTCACACACCCCACACTCCTGCGATACCATCTCGCCTTAGTTCTAACAGCATCGTCAATTATACTCATCCTGAGGGCAATGGTACAGAACTCTCTCAGGGACATGGCTCCCCTCTTGATGAAAACACCAGCGATGGGACAACCATGGAGCACGGACCGTCCGCAGTGAACGCCATAGACATCCCAACATCACCTCGCCTTTTCCCCCCTGCGTATCGTCGATCTAGTTCTGCTGCCCATCGTCCACGTACGGTCGCTGTAGATGACGACGAGATTTTCCCCTTCAATCGCAGCGTGAGCCTTGGTGCCGAGGAGAGATCCAACCTGAGCCTTGGTGCACTTCATCGACAGCATGAGTATGAAAGCTCTGAAACGACCACGCATCAAGCGCCACGAGAGCCGCGTCCATTACCATCAACCGAAGCTGCAGTTGTACCGCCTAGCTCAATAGCCCGTGAGCAAGGCTCTCATAAGGGCGTGACCCCTGGCCCTACCGTTGCCTCTTCGTCTTCATCTCACCACCACGTCTACCAGCCACGCTTCAGCCACTCTCGCGGCCGGGGGTCTTCCGGCGGTCATCATTCCCTAAGTTCCGGCTCTAGTAGTCTTGCACGTGGTGCTGTCATTCCCCCTGGTCTTACTGAACGCGAGAGCGAGCGGGATGGCAACGGGAGCGGTAGCAATAGTGCTACCTCAGCAATGGAAGATCGTCGGGGTATAGGGCGACGACCCAGTGCTGGCCGTGGCGGTCCGCCACAGTCTGCCCAGTTAGAAGAAGATGAACCTCTGCTATTCGCTATGAGCGACTTTGGTGCCTCGCGACGGAGCTTCGAAGAAGGCAGGCATGGCAACCATGCTCATGATCCGACTGGGAATATCGCCGGATCAAGACGAGGAGGAAGTGGTAGACGTGGCGGTGGTTTCCACCCTTGGTCCTAAACAGGCTCATGCCTAGAGTTTCTGCAACATATTACAAAACCTGATCTCTTCATATCCCACTTCACACGCTGCCTATGTCAGCCCAATTGATTTTCTTGTCTTTCTTTTGGCCTCTAACTCATATCAGTATAATCTGGGCGATCTGGTGTGTTTCCTTTACCTTTTCAGGGATTGAATCCCTAGTCCAGCGATTATTCGAACATATTCGAAGGTTCTTGTCTACCATCGTGCCATTTTAGCCAGTATGGCTATTCTTATAGACTGTTTTGCGAGCACCATGATGCAATCAGGTAATGGAGGATAGAATGGCACGGAGCTTTTTTTCGTTTCAAAATTTCTTGTTTATTGGGCATTTTTCTTTTTGGCGTGAAAATGTCCTATTTAGATTTCCCGATCCGTTATTGACGCCGGGGCGTCAATAAGGCCCTGAGCATTTTTTTTATCTAGGTCTCATTTGGTTTCTTTCCTTTAGGATTCTTGTAAGTACTTGGAGCTGATGGCTATTGTCTGGTTTATTGTTCATGATTTGAGGACGGCTCGGAGTTGAAGTTTTTCTTTGAACTGGCCTATCGGTACTATATTTCTCTTAAGTGCATCATAATTCAAATTTCAGCATGAATTCTCAATTTCAATCCATCCAGTGTTCTAAATTGATTATATATACATTGAAGGGTGTGGTATTCAAATGGGCTGTTCATTCCGTAAGTTGGGCAGGAATGCCATTGGCATGGATAGAGAACATGGGACAGCAAAGACATCTTGATATAAAGGACCCTGGAGCTCACACTATGATAGGCTTAGGGCATCCATATGAAATTTGGAAGTCTATGGGTCCGCTTTATGGTGTGTCCTCGGCCTATAGACTGTTCGAATACGTCATGCTAGCCATAATGGCTAGGGCGCCCTGGATCTGGCGCACCGGCAACTATGTTGGATACCAACCCGAGTTTATGCTAGAGGTATCATAAAAACCCTCTCATCAGAGTCTGTTCCAATGGATCCCAATTTGAAGATATAGCGTTTGCATAACTGAAGCCCGTAGTACAGCGTATGTTGGTGAGAAAAAAAGCTCCTCATGAATGGAAATGCACCGTGACTACCCGACATAAACTTCGTCAAACTTTGCAGAATCACATCTTTCGGAAGGTGTTGCCAGATGCACTGCGTCTCTCCTTTGCCCTGAAACTTGTATCCCGAGATGGTGCAGGGGCCTTGTTCTGTTTCGACTTAACATGGGGTGTGAATGTCACCTCCCTCTCTCCAACGACACCGCCACGACGCGATGGTCTCTCCTTAGTCCGCATGTTCTGAGCCCTAGAGCCGAAGGAACGGTCACGAGTAGAGTTGACGCCAGAAGAAGAAGAAACTTGCATTCGGGGCTGCTGGGATCGGTTGGTACGTTTATAGGAGGATGTCGAGATCTTTCCGGAAGACTTCTCTTTAACAGGTTGTTCTGCTTCGCTCTCGGAGTCAGAATCATCGGAGCTGGAACCGGGCACTTCGTCGATTTCCTCCTGTTCAACGGCAGTAAGGCCTCTTTCTTTTCTCTCTGGGGCATCTGTGGCAGTGCTGGGGTTGAGAAGCCTGAACTCGTGCGATGCCTCGTCCACGGCGAAGTCTTCGTCCTCGAACAACTTGGCGAAACGACTATCGCCCAGTAGACCTTGAGCAGGTTTCTCTGCTGCAGGTGCAGATGCAGGTGCGTCGACCATCTCCTCATCACCGCCCTTCTGTAATACACGTTGTGCCCTCTTACGTTCGTTCTTCTCTTCAATGGCCATAAGTCTGTCGGCCAGCTTCTTGTTGACCTTGACGGCAGCCTTCTTCTTACCCCGGATTCTGCTCTCACGCTCCTTGTCGATCTTCTCCTTGACTCTCTTCGCACGTTCCTCTTCCCAAACGTAGGGGTTCGTGATCAAACGAGCCTCTTCATACAAGCGTTGTGCCACAAAGTAACCGTGCATGTAAGGGCGTAGTAGATTGGTCCGGCCAATCAAGTGCTCCAAGTTCAAAGTGCGCAGTTGAGGAACGGTCAAGAACTTGTAGTTGTCGTACACAGAGCTTGCCTGACCGCTGCTGAATGCGTTAGGATCGTTAGGATCTTCAGCCATTTCCTCAACGAGGTTGTCCAAGAAGGAACACCATTTCGGCGCGGGTCCAAGCTGAGGGATGAAAAATGCATGCTGCTGGCGTCCTTCGTTGGCAGTCAAGAGCATTCCGCTATCCTTACACCAAGCAACCGAGTTGATGTCGACCGCAGGTTCCACAGACGTCCAAGGGCTGCCGTCCCGAGGGTCCCAAATCTTGATAATCTTTTTGTCCGAAGAGAGGATCTTAGGCTCCATGGTCTGTTCACGTGTTAAAGATGAAGGCTGCAAGAACTTAAGTGTGTGGACGGGGAATCCATATCCTTGGTCTTTCTTGAGTAGAGGAACTGGCGAACGAAGATCGTATAGGTGAATAAGTCCATTGGACGAGCCGGTACCGAGTGTCAAGCCTGAGCGGTGGAATTCCAAAGCTGTAATCTCATGGCGGCCTTCATCAGGGACAGATTGTGTGGGTGGTAACAAGATTCCTGCCCTGCCTTTCGCTCTTGGATCCCAGAGTTCCACCGTGCCTAGCGTAGTACCAAAGGCGAGCAAATTGTGGCTTTCCTCCGCAATAGCTCCTGTGTTGATGGCACCTGTATTTATACCACCTTGCAACGTTCCTCCGCCAGCGGATGTGAAGTCGTCGCCACCCACATCAATCTCGAAACTCCGCATGTATCTACCCATCTCCAAATTAAGCCGAAAGACTTCACCCATGCCATCTTGATTCACGCCGACGGAAGGGACCAATGCCTCGGTAGATTGTCTATCGTAAACTAGATCACGCCCATATCTGGGAAGTCTCGTTGTGTAATGGCACCCTCCAGGTGTGTGAAACTGGAGTGAGCGATCGGACTGTAAATGGAGAGATTTGGAGTAGTCGGAGGATAAAAGGAGGAACGTGGTGTTTAGCGCATCTGTGTGACGGGCCCATGAGAGGGATAACTGTGAAAGTTGATGTGTATGAATCTGAGGCTTATAGGTTCCTATGTCTTATCGTCAGTCGCATGCAAAATATTATAATTGTGTTACTCAAGACGTAAGATCTAACCTGTGCTCATAACCCATTCACCATCTTCACTGACTCTTACACATTGACTAGCTTCTTCGAACTCGAAATCTTGTAAAAGTTCAACTCGATTCGCATACTCCGGGTCATTTTTGAGACTGCGCTTTCTCCGTCTCGCAAGCCATTCAGGAAGTGGCCGCGCAGTGTTCGATCCAGAGATTGTATAAACCGGCACTTCTGACTGATTCGAAAGCTTCATCTTTGCGCAGTGGTGCTCTTTGAGCGAGAAAGAGCCTGGCGTTGCTGCGACTGGTAAAGCTCCGACCAAAAAAAAAAAAAAAAGCCTTTGGAGATAGCGATAGTAGGACCCACGTGACCCAGCGAGTGTCGATCATTGATGATTGGTTCACGCGGTCCGGACGAACCTCCGTCGGGTTTCATGGCGTCGGAGGCCTGGATTGAAATAGCGACTTGCGACATTCTATATCTTGAACACCATCCGTTATCGGAATCTCTTATGTTCGCACCTCTATCATGATTGCTTTATCTTGATATATACATCGACTTCATTATTGGTATAGCATTTGCGACCCTTCCCTGCGGCGCGATGGCGCCAGGGAGCTGATCTATTTGCTAACTTCTGCGATAAGTTAACTCTATGGGCTATGGGTTGCTTCTTGGGATATAGTTTGCTTTCCAGACACTCCTGGAGATGATCCCTATTTCTCTTTTAAAGGCTTCTTTGGCTATCAATGAGTATTGCCAGGATCTGCCTCGGAGCAACCGTTAAACCATGGACTTTCCCGGAGGGTCCGTTACAAATATACGCGTCCTTGTATGTTAACCTTTACTCGGGTTTGATGTAAGCTCCTAATCCGAGAATCTAGGATGGATTCTCCAATATCTACTGGAGAATATATACGGAAGATCCCAACATTACAAATCTTCCAGGCGAGGCTCCAGCCAACGGTTTCACCATTCTTAAGCATTTAAGTCGCCTCAAGGACTTAGAGCTGCGATTGAGGAACTCGGACTGCTTAGTGTCGAGTTACCCTAGGCGTCTTGGCTTATGGGTATTTTCTGCGACTCCAGAATTTGAGTCTGTGGGCTGTTTGCGGTCAGACGAAAGTAAAGGCGAGCAAAGCAGACTTATTGTTGGCTCATCGACGTTAAAAGGTTTGTACGCCCAAATCCCTTTGGATTTATTCTATGCATTGTACGTTGACTGTGTAACCATAGTCTCTGCGTCCGGGAGTGTTACGCCTCGCGAGCTAGTCAAGAATCTCTCAACAGATCCTCAGACCGCAGGGGGTTCAACCGGGTCGCAACGACCACAGGCCAACCCCACGCCCACGAGACGGGTTGATAGCTATAGTAGCTCTGTTGCAATCTACGCAGCTTTCATTTCAGCCATAACCGGCTCACTAAATCTTCAACTGATTCGTCGCAGTAGTGCGATCCCCCTAGGGTCACGGACCCTCTTCACTGTCGTCGAGAGGGATTACTACGAGACTCCAGAATAGTCGATGATGATCCTTCTTCAATCTCTGCTCTGACTACACTCCAAGTTCAATTGACCTCGGTTGGGAAACTAACGGTGTCTTTGCAGACAACATCACAGCCTGGCATTGCCCCACTATGCAGACTTGGGGAAAGTCCATCCGACGTATGTGATGTAGCTCCCGGAGCTGATATCTGGTTATCACCCAGCGGCTCTGTTGCGAGGCTAGTATCAACCAGCCCAGGTCCACCTAATGCCTCACCTCCATATCCTTCCACGGGAAGCATTGGAACTGATAGTTTGGGCGCTGCCGGACGCAAGCAATGGAAAGCCAACGTGCTAGAGTGGCTAAGAAACTTTGGGCTGCCGATCGATTCTGTTGATGAGACAGCCTGGGTAGAAATTGAAATTTGGGAGCCGTTTTACTCCAGGTTAGCTGGGGAGACTTTACGGCTAAATGAGGATAAGTCATCTACGCTTCCCCTGAAGCGTGTCCTCTGGCCTGCTGTGTATTGCTTTCGGAGAACAAAGTCAGCATCCCCTGGATCCTCACAATGGATGGAAAATGCTTGCCCTGTGGTCAGCGATCCTTTGGATTTTGCAAGGAATTGGCGTGTAGTGGAAAAGCCAACGCATGATGAGACAAGTCCTAAACCCCCGTCTAGTCATCCAGAACAACAATCAAGGAACCCAGAACCATCCTCTGCTACTACTGACATTCTCGAGGGAATAGAAAGCCTATCCCGGGCTTCTGAGTATCCTGATCTCCAGACTATCAGTCTCGTATATCCGACACCGCCAGATGGAGCTGCTGCGATGGGATTGAACCTAGCAGGCCCATCAGATACATTTGCCGAGGAACCAGAACTTGTGCCATCCCTCTTGCAAAACCAAAACAAGCCAAAGTATTACGAGCAGTTTACTACTAAAGATCGCTCGGACGCTGACCCATCAGCGGGATTTGGCCCGTTAGGTGGGCTCGCGGTAGGATCTGGATTATACGACACCAATGGGGATGATGATCTCTTCGGAGACATGGATGAAAGAGACTTTGGCACCAAAGGGATCACCGATGCAGATTTCAATTTCTTCGATGACCCTAGCTTCGCTGCCATGGATACAGATGACCCTGCTGATGATGATGCTCAAGAGATGCTTGACATGACCAACTTAGAGGCCGCAGAGGCACATCCTACTGTCTCTGAAGATGCCATATTAGAAGATATCCCAGCTCAGGAAACACCAGCAGAAGATCTTGAAGTAACCCAAGCAAGCCCAAATGAGGTAACGCCAAAGGTTCAGCCTGAGCACCTAATTGCAGAGGAATCCACAGAAGCAGCCTCGCCTCATATTGAGCAAAACCAAACAATAAGTCCCCCTTTAAGTCCAGTGGAGATCAAGAGAATACTGCTACCAGAACCAAACGGAGACAGTCATGTTCCTACCAAAGGAAACCGCAAGCAAAGCTATTACAACCCAGTTGCGTTCAAACCAAATATGTCTTCCTGGGATCAGAAGTATGGCGCTGACGGCAAGTTCCGATTTACAACTGCGGGTCCATCTGCTTCCAAAGTGTACACAAATTCCGATATTCCAACTGTCGGTATGCCTCGCCGGCGCATTAAGAAATACCCCACCGCTGGCGCCGGCGCGATGGGTCTAGATGGTCACGCCAGTCCATCAAGCGAAGGTCAACATCTACAAACGGTTTTGGATTCTAGCAGCGATACAAGCGACGATAGTGACAATAGTGCTTCGGAAAGTGATGCACCACCGTTGCTAAGTCGCAAGCGAAAACGTGCCCGTTCTAACTCCGTCAGCTCGCCGGCCTTATCTCAGGTGAAATCTCTTGGGGAGGGAGACCAGGAAATCCCTGTCCATAGACCTGAGCATTCAATATTCCTGGGAAACTTACTATCCACATTCTCTGATTGGTCAATGACCGGTTATTTCTCATTAGCAGAGAACCGGTTATTTCCTGTTCTCACCCGCAAAGACATGCAAATTCAAATTGCCCAGTTATTTGTTGACCAAATTACACAGTCCTCTTTGGATCATAAGCTGGATGGAGGCTTCTGTCTCTCCGATCTTGAAACCAAGGCATATTCAGTTCAAAGTTTCCTTGAGGAGGAAGGTGTATTGGGCGGCATTGAAAGACTTGATTTGAATAGCTGGATATCCCTACAGGACAATGAGCAACCCTCTCCTGCACCCAACGGCACCGTAGCCCGGCAACTTTCTCAACGGAAAGAGACGGGAAAGGGTTCAATAACAAAACTGTCTCCGCCACATTTACGCGTGCGTCGCGGCAAGGAATACTTGGAAGCTCTGCCTCCTGCAATCTCATTTTGGGAAACATTCGGTCTGGAACCAGCCGACGGCCCAAAGGATATCTCAGCTTATTGTATTCATCCTCAAATTGCTGGCGATGCTGCCGATGTATTTCTGGAACGCCTAGGGTTACTCTACTCTAGTTGTAACCTTGGAAAACATGGTCGGGGATGTAGGTCTAGTGCCTTCGAAGGTGGGCTTTGCTCCTGGGACGTTGGTCCTTTGGATACTGCACAGTTCCTTCCTGCAATGCAGTCCTTGAAAGTAATATGCGAAGAGCTCGGTACGTTGGTGATCCGGTGAGCAGTATATTAACCATGCACTAACATTCACAGGAACGGCACTTCTGAAAAGTTCCCCGAGCAGTGACAGCCTAGTAATCTACATAATCAATCCGTTTGCGCATGCATCGGCGCTCGTCGATATATGCTCTGCCTTCTGGTGTCTGTTTCAAAAGTATATCGCCGACACCGGCAAGCAACAGGCCCGACAATTAAATGAAGTGGTACTCCAGATCATTCCAATTAGCTTTATAATGTCAACAGGCTCTGTGGTCGTCCCTCCACAAACCCAGTACCTGAACTTGGCACTGGAAATCTACAGTCGATGCCCCCCCCAAGCATTACAGTCGAGTCTCGTGAACTGCGCACCTCCGGTCCTTCTTGCCGAGCCTCTACCTAGGACGATCAGCTTCAGACTCGCCTCTGAGAAAACCTCACCCTTGCAAGAAGGCAAATGTCTTCATATTGCGTACTCAAAAAGTCAAGATCAGCGCTGGATAGGTGTTGCCTGGTCTGACAACTCTGGAGCACTCCAGCGTACAATTTCTTATAATCTACGCTACCGAAATGCCAGTGCTGTTAGGAGCATTTCGGACGTGCGTAGTGAGATTTGGGCGGCGACAAAGGACATCGTCGACAGGATTCAAGCGCGATGGAAGGTTTTCGTCGTGAGCACCGAGCCTGTCGATCAGGACGAAGTTGACGGTACGGATGTCCTCAAATTGTCTTGGGTACATTTTGCTAACTTGTATTCACAGCATGGACGGGTTTTATCGAGCAGTATAACAAGGCAAACTCCATACCATTGGAGCTGACGATATTGAGCGTAAATACTGCGCCCGATCTACACCTTGAACCTCCCTTCTTACCCATGTCTATGAGCGTCTTTAATCCACAGACCTCTTCAACACCTGTTGCTACGCCGAATGCTAGTGGCAATGTCTTTTCGCCGGATCAATCGGGCACTGCGCCTACACCTCCTAGTGGCGGAAATGCACCTGCAAATGCCTCAACACCCACAGAACCTACTCTGGAGGCGGAATCTGAATCCGTTCTTACAGATATCTGCGATGAGTCCTGGGGCGTGATACTCTCCCATCGCCTCAACAATTCGCCGCACCTCACCGAGTACCGACCAGCGTTGGCTAGCGGTTACCTACTTCGCCGAAAGGGAGACACCGACGGGGACGGTGTATATGCTATGACCCTTAATCTTATATATGCCCAACGACCTTCTTCCTGCGAAACAATTCTTCGAGAAACTCTAGGAATGTACCGTGATCTCGGCACCCTTGCTCGAGCCAGGGGTACCCGCACTGTACAACGAAACACATTACCTTGGCATATCGCCACAGCAGTAAGAGCACAGGAAATGCTAAGTCATGTTTTGTGATTTGTGACTGATTTGATACCATGTTCAACGGCAATGGGTGGCGTTGAAGGTTGTTTGGGTTCCTTTTTGCTTCTGTACATAAGCGGCTCTTGTTTGGCGCTCGCAAGATTGGATATACCAGGCGTACCTTGTTTTTTTCTCTTCTCTATGTATCATTCAAATATTTCTGTATCAAAGTGCTTCAAGTGCTGTTATTGTTCATTGCATATGGAGCGGGAAAGCATAGTTGGTTTTTGAACTAGAGCTTTGTGCACATCAGGATATATATCATATCATATACAGCACTCTTTAGAATGAGCTCTTCTTTTTGCATTAAAATTAGCAGCAACTGTCTGAAAACTTCAATATGACATAATTCTCCTTCTAATAGATCACAATATCTCTAATTCTCCTTATCTATTCATAATCTCTCAATTCTACTCCAAACACCTCGTAACATTCATCAACAATTCTAACGATATCATATACGATCACATGACCACAATCCGCTTATCGTATCTAATCTCCCGGTGATATCGAAAAATTCAAAGATTTATATATCAACAACCCAAACCTCCATTGCTCATCTCACAGGGTCATACATACTCTCACAAGCCCTCCGTCCACCGATACCACCATAGCGAACATAACTAAGCAATCAAAAACGGAAACCAACGCACCGCGCACCAGCAAACACCAAGAAGCGTATCCAACCCCGCCATACAAATCCGCAACCAACGAAAACCACCCCCCCCACGAAGAAATCAAATCTGCCCCAGCGCTTCCCCTAAGTACCAAAAAGCAGGAAATCCTTATAAAGCGCCAAAATGTCTCAACAACTGCTGCAAGAAAACCAGCCGAACTCCACCTCCTCCTACCTTGACCTCGGCATTACGCTCGCAATCCACAACTGGCCCGCTCTCACTCTAGCCGTGCAGTCCAACTGGGGTGGTCCAACATCATCCGACAAGCGCGATTGGCTCTGTGGTGCGATTTCTGACATGCTGAATGATCGGCCGGAGACGGATGCGGAGGATCTCGAGGACGTGTTGATCCAGGTTATGAATGATGAGTTCGACGTGGTTATTGACGATGAGAGTGCGGTGCCTGTTGCGGCCGAGATTATGGAGGTGAGGGAGTTGGTGGCGAAAGGCGATATCGATCCTATTAAGCAGATGTGGGAGAACTACCAGACGAAGAGTCAGCAGAAGGCTAGTAATGTTGCGGCGGCTTTTAAGAGGGGCGAGGATGAGGACCAGGATTCTGAGGATGATGACGAGGAGGATGAGGAGGACGATGTTGATATGGGGGAGGCTCCTGCTTTGGTTAGGGCTCCGAAGGAGAAGGTTCAACCTGAGGTGGATGAGGATGGGTTTACCAAGGTTGTTGGAAAGAAGAAGCGGTGATTTTCCTTCTCTTATCTTCATTATGTGTTTTGGCTGCTATGAGCTGTTTAGATATAGATACTTTCTGCATGTCCATATGGGTATTACTTCATGATTCGATGCGTTGATGGATATACGTGGATATCTACATGTAATGTAAACCGGTGTGAAACGTCCAAGCAAATTTTTTACCATTCCAGGGAAGAAACAGCAGGAAAAACAATCTATAAGAAAGGAAAATTTCATCATCATCAACCGAGAAGAAGTCTGCTGATCTTCTCATCCACCTTCTGCCCACCCATACCTCCCTGACCGTAGTCGGTTCAATTGCAGCCGTAACCCACCAAGGGTCAAGAAGACTGAGATAGAAGTCGCCCGGTTTTTTTGTGATTATGTGTGCTTAATTCTCTTCCTCACTCTTGATGAGCTTGGTGATCATACCAATGGCAACGGTTTGTCCCTATTGAAGTTTCAACTAGTTAGCTTTTTAGTCAACAAGTATATAATACAGCTGCTTACCTGATCACGCAGAGTGAACCGTCCCATTTGGTTGTAGTCCTCGAAACGCTCGACACAGACGGCACCAGCAGAGCTAGTGACATCAAGACGGGCGATGATCGTCTGACCCTTGCTGGCGAAGGGAGGTGGGCGCTTGCTCCTACGGCCTGTACCAGGCTCGCACTTGTGAAGCAGGGCGGAAAATGTAACCTCTTCAACGGCTGAGTGAACGTGCATAACACAGTTGTAACCGGCAGTGAGGATGCTCTTCAGATCGAGAATCCTAATCTTGGCCTCAAAGCTCGACACACAGTTCACCAAACGCTTAGGAGAGCAAAGTACAAATCCGGGAAGGAGATCTTCTTCTTCCACACCACGAAGACGCATGCGGACTTGGTCACCGCAAGTGGCTGTCGGGATCTCATCCTCAGTCTCTCCATAGAGAGCTGTGATCTCAACCTTGGTGCGGTTGGGCATAATGATACAGTTGCCGTTCTTCTTGACCACACCGGATTCAACGCGACCTTCCACCATGGTACCCATGTCACGATACTTCGCGGTAATAGGCATCATGAATGGCGCATTGATCTTACGCTCGGGCAACTTCATGTTGGACAAGTACTCCAAAAGAGAGGGGCCATCGTACCAAGGCGCAAGGTCCTTAGAGACACGATCCTTGATACCGAATGTCTTTTGAGCGGAGATAGGCATGAAGGTAAGATCATCCTTTTTGTAGCCGAGGGCCTCCAGGAACTTGGAGACCTTGACCGTGCACTCCTTGAAACGAGCATGACTCCATTCCACAGTAGGGTCGTCCATCTTGTTGACAGCAACGACCAGCTTCTGGACACCTGTGTTTCTCGCCAACAAAGCGTGTTCACGAGTCTGACCACCCTTTTCAAATCCAGTTTCGTATTCACCCTTTCGCGCGGAGATAACCAGAACACCAACGTCAGCTTGTGAAGCGCCACCAATCATGTGGTGAACGTATGCTTTGTGACCAGGAGCATCCAGAATGGAGAAGTGTCTCTCGACAGGTCCGTCAGGCGACTGCACATCAAGCTTGAAGTGAGCGCGGCCTACCTCGACCGTCTTTCCCTTGGCTCGCTCTTCGTTCGTCAAATCCAAAGCCCAAGAAAGATACCAAGTCTCACGACCGGCTTCCTTGGCATCTCTCTTATACTTATCCAAAGTTCGCTCATCCACCATGCCAGTGACGTACAGGATGGATCCACCCAGGGTAGACTTTCCGGCATCAACGTGTCCGATGAACACGATATTCACGTGCTCCTTCTTCTCACCATAAATTTCCTTCAGTGTGGCTTCGTCAACGTCGGCTTGTTGCTCCTTGGCAACGGCATCTGCGGCACGGGTAGCCTTAGCAACTTCAGCTCGGGAAGGGCTGGCTCTCCCGGGGCTAGAGCGACCCGACGCAGGAGCAGGAGATGATTTGCCGCTGGCGGCAGCCTTCTGTTCTGCCTTCTTCTCCGTCTTCTCAATAGCCTTAGTAGCCGTCACCTTGGCGGCTGCCTGAGCAGCATCGGATCCCTTGGAGTCTCCGGGAGTCGCAGATCCCGAAGATGGTGTTTTTGACGCAGGAGCAGGAGAGGGGGTACCGATCGAAAGAACCTTGGTCTTAGGGGCAGCAGGAGAGTCGCTAGCGCCGCCGATAGACAGAACCTTAGTTTTGGGAGCGGCGGCGGCAGGTTTGGGCGCCGATTGGGCAGGCTGGGATTCAGCAGCCTTGGGCTGCTGCGTAGCTTGGGGTGGCTGCTGAGCAAATTGTTGCTGTTGCTGTGGTTGCTGGTAACCGCCGTATTGCTGGTTGTAAGTTTGGTTGTAGCCACCAGGCTGCTGAGCATACGCTCCATACTGACCATACGACTGCTGCTGTTGACCATATTGGTAACCACCATAGCCTTGCTGGCCATACTGGCCGTACTGCGGGAAGCCACCGTACCCTTGGAAAGACTGGCCGGGAACGAAAGAAGCGGCTCCTGGTTGAAAAGAGGCCACTCCTGGGCGGAAAGAGGGAGCTTGGGGCTGTGGTCGGGACTGTGCGTTCAAGTTGACGCCCTCAGTCTGCTGAGAGAGTTCATCCTCCCAGGACTCCGGAGTTTGGCCGGCCATGTTTAAATTTGAAGAGCAGAAAACAAGGCGAACAAACCAAACACGTCTATATCGAAAAGAAAGGAGATATAGTGTGGAGGTGGATCTAAAAGTTGACGAGTGAAGGGTAGTTTAGATAGTGAGGGGCCTTTGGAAAGCGTCGATTTTGCAGCCGCTGACTCAGCTATAAAACGGGCTCTTCCCCGCCTTCGCCCAATCAGGGGACTTTTGCATTGTTTGCTTGGAGGGATTGTAGACGGTGCATAACGATGTACCTTGGCCATATACTGGGTTTTGCTATGATATTGAATATTACCCAGTAGTGTCCTATTCTGGAAGAACCGCCAAGACTGTGGATTTTGGTGGCGTACAGCTTGCGCATGGTCTTCTCTTACGGGTTGTCTATCACAGACAGTCTTTTTGTTATCGATAAGCAACGCAAACCCCTCGAGCGTTGTCCGCCACATACAATACATTTTGATATCGGCAATCAATCTGAGATTGGGTTGCCTAACGGATTCGGAAAGATATAAAGGAACATTGATTGAAGCTACGGCGCCATACAGCCTTGCGGTTGCAATATGGATGCATTTTTGACCAGAGTATGCTCTTATGACTTTACACATCTTATGTGCGATGTCTGAAACTAATACAATACATCTTCGGTAGCTCACTCATCAGGCTATGAACTATGCCCTTCGGTAAGTATACTGCCTCGGGATGTCAACATCTGTCTTATAGACTAACACATCTAATATTTTAGCTCTGGAATCGCTATAACGGCCAAATATGCTATTCGCCAGTCGTCGCGGCTGCTTAAAGTAAGTGATAATGATCATACTGGTCGCTAGCTAGGTGTTCAAGAATTCAGACAAACTGACCTTTCGATGGTAGAATGTTGAGAATGCCGAAGAACGCGAAGAGCTACTTGTACTACAACAGCGGCTGGAAAGCAAGATCCAGGTAGAGCACTCTGGATGTATGATTTCAGCTAATCTTAACACACTTGCTGATGCGAAGGACAGGTTATTTCACCTGCTATTGATATGATCGAGCTAATGTAGGTAATCCGGGATTATTTGAATTTTAGATTAAGCTCTGACTCTGCCTAGTGCTGCACGAGGAAACACGTCTCTTGAGTCCGCAGTTTCTCTCACACAATCTTTACGGTGGGATATTCAGGCCTTGGGCCAGCGATTGGCGAATGCTGCTGCGTCTGAAGAAATAATCCGAAAAGGGGGGCAGTCCTCAAGAAGTCGCTCTCAAAATGATGAAGAGATCAAGTCCATAATAAAGGACATCAGGAGGCTTTTAGTGCGAATCGAGGATGCAGTGCCGCTTATGAATCTTGCCATCACTACCTCCGGTGCCAAATTATCAACTAACCTCCCAGCGACTATATCACCATCTCGGTTGCTGCAGGCCAGTACCTTTCTTACCGCTGGTGACACCCAGTACTCAATGTCCCCATCACAAGCGGTCCAGATAGGTCCTACTTTTACTCTATCAATGTACATGCTTTTCGCAAGTCATCTCCGACCCCACGATGGAGACGGCATTCGTGAAACAACGTGGAAGGAGGTCATGCATAAAGCACGTTTGAAACTTCGACGGGTACCAATGGACCTTGCTGTCAATTCCCAAACACAGCTACCGCGCACGCAAATCGCCGCCGAAGCAAGGGTAGATGAGTATGCTTACCAACTCCTAATTATAGAGGATTTGGATGATGGAAGGGTCCATACGTTTGAAGAGGGTGAGCTTCAACCTCAGGCTTTTGAAGGTGTAGCTTCCGCTGGTGTGCGCGAGATTCTTCCAATACACCAGATCTCGAAGATCTTCTATGCCGACACTGGAAAAATTCTGAATATCAGCCCCGATGGCGAGGTTAACAATCCGGTAATACTCCTGAAGAGAGATATCAATGCTATACCTCCACGGCGTATGGTTGAAAGGGATGAAGCATTCGGTTATTCAAACGAAGACTCGGATCAAGACGAGGAAGTAGATGAGGTCCAGGCACAGCTGGACGCCCAGTTAAATGGGGCGGGCGCTCCGTCCACTTATCCCAACTTTCACGAGAGCTCAATACCAGAAGAATGGCGCCTTCCCAGAGACCTTGACCCTGAGTGGATCGCGTTCGAGGTTTACAATGAAGATGACGAGTCAGACTCAGAATCCGATTACGAGAACCCTGGATCCTCGGCCAAGGGGGGATCCATCGATCCAGAGCTTATAGCGAAACTTTCCCTTGATTCAGATGCAACACCGTCTAGGCATGGAGCTTTAGGACAGTCGCCCTCTTCTCAGCATATGACTACAACTACAGTCTCAAACCCTCATTTCAATAACATCCGTACTTCTCTGTCCCTCCTAGAGACGCTCCTCCGTCTCACATCACTGCAACAATTCCAGCAGCAGTCCCATCTATCTATTAGCGATGAACTCCTGAATTTCTTCTTGGAGGAGTCTTCAACCACTGGAGCTGGCGGAGACGAACAACATCGTCAGCGTCTTCGCGCTGATGCACGTCGCAGAGTCGGATGGGATCCCTACGATGAAAGTCCTATGAAGCGACGGGGCGAAGATTACCAGTATGGCTGGGTCCCCGAAGGCACGCCATCAGCGTACCCGCGTGAAAGCAGCGAATTTCCCTATTCTCCTAGCGACAGGCTCCGAGACTTCCAGCTTCGCTCCCGAGAGAATACACCGGAGACCCCTCCACGGTCTCGTCGTAATACTCCCAGGCAACCCGACATGAGACAGCACAGTACCCTACGCAGTACGCCTGCATATATGGACAGGGGCTCACGGAAAAACTCTCCGCTGCCTAATCGGTCTACGCCTGTAGCTGGCGATGATTCGGAGCGTGTTGGACGTGAATCAAGTGAGGAGAAACCATAAATCTTACGATGGAAGGCGAATTGCAGACTAGATATCACTGTAAATATACTGACCACGACATAGCAACGGACTAGTAATCTCATCTGAACGTTTAGAAAGAGCTATCAGCGGCGGAGACGCAGAATGTTAACGCAATGTGTATTACGCATATTTTCAGAATAATCAACACGCGCAATACAGCAGTAAAGTCAAGGCGTATGTAAGCTGGCTCATTTGTAATGGTTTGTACGATTTGCTTGCTTGTGTTTTCTTATTTCCCATGCACAACCTAGACATCACTGTACAGAGTACATCAAGTAAGCATATTATTGTCAAAAGAAATGCCTCCTTACTCTAAGCCAGAACCATGGCCAAAAACGGACGGGTCTTTGAGAACATTGGCATCATTCTCCAGGGTTCATACATTGGCCACCACTGGAATACGATATCCAAGATACTCATCCGCCTGGAAATTGCAATGGAAAAGCCCGAAGGGTGCGATAGATCGCCAGTGAAGCACTTCGAGCATCATAGCCCTGAGGTAGGACAAGTTGGCCATGTCGTTAAAGGTAGGTAGTCGATCGCCACCAACCACACGATCAAGTTCCGCTTAGGCTAATTTCATGGCCTCGAGGCACAGAACGACGGCCATCATGAAGACCTTTCGTTGTAATTGCCGTGGACTCTACTCCACCTTGCGCCAGGAGCCCCATCACAGATGCAATGTCCGCTAAGGAAACTTTTCCGGGCCCCTTCACACGTCCAAACTCCTTTGACCAGTTTCGGCAGGCTCTGGTTGGGGCACGACGGACATTTTATTCAAGAATCGTCATGCTATATCCGTGCGCTTTTCTTCCTAGGCGCTTCCAAGGAGCCACGCAGGCTGGAAGGGAGTCCCCGAAAGGGAACAGCTTCACAAGCACATAGTATGACATAGCAAAAGATCACAACTCACAGCCGATCATCTGCAAGGGTTAGCATCTACTCAATGCGTCTCGGCGGCTTAAGCACGTGTCTAAGATTCAACTTAAACCCTTATCAGTATAATTAACTTGAGACCAACCGCCATTCTCCGCGGAATGCAAGGAATGCATTGGGCACAGAGGCTCAGAGCCTTATCTCGCATCACGATTCACGTGCCGATCGAACATCGTACAGAAAGCAGCACTTATGCTTCTCAAAGATCAGGCCAACCCAGGTATGATACTCGCCATTCTTGAGACATCCAAAAGGCTATCCAAAACCGAGTCCCCAAGAATATTAAACGTAGTCCAGTTGTACTATGAGGTCATATCTTGAGCTACTCTACCACGCTCTCCTTTCAAATGCAGCTGTTTCAAAAGAATTTTAACATAGGATTCAATGATTGAGGCTTGGTATTACATAGTCCGGAAAACTCACGGGGCAATATCCGTCGAAATCTTCTATGCTTTGCTGTGTCGCATGCAATGATATTGTTACGGCCAAAGTTGGGGTGATTGTAGAAAATGGGATCCTTGTCGTTGCCTGGTAAACCTTCCTTTTTGGTGACCATAGATATTCTCCCCAGCCTGCGTGGCTTGGATATAAACTCGTCAGGCGCCACACGTACCACTTCACCACACTGTCCATGAAACCGCATGACTTCAGATGGAATATGTCCACTAAGTGATTTCCAGATCCATGGGATGAGGGATATTGCTAAAAAAAAATCCATACGATGATATAATTAGATAGAGAAATCAAGAATAAAGAAGTAAATGAATAAGGGCAAGATAGGGGACCAGGGTATAAAAATAGAGATAGCTCCCCAGATAGTTCAAATAATCAACAAACTTCTACCTCATATTTTCAACACTATATATTGATATCACGTAAATCGCTGAAGAACGCAAGTAAATAGGGAGGATCCTGCAACGCCAACGAAGTAGATAAAGAAGCAACAACCCTAACTCCTAGCACCCTCATTACCAAGTGGTATTCGGACCAGCCAGCGGTCAAGTAATTGGTCAAGTTGTGACTATTAAGGGGTACCCTCTTCTATTGACCAATTCATCTTTAATTTCATTTCTTACTCCCAGTCATCATCGCTGTCGTCATCCTTTGCTTTCTCCTTAGGGCTTGCAGGAGTCCGGCTGGTGGCACCACTGACCAAATCATAACTGGATTCACTGTCAGGCTGGGATTGTTGGTCGTTAGACTTGCGGGGCTCATTGGGTTTCAATGCTTTGTTCTCAGAAGCAGCGGCGGCAGAGCCCTGGGCGACGTTGGCCTTGTTGCTGTCAACTTTAGCTTGAGGGGTAGAGGGCGAATCGGTATCATCATCCGAATCATCATCCCAACCAACCTCTTCCTCGTCGTCAACATTGGCGCCTGCAAGCTATAGTTAGATATTTTCTTTATAGAACGGGTAGCGCAGCACAGTCTAGCAAGCAGCAGAAGACTTACCCTTAAGAAGCTCTTTGCGCTTCTGCTCTTCAGTCTCAATGACGAGACGAAGGAAATAGTACCGGCACCAAAAGCTTGCATAATCAACTTGCTCAGGCACCAGCTTCTCCATCGCAGTCCGCAACTCAGGGTACTTCTCAAGATCGGCAGCGATTTCAGTGGTCTTGTTGTCCACATTGAACTTCTCCTTGAACGTAGGCCACTCATCGCTCACCGGGTCCTTAGTGAAGCTCTCCATATTGGAATGAATAACATGCAACTGCGCCTCAAACCGAGTAGCATGGATGACCCTTTTGCCCTCCGCATCTTTACTCTCGAAGAGGAGCTTGCTGGAATCCGATTCCGGAGGAACAATGCTAACCGCATCGCGCAACTTCTGCCCAATATTCATTCAAACCGCATAATAGCTTCATCGGCAGCCTCCTCCGCCTTCTCAATCTCCTTCAGCCGTCTAGCAGCTTCCGCCTTAAACCTCGACAGGAAGCCCTCTCCGGCACCCGACTCCCCCTGAGCATCCACCGACCGAGACGTCTCTGGCGTAGCAGCCGTCTCCCCCTCTCCCGCCTTATCCGTGGCACCGGCATTAAATGCTGTACTCAGGGACAGACCGCGCGTGCGCCCCACGATACTCTGCTTCAGGTCCGAGAAGCCCTTGGCGGCTTCCTCGCTGGCCGCGGCGTACTCCTGCTTCGCGCCCTCATAGTAAGTCTCGCCTTGTTTGCGAACGTTGTCCCACAGGCCGCCAATGCGCATACCCCATGGGCTCGCGGAGAAGGCGCGGAAGGTTTCCTGCAGCTCGGCGTTCAGGTCAACGTTTGACTGCTGCTGTGTTTTGTTCTCGTCTTGGGCGGATCCCTCCTTCTTGGAGTTGTCGTTGGAGGAGAGGATCTCCCCTTGGATGTGATCGTATGCGATATCCATGACCCTTTTTTTTGGTATGTGCGCGACGTAAGTTGAAAAGCCTCGGATCCGGCTGAGTGCTTGATAGCGGAGCTGCGGAGGGGAGCGCCAACTTTTGGGTCAGTGTAATTGATCCGTTCCCGGGGTGATAGACGGGCCGACGCCCCGCTGTCCGTTACCAGTAGTTTAATACATCTTAATGCATACAGATAGTGTGTGTATATGCGTGGAAGAGGGGATATAATAATAATTTGTATTTTTATGTCTTTCATTAGGACTCATTATTATTTGATGCGTAATGCCTGTAGGATGTGTTTAATATCGCCTTGTTGGATGACTATTAGATATCTGAGTAAGGCTCCCCGATACTATCCTGACTACCCAATATGAACGCCGGCAATGGTATACTTTCCATGACACTTGATGTCAGGAGTGCACTTTTTGATATAATACCACGCGGCTGAGAGCTTCCATCAGCATCGGCCTTCCGTTGAAATCTATCTGCAGGTTGTGAAGACTCCACCTGCACGACAGATTCTCGAGTAGCAGGTCCACGTTGAATAGCGGCATTTGGAATATTTCCGCTTTCACAGCGTACAATAGGTGATGATTCGGGAACAATGTCTGTTGAAGATTTGTCTTGGTCTTGAGTTTGAGATTGGGTCTGTGTTTGAGTATATAGAGGACGGTACGGTGATGACCGGAATTCGGAGGCAGTGGCCGGCTCTTGCTGATGATCTGGAAAGAGCTCCGCCATCTTTTGTGTATTAATCGCGGGTATTGGCTCAAGTGGGAACTGTGTAGCCTGCTGCGGCCTCCGGTAGTATATTGATGCATCAGATGGCAAATTGGTTTCTAATTGCAGAGGACCACATTCAAAATCTAGCCCCGAGGGAGGAATTGGTGGAAGTTCTTGAGAATCTTCATTAGGCAGCTTATTATCATCTTCATAAGTATGGAACTGGTTTGCAGTCGCTTCTTCGGAAGGTAGACCAGGTATATTGAGTCCGTTGTCTGGGATGTCGTCACTATCGGTCTCAGCGTCTGTTTCATAAACGACAGTCCTCTGTGTAGTCAGAGGATGCTCATCGAGTTCATGGAGTGTATTAGTTCCCTCTTTGGTGACTGTTGCCCCTTTCGTAGAGTGGGATTGGGTAGAGCTCGCATTGGTTTCTAAGCTTTCTTTTGAAGTAAGCTTGATTGTCGGCGGGGGATGGGATTTCATAGATGGCGGTATTGAATCAAGGTGCAATGTTCGTTCCAGACTTTGAGGGGAATGATTTACTCGATCGTAGCCAGGAGATTCTTCTTTGATACGTTTAACAGTTGGGGTCGGGGACTCCCGTTTAAGGGGAGAACGAGTAGCACCGCGGAACTGCGATGATGTGATGATTGCAAGTCCGGGACTCTCTGGAGACTGAGAGGAGGGTATTTCCGATCGGCTAGGCTTCCGCGGCGTGACTGGGCCTCCAAATAATCGAGTCGCTTTAGAGTCCTTGGCCAATTCCACTTCTCCATTTGACCGGAGCTCGTGATCCAGTTTCCGTCTCTTAGACTCACTTGAAGTGGCATAGGTATCATTCGGACCGCGGGCCATATCTTCGGCGTTTGGAGGAGGCAAGTTATGAGATTTTCGTTCATGCTTGTGAGGAGTGGTATATGTGTACTCCAATTTGACATCCTCATCCGGCTCGATCTTCAAGTACCGCCTAACATAGTCCATCTGTGTCAATGTCTTATCTTTCTGTTGATTGTTCTTGCCCTTCTTGTTGCCCTTGACACCGTCACCACTTTTTCTCCGACCCCGTTTTGAAGGGCCAGCATCTTGACTAACCACCCTAGACTGCTTAGACCCGACATTATTCGCATCCCGATCGAACCTGACGCCGTGGGCTCGCGAGGCTCGCGAATTTGAGGGTGGTCGATAATCGGCATCATTATCAGAATCATCTGCTATCTCGATGACCTCCTTATGCCTCCTTGTACCATTCTCAGGTGCTTCATCAATAAAATCGAGATCATCGTCATCTGACTGAGGCTGCGATACCTGTGTCACGAAATCGATCTGGGTGAGTGTCGGCTGGTCTCGAGCTCCGGCAAATGAGGTCCTCTTCCATGACTTAAATGTAGAAGCTGGAGATGCGGGTGTTCCAGTCCTCTTCTTTGAACTCAATGATCCTCTCAAGCCGTCAGATACCGTTGAAGGACCTGGAGGTTTATCCGGAGTTTGAAACTGTTTCTGGCTGGTCTGAGCGTTCGTCCCACTTGTATCACCTCGTCTCATCGCAAATTAAGTCGTGAAGATGATGTAGTAGGTTGTAATGATCCATAGGATTTTATTGCCGGCTACTGAATAGAGAATTGTTTGGTGGCGTTGTCTTAGCTTTGCTTATTGATTGTGACGACTGGCGATACGCGATCACGCGTCGCTAAGCCATAAACTGATGGTCTGTGCACAACAAAGCCATTTAACTTGAATGGGAGTTATGATGCCTGAACCTTAGGGCAAATTTCATACATGTTGCATTCGTACAATGCTAACAACCACATGCGCAACTTATTGGGTATCTAGTATAATCATAGTGTATCTGGGATTACTTAAGAATAATCTGATAGAAAGGTAGGCACACATAGCGAGAAGCCCGGACTCGTTAATCAGACATGAGCCACTCTGGAATCGCATCTTCATCCTCTGGATCATGCGATAACAAGGACCCTTCGTCGTTACTATTCGATCCTTTATCTGAAGTCACGGGAGATTCAATACGTGACTGTATTGCTGAGATAGGCTGAGAAGTTACATCAACACTCGCAGAGTGTGTATTTGCTGCCGTTGACGACTCAGTCGAGATAAGTGTATTTGGCAAAACCCCTTCAGAAACTTTTCGGTCGTCCTCCTTAGGACCTTCTTTGTCTCTTGAGTTGGGCGCTGAAGCCTCGGGAGATATTGTGGTGCCTTGGTAAGGCTTTGTACTTTGAGCAGTGTTCGTATCGTCTGACACGACAACAAGCGAGTATAAAGACGGTTCTGCTCTATTTGTGTGAGAGGGACCCTTTGCCACTTCAGGAGCCGAGTCTTCGGCAGTTTCCTGATGTGTCTCACTGTCGTCAGGAATGAATCCTCCGCCGAGAAAATCATCATTTTTGGGAGCAGTGAAACTTTCAAAGTGGCGTTCTTGAGTGATGCTCTGTGAACCAATAGCTTCCTGGTTTGGTTCAGGGATGAACCCGCCACCGGTTTCTTCTGGGTTGCCGTGGCCAGTATAGCTTGATGCAATGCTCTCCTCGTCATCGGCCTCTTCGCCTTCAACCGCGTAGCTTTGGACTCTTTTTGCGATGCGAAGCCTAAGCAAAAAGTGTTTCCAAAGCCGAAGCGCTTCAGCCGATTTCTGCTCGAGCTCAGCCTGCAACCTTTGGTCTTCAAGACAACCTAGAACTTCCTTTAATGCCTCCCCATACTCATTAGCAATGACAACACCCTGAACTACGGCTGTCCCATGGCGCCCTTTGAAATTAAAGCCCGTTACGGCATCTGTGTAGTCAATACCCAATAGTTTCGCGGCGTGCCTAGCATCAGGGTGCTTGATATGGACTCCTCCAGGGGGAACCATGCTCGGCACGTAGACATCTAGGTTTCCGAAGGCATTTTTTGGAACCTTCCCTTGGACGACCGATGGCGGTGTATATAGTTCGGTTTGGTGAAAAGCGTATAAAGCTGTTTCAGTATTCTGTTCAGGGTCCCTCTCATCTTCCTCGACAGCTATGGCTTGATTGCTATGGGATTGAACACGCTTCAACGGCTGCTCACCAAGCTTTATGTCCCGTCCCGACCGAAACCACCTGTTCGCACTTCGCAAAACGTGGATATCGGATCGGCGATAAACAGGTTCCAAAACTTGATTTTTTGACCCTGATTTGCTAACGCTAACCTGTCCAACGACACGTTTCGGGAAAATAGTTTCATGACGGCGAAGATGTCGCTCGAGCGCAAAGATTGGGTGGTCTTTGAAATCTTGTATATTCCGGGGCATAGGCTCCGCAGCAATTTTGGCCGTAAGCTCGCTGATTTCCACTTCATCACGGTCCTCAAGGAAAGGTCTCTCATAAAACCGCATAACCTGGCTCCACCATCTTTCCCCATGTTTGGTAGACTCCACGCGTAGCTTGCGTGTTTTGGCATTAAATGCCTTGGAGTAACGGCGCGTCACATCTCTTGCCGAGGCGTCTTCCTCAAATGCAATAACATAACTCATACAGTTATACGGATCACTTGATGGCGGCTCAAATTTGGAAGGTTTCGCAAGCGATTTCGTCACCAATGGGTCAACAGGAACCCACTTCTGCATCGCTTCATTGAAAGCCTCGACCCAGAATACCGGGTGCAATGATTCCCGGATACTAGGTCGTGAGTCTTCAGTCATTAATACGGTTATTCAGAAACCTTTTTTGGGGGAAATACATACTGGCAATGAAGCTCTTCGGTGGAGTTGAGGGTTTGAATTGTGGCCGACCAAGTCGTCTGGTCCTTGACGGTGTTGGCGATGCCCTCCGCTTTGTCAAATCATCGGTAGAGGTATCATGATCATCTGACGAGATCACGATGATCTGCCGTCCCGGCTTGGTAGGCATCATTTGTTTGGTTGTTCCAGTAAATGGCAATGGCTGTAATGAACAGATGAGCCTAGCTTCCACAGCTGCGGAGCGCAGTAGGGCACAGAACAGCTGGGCACCAAAATCGCGAGAGCCTTGAAGTGTCTTAGCCTGTTTAAGAAAATCCTCCTTCGATAAGAAAACCTCTGCGTCTGACTGGATATCTTCCTAGGACGGAATTAGAAGCACAACCCTTATACTACAGAAGTTGAGTACAATACCACTCTCTGTTTCAAGGAAAGAGAGTCATCTGCCCAATGAGCTCGCTTCAAACCCGGCTTAGTCACTCTGAATCTCTTTAGAAAGGCATCGCTGGCCTGATTAAGTCCATCAATGAACATTGTCGACCTTGTATACTGTGGCTGTTCCTGCGACGGATTCAGAAGCGAGATCACGCGTTTTGTCAACATCTGCTTAAGAAACCCCTGCATTTTATATTAGTTGAGGTGCAAACAGGATCGTGCCAAAGCCAAGGCGCACCTGAATATATTCATCGTTGCACCAGAGGTTTCGTAACTGGGCATGAGACAATAGGCAAAGCAGATGGGCTTTGTGCACATGTAATCTAATCTCCTTCTCAGCTGCTGTAATTGGCTTCCGCCTTCTAATTACTTTTCGCTTTTGATCCTGATGAGGGTCAAGAGTGATCTGCATGGTGTCGTTTTCTCCTCCAGGAACAGGGGCTGGTTCAATAGGAGCAGCAGGTGCTTGAGAAATGTCAACCTCTTCCCACTCCATTTCCGATTCATCATCAGAAGAAGAGTCATACACCGTTTGTACTTGCGGGTTGACATTTTCTTGCTTCTTTGATGGATACTGATCTCCTTGTTTTGTAATCTGAGAAGGAGCAGAAGACGACAGTGTCTGCCCCTGTACCTTCCGCTTTTTTATTGGTCGATCATTCTCTAGGCGGCCGGGATCTCGAGCTTCGGCTTCTGCCAGCATCTCTTGGTATACTTCTGGGATCTCATCATCTTGCTCTCTTGACTGGTGACCGCCAGGGGCTGGGTTCTTCTTGGAACGGGCACGAGTCGTGCGGGGCATACTTTCAGCAAGACCTATTCGGAACCATAGGGTTGAAGTTTTTCGTGATCAGAGAAATAGTTATACGCGTCTCAACGCGTGGATGTGGTAAATTGGGAACTGCGATAAATGCCCTGGTGACTTCATCGCTATGTTGATTCGAGTGAGAGTAAAGATGATCCTCCGCTCGGCGAAGGAATAGGCATGAGATACAGCATTAATTTATGCCTATTTATTTACAAGCATAAGGTCTGATATCTTTAAAACTTTGAAACTAGTTCCAGAACTGCTCAGAACAGCAATGCGTCATCACGGATGTACTGTTGATCCGGTCCGAATTGGTGGGCATTTCCGGATCGGGTAATATTGATTCGAGTCGGTCCATCCGTCAGAAGATGTATGCCAAGTGGCTATAGATTTTTCTATTGGTTGTGCTTGTGGACTGACTAGATGTCCTTTCTGACAATAGGTAACATAGCAATGCCAGAACTCTATAGATAGGACTCTTAGACTTGCCCATTGAAATGTTAAAGGCAATACATGACCTGATGAGTTAAGTATTGCGTCACATATTGTTGATCCACTGGGAGCGCTCATTAAACCAACTCCAGAGTGACAGATTCCGTAAGTTCTATAGATTTTAAGAACTTAAGTTGGCACTTAAAGCAAGTCAAAAGTTCCCTGGAATTTCCTCCAGATTCATTGTGGTCTCATAGCAGCCAGTGGCACTATTGCGATAATCTAAACTATGCTTTCAAGATCCTTGAAAACAACTGGGGCGGTCCCTTGGATGCGGCCAGTCCTTTCTTGTACCTATCGCCGCTCTCTAGCACATGTCGCTAATTTGGAAGATATACATTCTGTACGTGACAAATGCACTATTCGTTTGTTAGACGGCAATTAATGACACTTGACGTCTCTGAAGGAAGATGATAAGCCGTTTAGTGTTCCGATACCAGAAGATAGCTTCGATATGTACCATTTAGATCCGCCTCCGTATTCAGTTGAAACCACCAAGAGGGAACTCAAACAGCTATACCATGATATGACATTGATAAGGTCTGCTGATCTCTCTGGTCTCTTTTCCGTTTCGTGCCGAGCAATATCGTTGACTATTTGCAGGCGCATGGAGCTTGCCGCAGACGGTTTATATAAAGACAGGAAAATCCGTGGCTTTTGCCATTTATCTACTGGACAGGAGGCAGTCGCTGTCGGTATCGAGCATGCACTTACTAAACATGACAAACTTATAACCGCATACCGTTCCCATGGGTTTACCTTGATGCGTGGAGGGACTGTGAAGTCTATCGTTGGGGAATTGCTTGGACGAAGAGATGGCATCTCTTATGGTAAAGGTGGCTCTATGCACATGTCTGCGAAAGTTTTTTTGGGGGGAATGGGATTGTCGGGGCCAGCGTGCCAGTAGGTGCTGGAATCGCGTTCGCTCAACAATACAACGATGCGAATAATGTCACCATCGATCTCTATGGTGATGGAGCAGCCAATCAAGGCCAAGTTCACGAATCCTTCAATATGGCTAAGCTGTGGAATCTACCTGTGATATTTTGCTGTGAGAGTAAGTTCACTCTCCCTAGGTGCGCTCCTCAACGTACTAACGTGCTTTTAGACAATAAATACGGTATGGGAACATCTGTTGACAGAGCCTCTGCTATGACCGAATACTACAAGCGTGGCCAGTACATCCCGGGGCTACGAATTAACGGAATGGATGTCCTTGCCGTCCTTTCAGCAGTCAGATATGGCAAGAATTTCGTCCAAACAGGAAATGGACCCCTGGTCTATGAATACCTCACATATCGATATGCGGGTCACTCAATGTCAGACCCAGGAATTGCATATCGAAGCCGTGAAGAATTGAAAGAGCAGCGTGCGAATGACCCAATCTCTAACCTCAAAGAGAAGTTAATTGAGTGGGGTGTATTCTCGGAGGAGGACGCCAAATCAATTGATAAAAATGTACGCAGCAAAGTGAACGATGAGGTGGCCGAGGCTGAAAGGATGCCTGAGCCCGAGACAAAACTCGACATTTTGTTTGAGGATACATATGTTCGTGGTAGTGAGCCGCAGCAACGGCGAGGAAGGACCATCGATGAAACTTATTATCGGGTTTAGGCGAGGAGTTTGGCATTTGATATGATCGATACCATAGCTGATAAGTAATAAGAGGTTAATGAGATACAGCTCGAAAAGGGTGAGGATAAGGATGCCCTGGGATTGACGTCTAGACAGCCGAACAAGTGTCAGTCATGAGATAGATCAAGTTTAAAGTAATCCATATATGACACTAAGCCATGCAGATGAGCCACGGAACGAGTGAGCCCAGAACGTACAGCTCTGCATCAATATAGTTTGGGCGCGGCCGTATTGCGTGGAACCCAACTGTTGGCGCTGGCCAAGATAACCTACACACAGTCGCAACCAACAATCTCATTCGCTGTTTGCGAGGAACGTCAATGATCAATATGGACGTCACTCTGATAATATGACAGGTTATGAGCTATAATAAGCCGCTTGGATACCAAGCGGGGCTTACGTAGTTTTAGATATTCCCAACGCTTAAGAATATCAACCCACCAGCACCAACCTTTGATACAGAATAGCATCAGTCACGAAAATAACAGCGGCAACAGACATGGCGACAGCTGATCTGACAACCCCTTCGACCTGCATCGCCGACTTCTCCTTGGTTCCGGTAGGTATTCCGTGTTCCAATTAACGATCGCGGTGGGCCATGAAGATGACGAAAAGAGTTGCCTAATGGATACATTCAGCTGACGCTCGCTTCTTAGATCGGCTCGCAGAGCGCATCATTCTCCAAGCAAATCGCAGAAATCCAGGACCTGCTGCAGAAGTCTGGCCTGAAGTATCAGATGACTGCCACTGGGACGGCTGTTGGTAAGTTGCTTTCATTTGACCATGGGCTTGATTGGAGCTTCAGCATGATGTTGTCTTACGGATTTGTCCGTTCAGGATAAATCTAAGAGATATTAGCGTAGACAAGCATGATGAACTTGAGCCACTAATTGAATGATCTAGAGGGGCCATGGGATCAAGTCGCCCGAGTCATTGGATATGCCCATACTTTGATCCACCAGGAGGGCATACCAAGAATCCAGACAGATATCCGCGTCACAACCAGGTAAGTTGGCATCGAACAAGGCCATTATTGGATAATCGAACGTCTAACATTGTACACGAGTAGGACGGATAAGGAACAACCGATGGAGGGCAGTTTGCTGTCCGTTGAGAAAATCTTGGCGACTTGAAAAAACTGGCGAAGACAGCTGTGGTTGCAATCCTCGAAATTAGGTCAGCATGCTTTCTTCAGGAAACAAATGTATGCAGAGAAACCACAATGGGGAAGAAGTGGAAGGGGAAGGGCGTGAGTTGTATGTAATGTGATTGATATCTAGTTTTGGAACATTCATCCTTCTCTGTTTGATATATTGGACTTGCAAAACTCGAGCTCCCGTCTTCTCGAAAGGACCAGGATCCAGGTTCTGTACAACCTAACCAACCTTTCTAGGCAAATAATGAACGATCAATGCAGTTTTTGGAAGAACTTTTCGCCGTGGTATAAGAATCTGACACATAAGGCCACGTCTATAGATACCAGGTACTCGGTACCTTGTGTTACACCCCGATTGACTCGCGACCCGACCGAATGGTCCGGAAGCGATCCTTTTTAACTTTATATTATCGCGTTACCTGATACCGAAAACGTTTGATTGGCCATTACAACCTACGACAGCACCAGCATCCATGAGTTACTAGTAGTATGGTTATCCGTATTTGTCAATTAGAAAAGTTTGGTCTGAGGGGTAAAACCCCAACACCTTGGTAGTAAATTCGCGTACTGGTCGATATTAGTAAGAGTAAACATTTGAAATGTCCAGCACAGATGTTTCAAAATTGACCACAGGTAGGTAGAGTCCTAATGACAGGAAACTATTACAGCCTCGAGCATAAGATAAACAGCAGTAGATAATACGTATGTGAGACAAAAACATACCTTGTATGAACCCATTACTCACTTGCAGCAGATCACAACGAAGTTATAGTACTAGACGTACCCCTAGCGACGGAGGGATTACGGAGTAGTGTTCCCAGGTTCGGTTTTCGCCTACAGTTTAGACTCCTTGTTATAAGAGGGGAACTTAAAGAAAAAGAACTGTCCACGGGTTAATCCTTGCTTCCACCCTTGTTACGTTCTAGATGCTCCAATATTACATATGCACTATAGTCTTATCTGGAATTTCCATGACAAATTGGAGTTTCTTAAGTATTACGTGTAATTCAGTAGCAGGTAACTTACTATTATCATTCCTACCCCGTCTGGAGGGAACTATCGAAGAATATTTCTTCATCCTAACGCCAAGTTGGCTCCAGTGCTAATATGACCACCTGTCAAAGGACACACTAGACCCTCACCTGCATGATTGGCTTGCCGGAGTAATTCCCAGAGTTAAACGAGCAATGACTCAATTAGGTATTTCCGCAACACCAGGCAGTGGTACAGCAAAGAAAGACACACCAGAGTGACTTCAAATCCCGATGATCGTTACTACTGGCGTTAACTAAAAATGGGGGTAATCTGCGATGTAACATCTTATTTTTGCTTTTTGACAGAATCTTAGGTGGACATTCGTGCAGCCGCGTCCTATCAACAAGTGCATATGCGTCTCGGCAAGGACAAAATTTGAGAAAAGTCTAGGGTCCATTGCACTTATGCATGGCCCTTGTATGGCGAGTAGGCAGAGGAGCTTCCGTGGAAATGTCTGGTGGATAGATTTCCCCTCCCACTGAAACTGTTGGACGTGCGTATAAACCATGCCAATTGGGGGTTTGTGAGGGAGAATCCTTTCAGCTTGAGAGCCACTAGCAATCCCTGAAGCGGCTTCTTTAGCTTCGCTTTGCCAGGTCGCTAAGTGCCCTGAACCCTCCAGACCCGAGTATTTGGTTATAGGAAAACAAGTCAGATGACATACTGTCAACTGAAAGGCGACAATTGAGAGATACTCACTGAGAGAACTATCTTAGCTTCTGGACGTTTCTCGCTTTTTCTTTCTTTTTTTTTCGATAGGGCCGCGGCTCCTAAATGTACTACTCCTGCATATGGAGGCTGGACCGGGCATATCCGGCCTGTGAGTTGGTGACAGCCGGTCACCAAGTAACCCTAGGACCATTTCGGGTCACGAGTATGGGTAAGTCCCACTATCCGTAACCGCAATCCAATAGCTATTTGGGTGTTTTGGATGTGGGCGAAGATCCAGGCTTGTAGGTCTTGGCGATTCCTTCGTTGTCCTTTCCTTACGAGGTAAAGAGTAATTATCCTGGCCTTGTAACTCGTGACCAAGCTCAACCTCAATAGGCGAAGTAGACGCCGAGAGTCGGGCTTTCCGTCATGAACATTCTACAGAGATAAATGTCTATTTGCTAACTGACAGATGAAAACATGGCTCTTGCCTACAGAAACAATGCGTTGAATCTAGCTCGCAAGGACAAGGTCTACGTATGTATATACGTAAGGAGTACGTATATACACTTACAACGAACGCTTGAAAGTTCTCTCAAAGTATGTCACAGTGTTTTCTTCTTAATTCAGTATAGTGCATCGCTTTTACAGTGGTAATCGCGCCTTCATACGTGCCTAACCCTGTGGCAGCCCGATGAAGTACATGCTGGAAGCCAAGCAATGGCGCTCAACACGCATGAAATACTAGTATAGTCCGGCTCAGCTCATGCAGACTTACATGTCTAGGAATAATATGGAGACTCGAGATAGGCTTGTCACAGTTCAGCCTAATTTCCGGCTAGTTGTACTTGTCGGCCGCCTGGTTTAAGGTCGGGGCGTTGTTCGTCTGATTCAGAAAAATTTTTTCACCTGTTTCTTTCACTCTCTACGATTTTCCGCTCTGAAACATGTCTCTCAATAATGTAACTCTCTTAGAGGCTGTGACCCGAAAATTAAAGTCAATGGACAGCTGCTCACGATGGTAATAGAGGATGAAACGGCCCGGTGAACATTGTTAAGGCACGTAGATGGGACGGCTCACGGTGATACACAAGATGAGAGGGGAAGATGGGGTCAAACAGCCGTTGGGATGACTTGTCTCATCTACCAACAGATGGATATTCCCACCGTGCAGTAGCCAACATCACTATGCTCTACTGGGAACTAGTAGCAGCACGCTATGGACTAGCAGAGGAGTGATGAGCTGGAAAATTCCAATCCCCGAGAGGAATCACCAATTGACTGTTGACAGCACTTGTCTCCACCCTATTGCCCGGGTAAGTTACTTATTTGTCGGCCTTTGGGCGGCGTCCACGGCAGCCTTCTGCACCTTGGAAATCCAGTTCCCCTACGGAAGGGTGCTGCAGCCTTGATGCACGCTTCATCAGCCTTGCAATAGGTAACATGCTTCCGATAGCCTTGTATTTGAATCTCCGTGCATACTGAGGGACTACTGAAGTACCTAGTAGGTAACGATCATCAAATAGTTGAGCGGGTGGCGTAGTCTATCTCATCTTTCTCCTCAGGCCAAGGCGTCCGAGGAATTCCCGAGGTCAACATATCATTGAAAAGTGCTACAAGCTTTCGTGCGAAAAAATAGTACCATTGTCACATCCCACTCTATATTCCTTACGCGTCACAACCGGTAAACGCCGATGTACTCGGGAATTTATATGGGGAAGATTATGGAGTACACGATGAGATGCTCGACACTATGTGCCGCGTCAACAATGTTGCGAAATATACCCAGTATAACAGCATGCTCTACGTGTAGATAGAGTCACGGCGGTACGGGACTGCGTTCGATAGTGGCTCCCCTGGTTGTGCGTTGACACTTCATGCATATATAGAAAGTGTTGAATTGGAGGTGGTGAACTTCGCATAGGACCTGAGTACAGTGAGAATTACTCTGTGGCATATATTTTGGCACTGGGTATGTCCGTTGTATAACAGCCCCTATCAATAGGAATTTTTACTTGGACTATAATTGTTACTGTTAGGAAAATTCTTGTTTATACTCCGTACTCTGTAATAGATCCACAACCGCCGTATTCCGAAAGGCGGCTAGTAGATCCTTAAGGTGTCGTATTTTCTACTACATCCATCTACCAATTAACGACAGGAATTCTCCAAGAAGAACCAGTGGAAACATACAACCGAGGCCCTCCTACCGCATTCGCGAGCAGTGGAGGTCTACCGAGCACTTAAAATTTTAGGGTACCACACTTTGAGCACAGGAGCAATTCACCAAACGCTCCATCAGCTGCAGGTGCATCTATTTCAGCGTAATTGGTCTCGGGTAAAGTTTGGTCACTGCGAGATAATGGATGCTCTCTATTTGGTTATATACTCACTCCGTCGCCTGAAATACTCTAGTTGATGCAGGAGTATGTAAGCGACATGCGTCGGGCCAACATTCCTTATGTATGGTACGCCCGGGACTTTGAACCAAGGATACAAGGTTCATCTCGCTTGACTGCTCTTCTCGAACTTTTCCCGAGCGGATGCCACGGGCTTAATCGGCGGGGCGGCATTCAACAGTATTTACCTCAAGACCCCTAGCTGAGAATAATCTGCCACTATCCACAGGCTTGATTCGTCGTCCGTTGCAAGGTTATAATCTGCGATGAGGAATAAGATCAAGTCTTGCCTATATCGTAGAGGATACCTTGGGAAGAACATGGAAATAAATGAGTGTACCCCGTAGATTTCGAAGAGTAGTACTCTTTGATGCGGATGTTACTCCGAGGTGTGGAAAAAGTGGAGCGATAATACATTAGAATAATATTAATAATGATGCTAATAAAAACAGCGGAAAAAGAATAAGAGCCGATCTTTTTAGAAAAAAGTCTCATTTTTTGACCAAGTTACTAACGGTGTCTGCTAACTAATGAAACAGTATTTCAAATAATGATGATAAAGGGGGGTGTCCCGGCGGAGAGAAACTTGGAGGAGTTTGAGTGGGACAGAAGTGGAGGGTAATTCCGTCGGTATGGGTGGGTCAGGGATCCGACAGCCTGGATAGCGGTAACTTTCCTTCATCTTTGTGTCACCACGGAGAAAATTAGAGTGAAAAACAAAAGAGGAGCCTGAGGCTGCTGTCAATCATGGGCGGTTGGGAAAGGGGAATTGCTTGTTGGTCAACTTAGGCTATATTTGCTTTTTCCTTTCTTTCATTTATCTGTAAATTTGAATTCAGGCGACTGCCATAAATCATCCGCGATCATCCTGATAGGACAATGCCAAACCCATGCATAGCGTCATCCAATGGCTCCAGTCGTCCTATGGGATAAAGAGCGACCCATGGATTGGAATTTCCCAGCAGTGTGGTACCAACAGTCATTGGATCCCGGCTTCTGTTGAAGATCATTTCACTCTTACCTCTTTACGGTACTAGTGGTACTGCTCTCTTACCACTACCTGGCAGCTAGACAGTACTTTGTTATTAGGTAGCAATGATAAGTGTGGCTTGACCGGTGTGAAAGGACTTCTGGACCCTCTTCCCTGCTAGGTTGTTTCTGCCTGACGTACCGAAGTTAGAACTTACAAGCCACCACTGATTTGCCCACTTCGTATTGTCCTCCTCGGTTCTCGTCACTGACTCTCCCGGCAGCTTGGGACGCCCGTGCTTTTTCTCCTTAGTTCTTAAGAGCCGGGACCAGCTGGCAGGGGTATAGCGGTTGCACAAGGAACCGACTAATGGTAGAGCATTAGTTTGTGCTATACTATATACCAAACTACTGGTTTCTTCTCTTTACGCATAGTTAGTGGACCTTTTGCCCGCTCGAGAAGGGGCTTCCGAGATGCCTTGTGATATTCGCAAGTGTATGTAATGTTGTACCCAGAAATCAGACGAACAAATGTAAATGCTTGTCTTTAGGTGATGATTGTCGACGTCTTGAAGTCGAGTGAGTTGACCATCTACAGTAGTTCCCGTTCATATGGACCGTACACTGCATGAAAGAAAAGTTTCCGAAGAGTAGCTCGAGTACGGAGTATGTCCTTTCTAGTTCAAGACTACTCTTTTTAAGTCCCAATGTAGTGGGTAATTTTCTCATTGACTTCTTGTTTTAATTTTTATTATTTTTCCTCCCGCCGCCGCCCGAACCGTTCAAGATAATTTGACACATCCTGTATTGTAATTACGAATTGCGGATACACAGTACATCGACCTGATAACTCTATAAGTTTTTTTCCCTTTTCTTTTTTTAATTTTTTTTTTCTTTTTAACCTTATGCCCCTTGTCAATTTTCTGGTTGAAAATTCTCTACGGCGAAGGACAAGAATTATCTAATAATTATTGGCATGACCGCCTATTTTTTTCAAAAAAAAAATAAAAAAAAAACCTCCCCTGAACCCATTACTATTACAAAGTGAATTTCTTCGCTCCTATCCTTTTAGGTTATGATTAACTCCGTCCTGCTAAAGTCAAACTTAATCCAGGCTGCCGGGTTCGAGGAAGGAAATTAAAAAAGAAGGAAAAGGCAGCCGACCACTAAGTTACGACTCCGTACGGTGTCCGGTTACCCTTCTAAATCAACGGAGTCCCTAACCCACACGATCGGTTCCCCCTGTCTAGACTAGCTGGGGAGGAATGGCATGAGCCTACCGAGTACCAGGCTACTTTAAGTATAATTCTTTTTCTAGTTCCGTGGCACCGAAAGTATCGAATTTCGCACTGTTTCATATGCGCGTTCTGCACTGCATATGGTGATAATTATAGCTGGGATCGTCATTATTCTTCATCAATATCATTCCTATCACCAGTCTTCTTGTAAATATTGATCACCAATAAGCCCTCGAGTTTGGCTCCTATCTCTTCGTCTCTTCTTTCAACTGATCCTCCCGGTTGTTGATTTTGAAAACTAATAGCCACCCCACTCGTGGTCAATTTCCTAGCCCCAGAGCCCAGAGCCCATCAGTATGGGTGCAAGGCCGGTTGTAAGCCTTTCCCTTTCTTAGTTCCATCATAGCCCCTCTGTTTCACTCTCAGTTGTTAAAAGTGACAGCTGCTTTCCCATAAATCCAGCCTTGTCATCCTGCTTCCTACCATTCAAGTGACACTCACCAATAATGTCTCAGGAATCTAGTCGTGACTAGTAAGTCTATATTATTCACCTTATGACGCTTGTCCAATTCAACCATGGACAAAGTAGGACTGAGTTACGTGGAAATTTGGAACTAATCGCTGTAAACAGTGACACTCAGTCATTGACGGCAAGTGTAACAGACTACCCCATTGAGAATGGCAGACGATACCATAAGTACCATGAAGGATGTATGTTGACTGCTGTTGGATATCATGATGTTCCCGGGCTCTCTGACTGACATTTTCAGCGTATATATACCCGAACGATGAGCAGGAACTGGATCGGTTGGACATGCAACACCATATGATAAAAATGGTCAACGACGGACGCCTGTTTCTTGCTCCACTAGAACACCCCAAGCGAATCCTTGATATTGGCACCGGCTCTGGAATATGGCCCATCGAGATGGGTAAGTATTCCTTCCGTCTCTACACCTTTTTCGAGCAGCTCCTTACCATTTTCAACCTTCGCAGCGCCCATCTTCCCAGAAACCGAAATCATAGGCACCGATCTTTCACCCGTGCAACCAACCGAGGTTCCCGAAAACGTTCACTTTCTAGTGGATGATGCCACTGAAGATGAATGGTTATGGGGCCCCGACCACTTTGACCTCATCCATACAGGACACATGTCAGGATCCTTACCCTCATTTAAAGAACTCCTGCGCAAGGCTTTGAACCACCTGAAGCCAGGAGGTTATATGGAATGTCATGAATTCGACCCGAAACCAAAGTGCGATGACGGCACAATGCCACCGGATGACCCTGAAAAGTTCAGTGAATTTGCTCTACATGACTGGTGTGATCTAAACGTTCGCTCCGGCCAGATCACAGAACCCCCACGGCAGTTTCGCGTAGCCCACCGAATTGCTCGTTGGATGAGAGAGGTTGGATTTGTGGATGTACAGGAACGCATCAAGAAAGTTCCGAACAACCCATGGCCTACCGACCCGCGCATGAAAGAAATTGGCAAGTGGAACGAGACAAACTGGCTGGAAGCCTTATCAGGATGGTCCTACAAACCTCTTACTGCCTTAGGCTGGTCGAAACCCGAAATCGAGGTATTCCTGGTTGACGTCAGGAAAAGTATCCAGAACCGCGACGTTCACAGTTACTTGGACTTTTTTGTCGTGACAGGACGAAAGCCACTGCCAGGGGAGCAAAATCCATAATGCATTGCCTCATCACTTCTCCAAATTCTCCTGTCCATATACACTTTTGACCTTACTTTTCTCTTGATTTGTTGGCTTTATTGGCGTGCATTAGCATAAGATACCATTGACTGAAAAAAGTTATGCATAGGAAGGCGTGCAGGGCTCTCTTCCTCTTTCTTCATTGTTGCTTTCCACCTTCGCTTTGCGTTCCTCTTTAGTTTCTCTTGGCTATTTCAATCTTCCTTCACTGCTAAATATAACTGATGGCTAAGAAGGCATCTACGCTGTAGACTGCAATTAAGCAGTCGCTAGCTTAGGGCTGGGAAGACATCTGAATGGACGGATCTATATATGGAATCATAAGGGCCATAATTGCCAATCTTTTACAATATAAGACGACCAAGAGCACCGGAGGCAGCGTTCGTCTAGGTTTCTATGCAAGGGCACAGGAGCGTACCGCAGCCTGAGGTATGTAAATCGGATAATTCTGGTTGGTGCGGACCATAGATTAGTCAGCTGACTGGGGAACTCCGTGATCAACTTTCCTCCGTCAACGATTCTCTAGTCACCCATAGCTATCGACAGCTTTCGGGCATTCAGTTGCTGTCGCATGCTTTCGTTCCCTCATGTCTTTCGGTAGACATGCATATAGGCATGCTGTACCGCCTTCCTCACACTCCTTAGTTGATCATGTATGGATTAGCGAAGATTTCCTCGCGTCAACGTTCCGACGATTCGCAAATGGCCAACGACGCTATGAGAGCCGAGTGCCGGGACCTTTAGAGGCAAGGAGACGGTTGGCTAAAAGAAGGAACACTGCACTGGCTAGCCTAGCAGGGTCAGGGCCACTGGATGACATTGGGTGTTTGTTGGGGCGCAATGGACGGGAGCATATGAAATGGGTTGGTGGGCAATCACGGAACGCACCGCGGGAGGCTCAAGGTAGGCGCTCATCGGATAAGAGAACATCTGCTCAATTGGCTTCCAGCAGAGTATCTAATGTCTTCCAGGGTCAGCTTTTTACGCTATTGGCGCGCCCGCTTATCCTTTGCCCTTTTACAATGAGACCGCCGAATCGAATGAACTCTCCAGATCATCCGGGTGGCAGGTATCTTCATATATAGCCGACAAGGCGTCTCTCGAACAATGCTTGGCGGAATCCTTGAAGGACTGTCAGACGGTAACGGCTATCAAGGATGTTGTTCGAAAACTGCGAATCGATCTTCAGCAGGAGCCTGCATACAGCCGGTTAATATTCGAGCATCTACTGTCACATTCGATCAACCACACGTGCGCCACCGACGAGCTCGTTAAGTTTCTAGATGATCCGCACTTGAACACTCGGGGCGCAGGGAATTATCTTTGCACAGTGGAGCATTTCGTTTCTCGCGGGGCAGACCTATCCAAACGGTCCGCTTTCCTAGGCAACGTTACCACAGCACTGGAGCTGGGAAGAGTGCCCGAAAATGAATTATGCCAGATCATAAGGGTTCTGTTTGAAAGAGTCATTGGAGATGCTGTGGTGAGACAACACGATGCGAGAATTCTGACAGCTTACTATAGGAGGATGTGGGATGCGATTGGAAGGTGCAACATCTACGAATACGAAAACCTGGATAAAGAAACAATTGAGACATGGCTGGAAGGGCTAGAGAAGATGGACATGTCCGACTCTTATATTTTGGCAAGAGACATAATCAGCGCGACACAAGGTCGTTCTTGGGCTCCGTTGCTCATTACACGATTCTTGAAGTTCTCCTTGGATCATAAAACGGACGGTGACTACATAAGCGGGCTCCTGAATTGCTTTACACCTAATGAGGCCTCTCTTTGCATAATCTCTGTTACCGAATTACTGGCCCCGTACAGGAAACAACACCTGTTTGAGATGTGGCAGGACCATTTACGCCGTCTTCAGAACATCCCCGGCCTTGTTTCCTCATCAGCCTGGAGTGATATACCGGTCGCCACATCACCTAGTACCTCTTGCCTGACACAGGAACAACGGATAATTTTGCGACTTTGGGTCTTGCGAACCTTTAGCGAATACCTTCCTGAAGGGCCACTATGGCGACAAGTTGTGAGGGCCACAGATTATCCTGTATCCCGTCTTCTCAGCCTCTACAAAAGTTGCGTGGACAAGGCCAACGCAGAGAGCTTTTTGAGCAGCCTCGTAGGAGGAATCCATGACCTAGGCATACCGCCTAGCGGCCTTCTGATGCTATCCGTTCACTTGACGGCTGGAAAGCGGATGACAAAAGGGACCCGGCGTACTTTGAATAGGCTGGAGTCATCAAACGTTTCACTTCTGGACATTTTCGCAAATGGGGATGCTTACAGGAAGACTGTCCCTCATCTCTTTTCGGACTTCGAAAGGTTGGTCCGGCAAATTAATGTTACTAGTCCTTCATTCGTGGAAAACAGTATCCATATTGCAAGTACCGGCGATTCTCAGAATGTCTGGACTTTAATTCGGCTACTCCGTTGCCACACACCTCTGAAGATCGCCTTGTCAAGATCATGGGGACCCATTCCAGACCCTTCTCAAAAGGCCCTTGTACGCTACTATCCGGAAGCTAGAACTAGCGAGTGCCCAGATCCCCATGCCGCCCTTGATATGGTGCACCTCATCGCCATATCCATCGCTAGCTCGAAGCAGCTGAGTGCACGCCGTGCCTACGGCCTGATTCAGTGGCTCTATCGTTTCTTAGTAAAACACGGTGCGCCCGTGAAGCCCTCCCTTGTGCGTGCTATGTATCATGTTGGCGTGGTACGGTACCGAAGGGAGGGGCTGCACCTTTCGTCCTTGCAATACGCATATATATTGGATCTTGTGGAGGAAGTCGAAGGACCCGAAGTCCTAGATATCATGGTGCCGAGGGTTGGCCAATCTGATTCATACAGTAGTCAGCTTGAGTTGCAATGACCCTCGCCGCGGCTTCTCTGAAATTTGAAAGATAATATTGTTATCTGTAGAAACTTTTGGAGCGATTATGAAATATACCCGGTTGTCTTTTGACGTTGTGTATACTACATTACTTTTGTAAATACAATTATGCAACTTGGAATTGTTAGCAGATAAAATTTGATCGGTTGAATATCGATTGAGAAATGTGCTCTCCAGTATTCAACCAATACCTACTTAGTGACTCTTAAAGGGGACCTGTATATTTCCACATGTACAGTTCGCAGGCTTTATACTGAATCATACAAACCAAAACCATCGCGAAATACTCATCATGTAATTCCTTCGTGCGTAATTTAATGTAATAAATAATAAGGCTCTGACAAATATCGGTTTACTTCCTAACTCACGAGTCCACCTCCATCAGATTAGGGTCCCCGGAAACCTCTTCCACAGTGACATATTTCCTCATATCCTCCTTGCTAATGATCTTCTGGTTCAAATAGGCCGTTGTGCCTCTGGGGAAGCGGTAATTGCGTTCCTTTTCACCACGCTCGTTGGGCTTGATATAGTTCCGCAGGAGTTGTGTGGGCTTGTCCTTCTCAATGACACAAACGTCGACATTGCTACCCGATCCCAAATCGTTGAAAATACCAGCCTTGATCGCCTCAGCACAGAGCTCGACCGCTTCCTCACGGTTCAGGTTTGCCTTCCACATCGACTCAAAAACGGACATGGCCGCCAACGATCCAGAACCCATAGTCACATACGGAAGTTTATCTGTCGAACCGTGGGCGTGGACTGTGTACAGACCGGTGCCAGTCGGGTCAACACCGGCTACCACCAGATATGCACCAATGTGTCCCTGGTAGCGGAAGAGGTGTTGCTTCAACATGGTCATGCAAGTGATTACTCGAGGGTCCCGGCCCGTTGAGAGGGAGTGCAGTTCGATGTTCGAACTGATCAGGGCGGTGGTGAACTCCGTGTCTGCAGCTGTACCAGCACCAGCACACCAGATCTTGGGCGAAATATAGTGTAGCTTCTCGCAGTTCTATGTATCCCCAAAGTACTATTAGTAAACCTGCTTGACATGTAATGGTGGTTGCCGCGGAAGACGGAGGATATGGTAGGCTTATGATCGGGTCGTACCTTGTCTGCTACGATGGGTCCGCTAGTAGCTCTGGTATCTGCTGCAATCTGTGATGAGGGTCAGCTTCGAAGGGCAAACGGTCGCAGGAGATCACTATCAGAATTCGGGTATAACATACCACAACACCATTGTCAAAGATACAACCCACAATAGTGGTACCTGTGCTTGTAGCCTTAGGTAGAGGCACTCCCTTGGCATGGAGAGCCGCGTTGCGGTTGTAGTTGGAGAAGTCAAAGCCGGTCATGGTGTCGGCGTGGAGTAATTATAGATTGGACGGAGGGACGGCCAAGTAGAATCAAGATATCGAGGACTTCACGTTATCGAGCTATGCAGGACAAGCAGAGGATAAGGAAGGTGGCGGGAATGAGAAGGAAACAGCTGTAGCTAGTTGGTTGGTGATGGCGGCGAGGTCGAGCTGGAGTGACGAAGCTCCCGCAGCCTGATCTCTCTGCCTCAGGCATTAAATACGCTCGGCCCGTCAGAAGCTCTTGCTGTTTTTGTCCGTCGAGATCGTCCGCAGATTGCTTTCAATTGCTTGCCTGCTGTCAACTACCATTCACAGAGCCGCGTGGCTTTTTTTGTTTACACCACTCGGTTTCGGTGTACAGATTTTACTCTGTAGTATACCCATCCTCTCCCTCTTTACAATTCTCCCTTCCCTTGAGGGGAGGTATTCAAGATTTTTGCGCGCACTTGGCAACTTTTTAACCGGAGTCCCCAAGCACTCCAGCGTCGCTCATTTTCATCTTTACCTCAGAGCCCCCCTTCTCCCCATGCTCCAAAGAGCAGGGTATCATTAGGCGATCGTCCCCGTTCAATATCAGCCGACTTCGACAGACTAAGAATGGCTTTCAGCTTCGGAGCGTCCAACCCCGCCAGCGGCAATATTCCAGCGGAACTAGGATCTGAGCTCCCAGATGTCTATGCTGAGGTCCGTCGCGATCCTGTGCTTGTCATTGCTCTAGATTACCGCAGACAAACTAACTCTGAATACAGGAAGTCGGTTTCAAAGGGGTCTCGAGCGACAGCAACGTCCGATTACTTCCTACCCCTTGGCCTGACGATGCCCTTCCAGCTCCATCATCCTCACTTCTAGCTATCGCACCCACGAAAGGCGTCATAGTCGGTGCGGGTCCCGACTCATTGGCAATTGCCTCCTCCGACGCAGTCAGGAAAGCTATTTCCGCTCCCACCGAAGACAAGGCCAAAACAAAACCCTTCCAACCACAAGCAACGATACCCCTTCCTGCACGTCCCACGCATATAGCCTTCACTTCAGGTGATGACGCCCTAGTACTAGCCACAGAGAATGGCTCTCAGCTTCTGGTCTACGAGACTACGAGTTTGTCGACGGGCAATGCGCAACCAGCCTTATCCATCCCAACGAACGGTGCCACTTTTCGATCCCTTGCTCCGAACCCTGCGCCGCCATCGGATGAGGCACATTCGTCGCTTGTCGCGCTCGTCACGACCAATGGTGAGCTCTTAGTTGCCAATCTTAAAGCGGGAAACCTAGTTTCGGGGCCGAATGGAAATGTCTTGAAGACTGGAGTGAGCTCCGTCTGCTGGAGTAACAAGGGGAAGCAACTCGTTGCTGGACTTGCTGATGGAACGGGTTACCAAATGACCCCAGACGGTACTCAGAAAGACTTGATACCCCGTCCTTCTGATCTAGAGGGAAACTGTCATGGTAACGCTCAATGCTACATCTCCTAGGTTTTCAATTAGCTAACTAAATCTAGTGTCGTCTATTGCTTGGTTAGAGAACGACATCTTTTTGATGGTATATACGCCGAATGATGCCGAGGATGAAACCGGTCAAACGCCATCATCTTCTTATTACGTTATCACAAGAAGGAAACAGGCACCATTTCTGATTCAAAAGCTGCCTGAGTTGTGCATACCTTTTGGAGTCAAACGCGCCCCGGCATACCAGTTCATGGCACGCCTGAGAGACTATAAGCCACACCTGAAGGATGTTTTAATTGTTTCTTCTACCGCATCCACAGATGTTGGTCTTGTGACGAGGTCAGAGCAACCATTGGCAAGTGATGATGCAGCCAAGGCCACCATCAATTTGTTCACCACAACTGAACTCAATGACGATACAAAAAGGGCCTCTCCTCCACTTACAGACTCTGGTGAGGAGACTTCAGTGATTGGTCTGGGAATCGACCTGAGCAGCACAGAAGTTGTTGTCTCCCCGATTGCGGGCGAAGATATTTCTGAAAGCTCAACTCCCTTGCCGAACCTCTTGCTTCTTAACAATGAAGGTATCCTCTGCTCATGGTGGTTCATATACTCTGAGTCTATTCGCCAGAAACTTCCCTATCATGGTTTGGCCTCCGTAGCCCAGCCCCAGCAGCAGGCGCAACCGCAGGCCCCCAAACAGCCTGCGTTTGGACAGTCCGCTTTCGCCAGTCCATCTGCACTGGGGGCGCCTTCCCCGTTTGGAAAGCCCTCTGCCGCACCAGCGTTTGGTAGCCCTTCGACATTAGGAAGCCGCTCACAACCTACATTTGGGGCACCTTCATTTGGAGCCCCGTCTCAGATAGGATCCCAGGCGAGCCCTTCCTTCGGCACTCCGAGTGGGATGAACCGTGGGGCCCCCCAGTTTGGTCAATCCAGTTTCGGATCTATGGGCACACCATCAGCCTTTGGACAACCTTCGACACCTGGGAAGGGATTTGGTTCCTTCCCGCTCGGAACTCCGGGTGCTACCTCTGGAGGTGGCTTCGGTTCATTTGCTAGCTCTGGAGGTTTCGCTGGGCTTGCGGCATCTAAGCCAGCTGGGGAATCGCCGTTCGCGAAGACGACTGGAGAAAGCCCTTTTTCAAAGCCTTCTGGAACATCGGGGTTTGGTAGCCAGACTGATACAAGCACAGCTTTTGGCTCCCAAAAGGCAGAACCGGCAAAGAGCCCGTTCGGCCTTCCAGCTGGTGGGTTCAAATTAGAACCCTCGTTTAAGGGCGACGGTACTGCTGTCCATGATGGCCCCAAACCGGAGAAACCTTCCAGTGGGCTATTCGGGTCTTTCGATGAGATGGTTTCTACGCCTACTAAAGCTAGCCCGCCCACAGAGTCCATGGACGACATGGAAGATGAACCTACTTCCACCCAGCAGGAGAACTCGGAGGCTAGCAAGCCAGCGCCCTCATTGTTTGGGGCGCCGACCAAATATAACACAACTGCACCTTCGTCGCTCTTCGGTACTCCCAACAAACCTCAGCAGCCCTTCGGTGCAGCTCAGACGAACAAATCTCCCTTCTCAATCCTCGGCAATTCTGATAAGCAAGCATCGATCCCTCTGTCTCCACCATCAGACAAGACACCCGTTGCTAGCCCACCCTTGAAAAAGGAGGATCTTGTTGATGATCAGAAGACTCCTGATGCATCGGAAGAACCACCACTTCCTCCCGATCCAACAAGCAAGGTCTCCTATGGACCTGGTGACACTTCTGCGTCCTCCAACGTTTCTAAGAGCTCCATCGATGACGCACCACTTCCCCCTGACTTCACTACACAACCGAAGTCCACTCCACAAGATGACGGGGGAGAGCCTCCGCTGCCTCCTGACTTTACATTAAAATCCAAGAAAGAGGAGCCCGACGATGCTAAACCCGAAGAGGCACCACTTCCTCCTGATTTTACCGCAGCAAAGCTGTCGCCTATTCCTGCTGATGTTCCAGCCCCCGTCCCTGATGACTCAGAAGCGGAAGGAGACGAATCTGAGAAGGAATTGAGCGATGAGGCAGACGAGTCTGATTTCGCTGATAGTGGTGAGGATGTTGCAGATGGTGCTGAGCAACAGGAGGAAGAATCTGAGGCGGAAACTCCGGAGATATCTCCAGAAAGTTCCTTTGGGGCTGGGTTTTCGGGCAAAACTTCAGCCGGTGGGCTATTCGCGGGAGTATCCCAACCTAGTCAGGCTTCGAACCAACCGCCACGGCAATTATTCGGAGAAGTTCGGAAACCTTTCTTACCTCCAGCGCCTTCGGCAAACCGCGAGTTCCCCAGATCGCCTAGTCCAGTACGAAATGGCGCCCCAAGGAGTTTGTTCAAACCGCAAGCTCCTGGCAGCACCCTCGCTGCACGTAAAGCGTCTCTCAGTGATTTAGCGAAACGTGAAAATCAACTTCGACAGCCTATGGCACAGGCTATCGAGGAAGCACAAGCTCAACAGAAACTCCAGGCGCAGCGACAACAGGAGGAGACACTGTCGCTCTCTGACGATGACGAAGACGAAAGGCTTCGTGCCGACCTTGCTCGGCCCATAGAGCCTGTGCCTACCCTCGATCCTTTCCTCCCTCATCAAGACTATACTGGCCAGACCAGTAAGCCAGGTATACCCGGCCAAATTGAAAGGCTCTATCGCGATATCAACTCTATGGTAGATACTCTAGGTATCAACGCACGGTCCTTGTCCGCTTTCCTTATGTACCAGCAATCATCTAGTAATTCAGGCTGGGTCAACATGTTGCAAGGTGATAATCCAACTGATCTTCTGGACGAGAGGCTACGTCTTTCTGAAATCGAGCAGCTTGATGATGCCCTAGTCATGCTTGCCGGCGAGCTTGAGAAACAACGGGTCCAAGGAGTGGAGAAGAAGCTCGAGGACTGTCGAGAGCTATTGAGCAAAGATATACTCACACTGCGAGGCCAGTGTGCTAGTATTCGGAAGACATTGGATGCCCACACAGACTCGGCCGCAATCGTTTCCGCACCACTATCATCTGAACAAGCAAATCTTCAACAGGACCTTCGGACAACGTCCACCGATATCCAGGCAAGGCTAGCAGATCTGGAGTCCGCCGTTTCACTCCTACGGGCGAAGATTGCTGAGGCCCCTCGCTCTGACAGTGCTTCACGCCAGTCTGTTAAACGACCAACAGTCGAAGCGGTCACATCAACTATCTCTACTATGATGAATATGGCTGAGAGCAAAAGCAGCGATATTGATTTCCTGGAAGTACAGCTTAAGAAGCTGGGTATTGACACGACCGCGTCGCCAGCAAGCCGTGAGGGGTCGCCATTTACAACCCCTAAAAAGTCAGCGGGAAGACTCCCAACGACGCCAGGATCGCGGGGTTCCATTGATGGTCCCGTCAGTGCATACCACACACCAGACTCCGCTGCTCGCTTCCGGTCTAGCATCAACGGGTCATCTCGGGCTAGCCGCCTTCGAGACGTGGAAGGCGTTGGCGATCTTGTCAGCAAAGAAGAGAGTGCGCAATGGAAGGCCAAGGTGCAACGCCGGCAATGTATTGTTGGAAACCTGAAGAAGGCAATTAGTGAGAAGAAGTCGAAGGTTAGGAGTGTTGATGACGTGTAGAGGTGCGTGTTTGAATTCTACGTTGTCTCTGATTCAGAATATGAACAATCCTAAAAATAGCGGGATATGGGCGTGGGGAGCAATTGGCTATTTTCTCTGTACATAGCATTAGTCGCTGTTTGATTGGCATATCGGTCTGGATATTGACCCGCTAATGATGTTTCATTAATGATGTGATGCCTTTATAATAACCTCATGCTATCACTATTGACATCTGATTTAATTAGGGTGGGGAATTGCGGCCTTGATGACTGAGGCGCCTGCCACTGACATCATCGCCCGCAAGGTGACAACAGTTCATCAATCAATCCAACTGTTTTCCTTCTTGCTTGCTATTTTCCTTCCGGTCTGGGTCAATTCTTCTTAGTCCTCTGGAATATAGAGAAACTTTTCGAGTCCACCGAGTTGAATTGGTTCGGTCTTAAACTGGAACCCCCCAGATCATATGAAGCTCTAACAACCCCGCCATCGCAGCGCACCGAACATGGCTCTTCAAGTCAGCGAGTTCATTCATTTCCAGCTCAAGACCTCAGTAAAGCCGGAGGACCCCTCAAACGATGAAGGCCAAGCACTACTCCAACTCTTCCAAACAGCCAAGCACCAAAGCGGATATAAAAGCTCAGCATGGGGCAGAACAGTAGAGGACGAGAATATCGTAGTATGGGTAGTTAGTAAGTTCCACGCACCCTTCCCTTCTCCCTTGCCCAGACAAAAGAAAAGAGACAGCCCCTACCCAAAATGGAAAAGACAAGTTATATTGAACACATATCGCAGACTGGGCCGATGCACACGTAGGGACCCAACCACAACTCCTAGCCCCATACCTCGAACCCAACACCCAAGTGAGCGTCATCTTCACCACACTCATGCCGTCAATCACCGAAACCGAGTCCCTAACCACCAACCCCGTCACGGAGCTGGTCGCGCTCACCTTCCCCAGTTCCTTGACGCCTGAGGAGCAAACGAAGCTCAATACAAATCTGGTTGAATTCCGCGCTGCGCTGACAGAGAAATTACCCAAGGGTGAAAGGCCGAAGTCGTGGGCTATGGCGCAGGTGGAGAGACCTGGTACGTTAGAGCATGAGAAGAGTCCGTCGGGACAGGCGGTGTTGCATCTTTTGGTTGTGGGGTGGGAGTCGGTAGATATGCATAAGGCTGCGAGGGAGACGGAGGAGTTTAAGAGGACGATTGCACCTATTAGGGAGAAAGCGATTCCTTCTGTGCCGCCTTTGGGGATGAAGCATGTTTCTTTTAGGAAAGTTTGAGGTGTGGATGGAGTGTGAAATGAATTACGTTAGATTGGTGATAATGTGTACAACGAATGTTGACGGACAGCGCTTTTCCATAAATTACAACTTGGAAGGCATATACCCGAAACGAATCATTAAAGTCACCATAAACAGACGACTTTTGAGCAACGCAAAAAGAAAGGAATGAAGAAAAAAAAAGGAATCCCCACATGCTCCTGGAAGAAAGAAAACAGATTAAGCAAGCTCGTAGACTCATGCCTCCGCTTAGATACGGTGCTTTTCACTTTCTGTATTGCTAGTTAGTAAGAAAATATTTGAAATTATCCGGGAGTCAAAACTAACCAAGTCGGGAGTAAAGCATATACAAAGCCATCTGGTTACACTCTTGAGTACCTGTGATAGTCACCAGACGCTCATTACTGTTCTCCTGCGGCTCATTGATCTTGATCACACTGCCACTAAGGTGACGGATCTCGTTGATCTTAGCACCACCCTTGCCGATTATGGCACCGACCATGTCGTTGGGGATATAGATCTGCTGAGTCAGTGGTTGACCGGGCATAGCTCCGCCAACAGGGGCGACCGGGGTCGGACCACCGCGTGCGGGAGCAGCCTGGGGAGCACCGTAAGGGGCAGGCTGGTGAGGGCCTGCGCCAGCATACGGCTGAGGTGCGCCACCATAGTGCATGGCAGGCTGAGCTACAGGGGCGGGGGCGGGCTGTCCATGAAGGTAAGGAACGCCATAAGCACCCGCAGCAGCCCGGTTGGGGTGAGGGTGGTGGCGCTTGAAGGTATCAGGGTGACCATATTGACCGCCAGCGGGCTGAGGAACATAAGGGACAACCTGCATACCACCAGGCACGGCTCCAGCAGGCCCGCCACTGCGAGTGGCATAAGCAGAAGCCGCCGGCCCACCAAATCGTTCCGTGAGCTGCTCAACCAGCGTCACAGCAACATAGTAGGTGGCAATGTGAACCGCATCCGCGACACCCAGAATTACAAGGGACCGCTCAGTGGACAGGGGAAGGCAAGCATCTGAAGCGTTGAGACGAGCGCCAGAGGCCTCTTGGATCTCACGAATACGACCACCGCCCTTGCCAATGATGGAGCCAATAAGGATATGGGGGATCAACAAACGCAAGGGGTATGTCTTGGATTGGGCAGTGGAAGGAGCATCAAGGGGTTCATTGTTTAGGGTACGAATGATCAAACCAAAAGCCTAAAGCTCGGTCAGCAATTCCAGTTAGACTTCCGCTAAGCAACAAGGATGCATATAACCAACCTTAGCAACAGCGTCCTGTGGACCACTGACAGTCAAGATACGTTCCACTGCTCCACGAGAGTAATCGCTAACAGTGCACTTGGCGCCGGAGAGACGACGGATCTGTGATACATTCTCCCCACCTTTACCAATAACGGTAGCAGCCTCCTGGCTAGAAATTACAGCCCGAATATGGATCCAGCTTGACTCGTCTTGGGGACGTTGTTGTTCTGATTGAGCGCCAGTTTCGGCATGGGACGCAGTGGACTGGATAGGCTGGGTCTCAGGGTGAGTGCCCTTCGCATTAGGAGCATCAGGCACAACCGTGTCGCCTTGACCATCGGCATTGGCACTGGGCACACCTGAGGACTCGGTCTTCACTTCCGCATACGCCTCGGACTCATCGCCCTTTACTACTTTGTCCAAAGCAGGACGCTTGGCCTCCGGTTGATCATTGGGACCTGATGGCGAGGAAGGGTCCTCCAAGGGACGCTTGGTAGATTGCAAAGCGGATGGAGAGGCAGACATGTTGCTTCTCAACTGTGTAGTCTTGCTTCACTTACGCAGGAAGTCGAAGTATCAAAATAGCCTTTTCTTTTTCTTTCTTTCTGCTTTATTTGATCGACTATGTACACCAGGAGTTCCCAATAAGACTTGCTGGTGCTGGCGGTCGGGAGAGGGAATCTGGTGCTTGAAATGACTAGGAATGCTGGTGGTAATCGTGCACAGTGATGAGAAAAGTGATGTTGAGGAAGGATGGCCGATGGAAGAGTGAAGATGCTGGGAATCACGGGCCTTGGATTTGAGCAGAAAGCTTCACGTGTGCAAAGCTGTGCTAGGAAAGAGAGAAGAAGAGAAGAGATGATCGGGTCGGGCACGATAAAACGGAGAGATGTAGACGGTGATAGTAGTGGTGGTGAGGATTCAGGGTCCGAACGTGAATGGGAGCTGTCAGGCTGACAGCGTGGGCAAAGGGAAAATATGAGAGCAAAGTCAAGTTGCTAAATCTGTACTATCCCTTTTCCTCCAAAGAAAACACAATGTTTCTGATCGTCGCAGGGTGTAAGAACACAGAAATAGTCTGCCGCGCGCCGGGCTAAAAGGGGCTTGAACAAACGCTAAAACAGCGGATAAGAGCCAAGTAACAAAGACAGGCAGTCGACTCCACCGTTGCGACAGAGTTGAAGATGCCAAGCAAAGGGGAAAAGGTGACGGTGATGGATGGAGGGGAGAAAGTCGCGATGTCGCGGTGAAGAGATGAGGTTAAGGTGTGATTGAGGCGAAACGGCGGCACGGGATCACGCTAGCCTACCTTGGGCATAGTCTAACTATCATTATCACGTGTGAGGGCATAGAAAACAACACCAAGCAATACATGAATACCCAAGTATCTCCTTTCACATTATTGTGATTCAAAGAGGCAGGCATTGACCTGGGTCCTGTGGCCTTGCTGGTGTGGATATTCTCGAGCTGCAACGCTCAACCCGCGTTTCATCTATATCGTGCCTGCATCATCACTCTATCCCAATGGATGTACCTCAGGAGACTATTGATAAGATCCAGCGTTTCGCAGTGAAACGGGAGACAGCCGAAGAGAGTTATGATCAACAAATCAGCCCGGTCACTCTCCAGGCGTATAATAAGAAGCTGGATGAGACCCTGAAAAATCTCCAAGACCAAGTTAAACGCCAAGAAGATGATTTGCGCAAGGTATGCAAGCCGAAAAACATATAGAAACAGAGATGCGATATTGATGCGCGCAACAGCTCCGCTCGGTCAACACAGTTGATTTTTCGAAGATCGGCGCGGACCCTTGGTCTCGCGTTTCGCAAGTTAGAAGAGCCAAGAAGGCATATGACTCCCTTCTGGGATCGGAAACAAAGCTCCCAAGCTCCGGGTCTCCTCTGCCATCCTTACTCGCAGTCGAGGAGATATCTCGGCTGGTCAAGGAGAGCAAGTTATCTGTCACGATGACAGCAGACAAGCTTTCGACCAGCCGCCAGCGTTTGAAAGTCGAAGAGGCAAATTTGCGTGATGCCCAAGCCATCAATGATGGACTGCAAAAACGGATAGCTGGTATCCGTGAACAACAAGCCCAGAAAGAGCAGAAGTCGCCCTCCCAACTAGCACATGATCTTGTCGATCAACAGCAAGAAAAAAAGGAAGAGCTTGACAAGGCGACGGAAGAGCTAACTGCCTCTCTCCATAATTTTATTGATGAAACTTTGGCGCCCATGCTCGCTGCAGAAGATCTCGGTGGTCCAACTGTGGGAGATGAAATGAGCGTTTCTGATGAGATATTGGAGAGAGGCTATACAAGCCATGGTAAACCCAAGAAACCGAAAGCTTCGGTAGCGAGCCATGATAGCGGCCAGCGTCGGATAGATGAACTCGTCAGGGGCCAAACGTCTCAAGGAGACAATCAAGAACGGAACCGGGCCAATCGACGCGAGACGGCAGCTACTGAGATGCATGAGCTTCTCGCCACATTACTCGACGCAGGTACCTCCTACATTAACCTTCCCCGAGAGTCTGCCGCCTCACGTTTCCTTGTAAGAGCTAAAGTAGCTCAGTTCCATCCACGCGATGCCAGACGTTTGAGATTGATTGATTTCGGGCGTTCGTTGAACGATTGAATGGCTGCTCTCGGTAGTTTATTTTGATGCAGTGCGACTTTTACCAGACTCCAGAGTTACCAATCAATATCCTTGTGGGACATACGAATTAAGGCTATATACGGTTATAGTTGCAATACGTTAAGAGAAAGAATGTGTGGAAGAGCGTGCAAAAGTCCATTCACATGCATTCAGTACGAGTACATATTCATATTATCGCTTCGTCAAGTCCTCATGATACTAAAGAGGGTAATCAGAATTCCAATTAAACGCCAGTAGATGCACCGATGCAGCAGACCATTAGTGAAATTATGCTCTCACGTTCTTCAATATACCTTTGACATCATCGTAAAGAACATGAAAACTAATATATAAAGATGCTAGATAGGCATCATTCCTATCCGGGACATGGGTTCTTTCGCTCTTGAGCCTTTCCGAGTAGGGCGGCTATCGGTGCGGTTAGCTGTTTTCTTTCTAGGTCTTGGGGTTTTGCTCCGGGCTTTGGATTCGCCACCGCTCTTTCGACGAGTTCGCTTGGTAGCTTGACGCTTGCGAGGTTTGGAGCTGCTAGCCCCCCCGGGGCCATCAGACGAGTCATCTTCTGGAATTGGTTCGGTGGTGAAGTACCGACTAGAGATGACATTGTTATCTATCTCAAGGTTTGAGGCATCGTCCAAAATATCACCGTCATCATATTCTTCGCTGTCACTGGTGAGATTGATGACATTGTGATGGTTGGGGTCTGGAACAACACCATCGGCGTCATCACGATCCTTTTTCAACTCCGCATAGCGGCGTTGCGTATCCCGTACGAGCTTGAGTATCTGAGTACCGTACCGATTCACCTTGTCTTTATCTATTCCGGGAATTCTGGACAGCTCTGACAGGTCTGCTCTGACATTAGTAGTGCACCGTATACCAATGGCTGGCGATGATACTTACCTTTGGGGAAGGCTATGACCATCTCCCGCAGCATCCCGTCTGTGAATGGTTGATTGCGAAGGCCTTTCTTGAGTACAAGCTGTTGAAGCAAGTCAGCAATGTAATTCTAACTCAGCAAGCTGAAAAGGGGCCTCACATCCTGGCAATAATTCTTTGCATAAACCATGAAATCCTCCGCTACAGCTTTATGGAGAGGGTCAAGACGGTCAAACCTGGAATCCTGGGTAATGGGTGGGCCTGGGGTAAATGGTTTCTCGCGCCTCGGCTTGCCAGCTATCCGAATCTTCTCGAAGCCATCACTGTCTCTATCACTATCAGAGCTTGCTTCGTATCGATAACGGGCTAAGCGACGATGGTTCGCTGCTTGAACAGGCGATGAGACGTTTGTGGATTGAGGATGATAGTCCTTCCGAGATCCACTCCGAGGGGGTTGAGCTTTTTTGTTTGGTGAAACTCTAACATGAAGCTGTAATTGACGTCGACCACTCTCAAAATCAGGGGCACGACGTCCAAGCTTGATGTACTGCACAGCAAATCTACTGCCGTTGACCACATTTTCTTCAAACAGAGCTCCCTCGCTAAGAAGGTGATAGAAAAGTCTTTCCGCCTCTCCCATTTCTAACGAAGAACCCTCTCCGTACCCCGGGGCCTGTCTGTGCTGAGGAGACCTGAATTTCTTTGCACTTCCTCGGAAAATGTTCACACAGTACGACAATGTCACATTCTCCTTTGACTCCTCGAAGTATCGAACAACCTTAATTACAGAGGCCGCGTGTTGAGTAAAGTCACGGAGCTCGAAAACAGAGTCTGACTTGCAATTATCACAGGAAGCATTGCAGTCCTCTCGGCGAAAATACTCGTTGAAATATGCAAGAATTTGGACTCTTCGGCAGTCACTTTTGTTTTCGCAGAACTGTACAACATTGCGTAGCATTTGTCGCTGTCGGTTCTTTTGTTGCTTACTGCCATCGCTGCTGTCAATCATGCGATTAATGGTCATCGTGTCCCTGTAACAGTAATACATATAGCAACCCGAACGCTTTCCATCTCGGCCAGCTCGGCCAGTTTCTTGGTAATAGCCTTCCAAGCTCTTGGGGAGGCTGTGATGGATCACGAAGCGTACGTCCGGCTTATCAATACCCATACCGAAGGCAATCGTCGCCACAATGACATGGCTCCTCCCAGCCTGCCAGCGTTGTTGAACTTCGGCTCGCTCGTCCGGTTTCATACCAGCATGATAATGTTCAGCTTTGATGCGGTAATCGTCCCGAAGACTCTTGGCGACCTTCTGGCATGTATCACGCGAAAGGCAATAAACAATGCCGGATTTGTTGTGATAAGACGATTTAATCGTATCGGCTATACTAGCCAGAAGCTCGTTGCCCTTCTTCTTCTGCCTCACTTCGTATGTCAAGTTTGGTCTGTTAAAGCTCTGGGTAAAGATATCGCAACCTTCCATTTTAAGGTTATGGATGACGTCTACCTTCACGTTCTCTGTGGCAGTAGCTGTTAGAGCCATCATTGGAACACCGGGCAGCTGAGCCCTGAGCCCTCCAAGTTCCTTATAATCAGGGCGAAAATCATGTCCCCATTGACTCACGCAGTGAGCTTCGTCTATCACAATGCGTGCAAGTCGACGCATATTATTGAGTCTTTCTAAGTTACGGATAAGGGTTTGATTCTTGTTGACCATTTCGGGCGTGATATACAACAACTCGATGTGGTCTTCTGCAGCCGAGCTCGATAGTGTGCTCATTATCCATTGTCGTTCCGTCTTCTGCGTCTCACCGTTCAGCAGATACGCTTTTATCTCGAGCTGGCGCAAATGATAAACCTGATCTTGCATTAAACTTAGTAATGGTGAAATGACTATTGTGACTCCTCTGGTCGTTCCACTCTTGACGATAGAGGGCAGCTGGTAACACAATGACTTCCCTCCACCTGTCGGCATGAGAACAAACGTATCCTTCCCACTCAGAGTGGCATCGATGGCTTCGAGTTGGTTAAGGCGGAAGCCTCGAAGATGGAAACGATCCTTCAAAACACATTTAACATCCTTTGACCACTGGTGATGATGCCATAGGCCATTGCGGGTCTGCGACTTCTGTGTGGTAGGGGTGCGGGCAACGTTTCCGGAGGTTTCAGCAAAAACCTTGCGTGTCTGGAGACTATTACTAGCTGTTGAAACTGAGTAGCCATCGTCAAGGAAACCCGCGGCCTCAAGCATTTCCTCATCATCAGCGTCTAAGTCAAATTCATCAAAGTGCTCTGCCGGAGGCGGAGACCCCATGGTACGAGTAAAAGCTTGGTCATTATCACTGATCATTGGCTCATCATAGCCAAATGTTTTAGGCCAAGAGCCGGCGCTCCTAAATGATGAGTTTGTTGTCCGTGACGGTATGTCAACTTGAGAGACACGGGAGGTCGGCCCCGAGAGAGGTCTAGAAAATGTAGTCTCAATGGTTTCGGGATCCTGAGGGTGGATTGATTTCTTAGGGTTAGTGTTTCCGACTGATCGAGAGGGCGATTGCAAACGCTCTGAGCCCTGCCGAGACGGTCCTTTACTTGACGAGAATGAGGCCGGTAGAAGATCAGCTTGCACAAGCAGGCGTTCTATATCAGACTCAATCTGCTCTAGCTGCAATGTTGCTTTTCGGCTTTGTTCGAGCTCCTCCGGCATTGTATTCGGGCTACCACCCTGAGAAATAACTTGCATGAGTGCTTTCTTAAGCTGCTCTCTTGTTGATTCACAGGCGTGGTAGGCAACCTTTTTGTTCTTTAAAGATTTAATTGCTTCTATCCGAGCTGTTATACTCTTGTTCTCAGCAATTAATCCGGGAGCGGGCTCGCCCTTCATAGCTTGTTCAAAAACGATTTCTGAATTCTTCCTTAGCGTATCCTCAAAACCCGAGATCCGTTGATCCAAAGTCTCAGCGGAAAGAGCTAAGAACTTCGTGACATCGCTGTTCTTTGGCTGGGACCCTGGTGGCCCGAGAGCAAAGCCTGAATCACCAAGGTTCGGAAATGTCTTGCTGGCGGATGTATCGCAAACAGATGGAGTGAGATCAATTTCTGATTTCAGCGGAGACCGCTGTATTGAATTCTTTGCCACCCTTCCTCTTTTACTATTCTCCGGAGATATGTCTTGAGGAAGAACAGGATATAAAGATTTACCTGTATCTATGACGGGTGCACCATCGTTAATCATCAAATCGTTGAATAAAGTTTCATCACCGTCTTCGTCGGAATCGGCTATGATTTGGTTCAAGACACGAGAGCGAGAGTGTGATGTTTCACGAATGAAGCTTCTTGTTGGGGAAGATGTAATGTAGGTTCTAGTCGAGCGCGTCAAACCGGGCTGGGCAGCGTCTGTAGTCTCACCGTTGGGCAAAGGCGAGCGCACCTTGGGGACATTCTTTCTTGGAGATACTAAATCAAAAATGTACTCCTCGCTTTTGCGCTTCTTGCCTCGCTTATCCGTAGAGTCTTTTCGATTAGGCGCTTCTTCGTTCCATAACCGGTGCGATTCCCCAACCTCATCTGCTGTGCCTGATGAAGCCGTAATTTTATCGAAATCGCCCGTCAAATCAATAGTATCAATATCGAATGTGGAAGATTCGACATTCAACTTACGTCTTGTCCGGGATGGCGTCACTGTCGTCTTGGTAACACTGTCGAATAATGAAAGCGTATCGCCTTGGGTACCTTTCCATTAATCATTAGTCGTCCGAAAAGGTTTCGGTAAATAAATAGCCATACTTTTGATTGCCGGACTCTTCAGCGCCTCCCGTCGTCGCGTAGGCGATTGAGCAGGCAGACGACCATTCGGTTTTGACGGTGATTCAGTAACAGCATCTGTAGAACGACTGAATAGTCGAGGTTTGCTCGCAGATTGCGGAGCCAATAACAATCGTGCCATGTCTTCATCCGATTCTACCTCGACTCGTTTGTCCGCATTGTCGACAGAGTTATTCTGTAACGGTTGGAAGTCCCCAATTGCTATTTCTGGGGCTTGGTCACCCGTTGCATGCAGCGCTGGAATCGGCCCAGATTGAGTGTGATTCTCTCGAGTAGAATTGCGATTCTCGCGTGCGGATGGCGATAAAGAGGGGTAAATCGCAGGGCCTTGTTGCAACAGCCATTTGAGATGAACTTCCAAGTTGTGCCTAGTCATAGGGTCGTATCTTCACTTTCATGATTCTGCTCTTATTCTCCAGCAATACATTTGCGATATTCTTCGTTTAGATGTCACTGAATTCCATAGCCGGAAAAGACAAAGGGACGCGTCCCGGCGCGTTATCACATGGGCGGTGAGTACCTTATCTTTTGGGTATAGCCCCGTACCACTCATACATAGCATAGTTAAGAAGGTAGGCAATGAATTGGTATGATACTTGAGATATTTATCTATGTTTAGAGTAGACACAAACGGTCAGGCAATGATATAGTGCCATGTCTGTGTCCGTTATTTCATTTACAGTATTATTTTATAGATTGTGGTTTATGAGATACCAAATTTACGACTGCATAGTATCAGATCTTATCAGTCTACCTATGTAGAATATATATCTTACATGTAGCTCCACCGCATAGTACTAGTAGTAATTGCTCAGTCATGACTACAATGCACTACTTACCAGTCACAATTAAAGACAAGTGATCATATCTATACCCAAGTGACTATCGGCAAGCTATGTGAGGTAATCTATCTGACTTATTGCCATCAGTATTGTGTCTGTCGTGGTTTACCTCGTTATTAGTGACTTGATATGGTATCCGTTTTACGCGTAACCAAACGAGGGGAATTAATTTTTTTTCTGAACCCCGCGCTATAGAATGTTACTAGTATCAACCCCACGCAATAAGAACGCCATTGAATTGGCAATTTATATACATACAGAGTATCGCCTTCCAAAACACATACAGGACAACTGAGCGATTCCATAACATGGGCAAGAAAAATAAGAAGTCCGCCGAACACAAAGAACGTGTTGCGGCGAAACAGAACAAGAAAGCCGCCCAGAAGGAAAAGAGATCTAAGGGCAAGAAGGGACGGGATGCAGACAGCGATGTAGAAGATGCGGATCTGGATGCCATCCTAGCACAATACGCTGAAGAACAGGCTAAGTTCCTCAAGGTCACTGAAGTTGCTTCGGGACCACCTTCTCCGCGGTCATCCGCAACTGTACTGGCATCCCCTTCAAATCGGAATGAATTGTTTGTCTTCGGTGGAGAGTACTTCGATGGCACTCTTGCTACCTTTTTCAACAATCTCTTTGTGTACAATATCGACAAAGGCGAATGGAAAGAGGTCACTAGTCCCAATACTCCTCTCCCTCGGAGTGGGCATGCTTGGTGCCGTGGTGGGAATACCGGCGGCGTATATCTTTTTGGAGGCATGGGACCTGGATCTTTACTTGGCATATTAATGTCCTACTAACTTTTAAACCATTTAGGCGAGTTCTCGTCTCCAAAGCAAGGTACCTTCTACCATTACAATGATTTCTGGTATCTCGACCCATCGACGAAGGAATGGGCCCGCCTTGAGACCAAAGGCAAGGGTCCTCCGGCCAGAAGTGGCCATAGAATGACTTACTACAAGGTTCGCATATTATAAATTATGTGTTTCTCACAATGACGTGTCTTTTGAGGCTGACTTGAGTCAAGAACTACATTATCCTTTTCGGTGGTTTCCAAGACACCTCGCAACAGACTAAATATCTTCAAGACTTGTGGATTTACGACTGCTCGAAGTATACCTGGTATAATCCTATACTGCCCCCTGCATCACAGAAACCTGATCCTCGGTCTTCTTTCTCTTTTCTTCCTCACGAAGCAGGCACAGTCCTCCTAGGCGGATATTCCCGTGTGAAGGCCACCACTAGCGTAGGAGGGAAACAGATGAAGGGTGGTGCTCAGCGTATGATCATGAAGCCTATGGTTCACCAGGACACCTGGCTCCTTCGGATCACACCACCTGCTGCCGATGCTCCTGCGTCCGCAACCCCCACAATCCGTTGGGAACGCAGAAAGAAGCCTGCGAATGCCCCGAACCCGCCCCGCGCAGGTGCTACTATGGCGTATCACAAGGGTCGCGGTATCATGTTTGGTGGTGTCCATGATGTTGAGCTCAGCGAGGAGGGAATTGACAGTGAATTTTTCAATACATTGTACGCCTGGAATACCGACAGGAACCGCTTTTTCCCATTGAGTCTCCGACGCCCAAGGGCACAGGGCAAAAAACAGGCAAATCAGGTTAAGTCCCGAGACCGGACTAAAGCTGATGAGGAAGAGCTGCTACAGAACCTTAAAGCTTTGGAGGCGAAGAAAGGCATTCGCAGTCTGGATGACGACGATGAGATGGAAATCAATACTACCAAAGATGAAGGGGAATCTGATAAGTCCGAGAAGCCTTCGATTGTTCGCTTCGAAATGCCTCATATGCGGTTCAACGCACAGCTAGCCGTGCAGGATGATACTCTGTTCATATTTGGCGGTACCTTTGAGAAAGGTGATCGAGAATTTACATTCAACGACATGTACTCTATCGATCTCGTCAAACTTGACGGTGTCAAGGAGATCTTCTATAACGAACCAGAGAACTGGAATCTCCTTAATGAGGAGGATGAGAGCGACGATGAAATGGACGATGAAGAAGATGATGATGAGGAGGAGGAGGGAGATGAAGAGGAAGATGCAATGTCACTGGATACTGCCTCCCCTGCTCCTACAGAGACAACGGTGCCGTCCGTGACGCAAGAAATGGAACAACTCGAGGTAGAGGAGCCAGAGGGAGAATCATCTGTACAGGATAGTAGGCCTCTTCCCCGACCTTTTGAGAGCTTGCGTGATTTCTTCAACCGAACTTCTGAAGAATGGCAGAAGATTTTGCTTGAAACGTTGAAAACAAAGGGCTTGGAGCCAGAGAAGAATATCAAGGAACTACGCAAGGATGCATTCAACATCGCAGAAGAGAAGTGGTGGGATAGCAGAGAAGAAGTCATGGCTCTCGAAGACGAGCAGGAGGAGGCTGGAATCGGTGAGGTTGTCAGCCTTGCTGAGAGGGAAAATGCTGGCGGTGCTGGCCGGCGTCGTTGATGTTGTATCAGACACTGATTTGGAGGCAAAGAAACAAACATATCCAATAACTATTCACGTTAAAGTACATTGTTTCATTAGATCGGCTAGCCTGGAAATTTTCTATATAAGTGGTACTGATGTATTTGTATTCGTACGCCTTTCAGAATGCATACAGAAATATGCTCAATTGGTTGCTCCTTCAACAACGCTCTTCAGCACATTTGTCACAAGTTCGAAATCCTTGTCTTTATCAACTCTCCAATTGGAGACGGCAATTCGACAAGCCGGTCGCCCCTGCCAGGAGGTCCCAGAAACGAACATCTTAGATGTCTCGTTTATCTTGGCCGCAAGGATATTATTCAACTCATCCTGCTTTGCGCTAAGCAGGACAACCATGAAAGTTTGGTCCATTAATTTCTCCTTGGTAGTAGCCTCCGGCAAAACGTTGTACCCTGAATGGTCAAACAACCATCCGGCAATCATCCTGGCCAATCGAATTTGTTTCTTGAGCATCGACTGATACCCAGTTCTGCCATAAGCGACAAGTGAAGTATAGACAGGGAGAGCCCTGAAGCGCCTGGAGTTCTCTATACCGATGTTCAGTGGTGAGGGAATTGAGGGAGGGCCGTTGCTATTTCCTGTTAGATAGGCCGCATTCGCATTTTGAAACACATTGAAAGCTTCATTAGGATGGCGACAGAGGAAGAAGCCACAATCATACGGTACGTTGAGGAATTTGTGCCCATCGCCTGCAATACAATCGGCCAATTCTATGCCTTCAACTCCCTTTTTGATGGTAGCGAACTCTGGGCTATCATCTAAAACGCGATTGAAAATTCCAAAGGCACCATCAACGTGTAGCCAGGCACCGTACTTGTCACACAATCTCCGTAGTTCTCGCATCTCGTCGATGCTGGTCGTCGCGAAACGTCCAGTATTAACTTCTCCGCAGGATACTGCGACGATACTTGCCTTGCCAGGTCTTGCTAGTTCAAGCTCAAGCTTTTCCATATCAAAGAGGAGTGGATTGTTTGCCTGGCAGGTGTTTTTGACATTCGCTCGGCCGATCCCAAGAATCCCTGTTGCCTTGACTAGGGATGAGTGCGGTAACGTTGACAAAACCTGAATTCCTGACAATCCGGATACCTGCATGGCTTCGTACAAGCCATGCTCTCCAACGCTTTGTGTCGGGACTCCTGCCTTGCATGCAGCAACCTTTAATACGTATTCCCTCCCACAGGCTATGCCGAGGATGTTACTCGCCGATCCCCCGGTGGTGAAAATGCCGTTATGCCAGTCAGCTCGCTCCAGGTGTAGAAGGTCGACAAGGAGACCCAGAGCGTTGGATTCAACATCCGTGGCAATAGAATGGTCAGGAAGATGAACCTGAACATTTTGATCGTACGCAGATACTATGTTATCCGCAAATAAGGCAGCAGGTGTTACCCCTCCGGTGACAAAGCCATAGTAATTGGGACTTATACTGCTTCCATTAAAAGCTGGGACGATGTCGTTCAGGATATGTTGCTTTGTCCTTTCAAATCCCACTCCCTCATTCGCAAGACATGACGGTAAACTTTCTCTTGCCCGAGCCAGATGATTGGCACTGGGAAGGATACCAGATTTCCAGGGAGTTTGAGCAATCTCCCATAATTGCTGTTGAAGACTAGCCTGCGTTTCTGATGTGGCCGTGATGTCTTCTAGTTCCATAGAAGTTCTGGCGCTCTTGTCATTCATGACTGCTGTAGGGGAGAACAACTGCTCAAGACCAAGATGGTACTGTCACCTGTAACAAGGGGTGTATTATCTTATGTCGAAAGTGAAAGGTTATATATTTCACATGGAGTTTTCTTCCTGACCTATATTAATCCATAGTCAAATCCCGTGAGTCACCGAAAGCAAACACCGTGCCGTATGGCCCCTACTAGTTGGTATAGTGGTTGGCTTACAACAACTTTAAAACTCCGATTGGATTCCATCGGGTGGGCTAGACTTCCAGGGGCTAGCCAACTGGCTAGTGCGCACAGACGGGCCTGCCTAAGGTAACATTCTAACGTCTCCACAATTATCCACTACGCATCAACAATCAGCTCTTGATTCTAGGCAACGTCAATAACAGGTCTCTGCTACTCCAGACACAGCCATAAAAATTACAGCCCAAGGCACGAACAGCAATGGCTGCCAAACTAGTAGACAAGAAGCTTCACAACGTCCCTGGTGCGTCTCTTGAGGAGCTGTGAGTGTAATATAGAAGCTGATCCTGCGGGGAATTAGGGAAGCTCCGTGTAGCGGAACTGCTCTTTGACGTTCCAGTCAACTATAACCGGCCAAATGACGGCACTTTGAGGCTTTTTGCCCGTAGCGTTCGTCGCTTGGCGACTCCATTTGAGGCTTCAAAGGAGGACAAGCAGCTGCCTTGGCTTGTATACTTACAGGGTGGACCCGGTTATGGATGTCGACCACCTCAGGAAAATGGCTGGATTGGCACCGCCCTTGACAAGGGATACCAGGTGGGTGATAGTAATTTCAAATCCTCCTTTGTTCCCTCACCATGCAAAGTCCATATGCTCATCGTGCATAGGTTTTGTTTCTAGATCAACGTGGCACCGGCCTTAGCTCCACGATCACTGCAGGTACCCTTGCCTTGAAAGGCAATGCGATCAAACAGGCGGAGTACTTGAAGAACTTCCGAGCCGATAACATTGTCAGAGACTGTGAAGCCGTTCGACGATGCCTTACCGTAGATTATCCCGAAGATAAACGCAAATGGAGCATTATCGGTCAGAGTTTCGGTGGTTTTTGCGCTGTGACGTATCTTTCTATGTTGTAAGTTGAACTGCTAATTTATATCGTGAGAGGATGCATGCTGGTGCTGACGAACCTTGACACACGAAGTCCAGAGGGGCTAGCGGAGGCGTTTATTTGTGGTGGATTGCCTCCTCTTGTCAACGAACCTGACTCAGTCTATGCACGGACATACGGTATGCATCCTTAGTGTCTATCGTTTCCTAATCCCCTCGGCTAACCCAATGGAATGAAGAAAAGCTGGAAGAGAGAAACAAGGCCTACTACTCGAAGTTCCCTGAAGACGTTGAGCGAGTCAAGAGAATCATACAGTATCTCAAGGAGAACGATGTTTCTCTCCCGTCTGGAAAATTGACACCGGCGAGATTTCAGCAATTGGGTCTTATATTCGGAATGCACGGTAGGGAATTTAACCTGTAATTCCAAGGATGCTGTACTGATTTCTATAGGTGGCCTTGATAGTATCCACGGTAATGTTTGATCAAGCTTTAGAGTAAGTGCAACCTTTTGGGCTAACACCCGCTAGAACTTGTCCTGCGTACCTGGAATGATCTCGAGATATTTGGCTTCCTGACTCATCCCACGCGGACTTCAATCGATGCTGCAGGTGGATTTGACAGTGCTGTAATTTATGCCATTCTTCACGAAGCTATCTATTGCCAAGGGTGAGAATTACCTAAGCTCTTGCGATTTTTAAGACCTTATCGTACTAATAATAAACAGACAAGCATCAAATTGGTCTGCCGATAGAATTCGGTCAGCTAATTCGAACTTCAGCATTGACGCCAATCGACCGGAGATTTGGTTTACAGGCGAAATGGTGAGATTCACTCGGAAGCTATGGATGGTGCCACATTGACTGACAGGCACGGTGTAGATTTACAAGGACATGTTCGACTCGTATGACGAGCTCAATCAGATTAAAGAAGCAGCCGACATCCTCGCGACCACAAAGGACTGGCCCGCGCTCTATGACGAGACCCAGCTGGCGAAGAATGAAGTTCCTGTCTACGCTGCTACGTACATAGATGATATGTACGTGCACTTCAGTCATGCCTCAAATACGGCTGCAAAGATCAAGGGCATCAAACAGTTCATTACGAACACCATGTATCATAATGCTCTCCGAGCTAAGTCGGATGAGGTTATGCAGCAGCTTTTTGCCTTGAGGGACGACACAATCGATTAGCGGGTGGTGTTATGATCACTATCATGTCATATGGGTTATTTCTGGAACATAGTTTGGGGCTGTAATCATGGCGCATCTATAGTTATAATCCAGGACCTGAGTTCAGTATGTACAGAATAGTTCGTGGCACCTTGCGATAGGCGTCATATATCGTCATATATCGTCAAATATTGTATCTCAAAATACCTATTTGCAGGAGTTAGTTATATCAGACCAAGAATAATAACTAACGCAAGATAACATACCGCACCGCCGACAATGAAGAGTCTCTCCTCCTCTTGTTGAACCCACTGGATAATTTTGCTAGCACTGTGAGCGAGGGCATTCCGATTGGCATTCGGACCAGCGACGCAGTAGAGTTGGAAAACCGGAGTTACCCATGCGAGTGAGGTTGAGGTTTGTGAGACACAATGGTGGACTCGAACGTGGACATGTTTGGCATGGATGCTAGCATGGAGGTTATTGTATGTCGACATTAACCTGTAAAGTTAACGTCAGCCAACTATAATGGTACCATTAGGGTCCCTTGTAAGGAGCTAATTGTGCTAAACAGACCTCCGACGTCGAGAGACAGACGAGAAATCGGGTTCATATGAGGACATAGTGAACTGCACATTTCCTCGTGACTTATACAAGAAATGATGTAGGACCGTCCCTGGCACAATGTCGGTCGTCTTTGGTCTGCCCTTGTCAATGGCTTCTCTCATGATCTTGAGGCTGCCGTCTTTTTCCAGTTGCTGGGAGTAGTGGTGGTTAGTCAACGCCAGCCATTTTGTATTTCACATCATGAAAACCGATTACATTGTCTTACCTCAATAAAGGAGTTCCGCATCTCTTGTAACTCGAAAAACCGTTCTTTATCTGTACTGATTAAGATGACCGCAACGGACTCTTCCTTTGTCGCCGTGTCATCCGCAACGTTGCCAGCATCTTCTCTTAGATCAACGAAACTGACATACATGTAGAGATAGCCACTGCTGTTGAAGCCAGGTAAACAGACAGGAATCCAACTCTCGCCACCGCCAGCCTTAACAGCTTCTGCTTCAAAGACCATGTTGAAAATCAGTTGTAAATCACCAGGATGAAGTGAATGTTTCCTTGGCCGTACAACGCTAACTAGCCGACCGCCTGCAACAACCAGACCATAGAGGAGGCTGTTGGTTCTAGTTTTAAGAAGGGCATTGTTGATTGTCTGGCGGTGCGCCTTGCGGATTTTGAGGCACTCTAATGCCGAAAGAAGGGTAGATGGTGAACCTTTCGTGAAGCTGTCCGCCAATGTCGATAATAGAGTCTCTGAGCCTTGTAGTGGTCTCTTGAGATCAGTAGAGGGTCGCACCGAGAAAAGATGTGTTAGAGAAGGGAGGGTTAAGGTCGATAAGATCTGCATATACAAAGCTTCTAGTTGAAGCTTAAGTTGAGTTTCACTTTCGAGAATCCGACTTATCGCCACTAAGTAAAGCGGTCCTTTAGCTACGATGACGAACTTCGTATCTCCAGCGGTAAAACTATTCAGACGATCTTGCGAATCTTCATAAAACGATATGATGGTCTGGATGACACCAACATACGTGGATATCAGACCACCATCGCCATGTCGCGTCCATATAGGTTTTCCAGCAGCAGATAGGATAAGATAATGTTTCCGCTTAGACTTCCAGTTCTCGAGGACTAGTTCTGGTGTCGACTCGTGGATTAGCAACTCAACAGATCCGTGGCTTTACGGAAGCTACGCACCCTCATTCTCTCCTTCATCTCCAACGTCCCCAACAGGTTCAAACTCTTCCGTAAAATCATCATCTACATCGTCTGCTTGGAACTCCGGGAATTGAAGCAGACCTGTGCTATCTTGTTGCATGGGCCCAGACTCTGTCACGACGAAGTCACTGAAGACATTCTCTACCTCACCAAGATCCGTCTGCGGTACAGAGCTTCTGATACTTGCAGAATCAGCAGTATCGCTGCCTTTTGGGCTGGCCAGGTGACTAAGACTTGCCTTGGCCCTCAGAGTCCCAGGTAGACTGCGAGCAGGGTAACTCTCTTTCCCGCCCTCATGGGAAGCAATGTCTGTCAGGGACACTGCTGTAGTAGCCCTGGACTGTAAAGCGGTTTGGGTTGATTGTCGTACAGTCCGAGAAGATGATGCCCCTTCGTCCAACAAACTTAAAGTATTCGGACGCGGTGGTAAAGGTGGCGGTGGCCCTTCGGGACTGGTGCTGCGTTCTCGGACACTCGATGCTGCCATTGTAGGAGATGACTTTGAGGAGCAAGTAATTTCACCTTTGCTATCATCATTACCATCAAGGGAGCCCTGTCGCTGTTTTTTATTCTCCGAGTCCATGGTGATTGACCTGGGTGCATTGACTGGTATGTACTACTCCAACTGGCAACAGCACCCTCATGTATATTATACGCGGCTCAACGAAGGCGTATACGACATGCTTGTCAGGGGTGATGTCATAGAAACCCCCATCGAGAATCAGCGATAGATTGCCTAGTACAGTAGCGACGTGACCGGCATTTGAAGTGAGGAAACGTTATGTGGGTTCCGCGGCTTGATTAAATAGTAGACCAAGTGGAGAAAGGCCGATTGATCTCCCCGTTCGGAGCTTCGCAAAGGCGGACAGTTAAGGCACCAAAAACATGTCCGCCTGGCGCTTGTTGTGGCTTCCGTGTCTTTACGCAGCAACAACCGCTCCAACTCCGGTCGCATTCTAGTTCAATGCGCGAAATATGAAGAGGTTCG